TGACACGATTGCAAACAAACCAGGGTGTGGGTGGGGTTTGAACTCGCGGCAAGTGGCTTACATGCTGGCCTGGAATTTTAAGGCTGATTTGCCGCGAGTTAAATCCCCACCCGTACCTTGGTTTACGAAGAATATCGTATGTTTCTGCTTGCAAGGCCTAATCCAACATATAAATCTGAAAGCCACAATATTCAATCTTCCGATTTATTTTCTGTGGAAATTTTTTTTGACGATTTGTACAATAAACTAAATTACAAAAAATGCTCTACAATACGAAATGAGAACTGACTTCAATGCAGAAACTATGCTAAAATAATAGAAATATTTTGGTAATAAAATGACCCACTCCAAACATAGTTTGTATCTTGTATAACAGTTAACAAAAAATTCACATTTCACTCCACGCTAAAAATTTATTTTCCAAAAATTTCATAGTTCTGTGTATATACAATATATCAAATTAAAAAAAAATACACAACGCGGTTATAAATATGTAAATACGATACACAGAAGTTTATATTACATCTGTATATATTAACACAGTATAGAAGCTAGCTAATAACTTGTTAGCAGTGGGTAATATTTGTATATACTTTACATGTTATTGGAGAATGATTCAAAATATATAGACTAGGATACTTGAATTTGGAAATTGTCGGTCCTGGGACACTGGTCACTCCTGTTGTTCCAGTGTTTGCTTTTTTTTCCAACATCCTGTCAATATCACACCATTTTTACCACTTTTCGACCCTTCAAGAGTAGAAAAGATGCTTTACTTTTATTGGGGGACATTTCGAACTCAATCAAGATAATGGTAAAACTCTACATAGGCCGAAACTTTGTCCCAGCAGCTCGATATTTAACCCCCTTTAATAAAGTTACCTTGATACCGATGAAGGATCTTGATTAAAGAATATCTCACATAAAGCTTGAAATTGTTTAGATAAAAGGACACACGAGAAAGTAATAAAACTACCACTACACTACCACCATTAGCTTACTAACTAATGGTGGTAGTGTTCTCTTTATTTACCACCATTAGCTTACTAGCTAATGGTGGTAGTAGTACTAGTAGTAGTATTTGTAGCTGTCATGCGAGGGCTGGGTTTCATTTTAAGGAGGAATAGTAATATTTCAGAGATGAAACTGCCTTGGTTCTCTCTAACTGAATAGGGTGGGAATCAACGAGGCTTCAAGACATTTTCGTCCGAGTGGTTCCTTTCACTAAACTGGCGCCATTGAAGCTTATGAGGCTAACAGTATACCTGTGTTGCACACAATTTTTCCTGGGAGTTGCTCTCTCTTTCCCAGACATACAATGTCACACCCTTCACGAGGTATTAAGTGAACCTCTGCGTTGACTGGTTCATGGTTCGCCACTTTGGTCCTGGTGAGGTCTTTGAGGACTGTGATGGTTATTGCTTTATAGGAGTGCTTTGGAGGTAGTCTAGGCAGCTTAGCTGTTCATAAGATAACTTTGTTCAAAGTGGCTCAGTGCGTGGAGAATTTGTGAAGATCTCATCTCCTGTAGTCTTGAGAAATGAAGATTTAACTGGGTAGGGGTTTCGTATATCCAAGAGTATTCATTGTCAAGAAACTTAAGACTACAAATGTGGTATTCTCTTAAGAAAATGTCGACGATGATGCCTCGGGAAGCTAGGTCATTTTTCACTGGAGGATTTTCGTAGACTTGGAATCTGGGGATGTTGTTTGGGGATGACTTTGAATAATGTCAACTTGTCACTGGTTTCCTCTTGAAGTACGAACTGAATAGCCGGTTCATCTCCGTTGAGTCTTCTCTTTAGGTTCTGGATGTCAAAACATTTTGCTGTCGTCCATGTATCTCACCCATGTACTCGCCTAACTGTGGTTGCAGGGGTCGATTCATAGCTCTTGGCCCCATGTGATGGTGATAAAGTTAACCAAGTGTTCAGTTTCTAGATGTTCCATGTATAGAGCTGCTAAGACAGCACAGAGTAGCTCGTAATTAATCCATACGGTTGCAGGGTTTGTTTTCGGATGACAAACCATTTAAGAATTATGCAGAATTCCCTTTGGGTCATGAAGAGGAAGATTAAGGTCCTGGTTGACGGTGTGGCGGCAGAGTAGGTAAGTGGTGGAGTTGGTCAGTAGCTGGTGAAGCGAGTGCTACTTTCATTTTCACAAAGGTATCAAAGGTACTGTTTAGGAGGCCGATATGTAAGACATGTGCAACAGTTACTTATCTTTATTCCAAAAAGTTTTGTCTACATAGGCTTCTTCAGTCGAATACGGAGGACGTAGTAGTAGCAGAGATGTAAAGACGATGTAATCAGTCCATCACACTCGAAGACGTAATTTGAGGTGGTCAGTCCCCTCAGCCTGGAGAACAGTTCTGCTCTATAATCTGGAACATTGTTCCAGACTATGGAGCAGAATTGTTTCCCAGGTTGAGGGACTGACCACCTCAGATCTATGCCTCTGAGTGTAATGGACTAACTGCGTCATCTTCACATTACTGCTGCTGCACGTGTCTTTATAAACTTGTCAGTATTGTATACCACTTTCATATTCAGGAGTTGACCTCAATGCTTCAGATGAGCTGGGCTAATAGTTCATAGAAGGCAGAACAGGTGCTTTGTGAGTAGTCCTAATACTTGATGCTATTGGTCTTAGAGGTGTGGTGTGTTTATAGGTCAAGGACAGTCCATACGTGTACTGATTTAGGATTACTAGGTATTGGGTGATGATTTCTTACTGAAGAATAGACCAACTTTTGTACCAAATACATAATATTCCCACTGCAGCACATGTATGGGACTACCCATAGTGTGCTGGGTATCTGGTGCAGAAGTTGGTTTATTCTTCAGAGAAATTTCATCACCCAATACCTAGTAATCCTAAATCAGTGCACGTATGGACTGTCCTTGACCCATAAACACAAAATACCTCTTAAGATAATAGGGGAAGCATTACCCAGCTTATCTGAAGCACTCGGACTGTTTGCTACAGACACCTTTAATGTCATTAAGCAAACAAAACTAAATTTCGATGTTAATTTTGCAGGAAGGTACACACCACACCAGCTACTGACCTTCAACGCAGTCAAGCATGACCTTAGTCTTCCCTGGGATTTTATCACCCTAAGAGAATTCTGCATAAATTTTCATTTTCTTTCAATAATAAACCCCACGAACGTATGGATTGATTACAAGTTACTCTATCAGCACCACCTTTGTAAACTTGTATGCATCAACTCAACACTGTCAACATTATCGCCGGCAGCATCACATGGGTGAATACATGGACAACAAAGATCACTATCAAGAGTTTTGATATTCAGAACGGGTAAGGCTGGATGATGATGAACCAGGAATTCAGTTCACGCTCAGTGATCAATAACAGGTTACCATTCCTCAACGCCCTTATTCACAAGTCTACAAGAGGCCTATAAACAAAAATGATTGTGCTAGAATGGTATACAATACTGACAAGATGAGAATTACACATGTGCAACATCTGGGTGTCTATTTGTAGATGTTTTGCCATCCAGTGGCTTTATCAATACAGTTCAAGACATAATGTGAAGACTGTAGAACTATATACAAAAGACGAGGTAATCAGTTTCTCAGCCTTGGCGTCTGTGATGCGCACCAGAGTCTTGAAGAATCTGAAGCACAGGCAAAAAGACCGTGTTTATATACTGGCGTCTTTCTGCCTGTGCTTCAGTTTCTTCAAGACTACAGTGTGCATCACAGACGCCAAGGCTGAGCAACTGATTACCTCGTCTTTTGTATATAGTTATACAGTTCACATTATGTCCTTGAATAGTACTGATAAAGCCACTGGATGGCGAAATGTCTACAAATAAAGATACTCAGATGTTGCACATGTGTAATTCTCATCTTGTCAGTATTGTATACCATTCAAGCAGTCATTTTTTGTTTATAGGCATCTCGTAGATTTGTGAATAAGGGCGTTGAGGAATGGTAACCTGTCATTGATCACTGAGCGTGAACTGGATTCCTGGTTCATCGTCGTCCAGCCTTACCTATTCTGAATATCAAAACTCTTGGTAGAGTTTATGTTGTCCATGTATTTCACCTATGTAATTCTGCTGGTGATAATGCTAACAATGTTTAGTTTATGCATACAAGTTCACAAAGGTGGTGCTGATAGACTAGCTTGTAATTAATCCATACGTTCGTGGGATTTATTGTTGAAAGAGAAACAATGAAAATTTATGCAGAATTCACTTCATGATGAAATCCCTGGGAAGAAGAGGCAGACTGACGTCATGGTTGACTGCATTGGAGGTCAGTGGTTGGTGTTTACCTGGAGTGAGTTCCGGGGGTCAACGCCCCCGCGGCCCCAGTCCTCCTGGTGAAGTGTACTTTCATGCAACATCGAAATTTAGTTCTACAAGTAAAGGTACCTAGATATTGCACATAGTATGTTTTGAAGAATTATACACTTTTTGATGAATTAGACATATGCAACATCTGTGTATCTTGTAGACGTTTCACCATCCATTGGCTTTATCAATGCAAGGAAAATAGAAATGTATACAGCAGATAGTGGTAAATGAGGTCATCAGTCCGTCAACCCAGGAGGGGGTGATGAGTATCATACTCTGGAAAGAATCTGAAGCACAGGCAGGGAGATTGATGCTTGTATACTGGAGTCAGATGAAGCATTGTCACTGGTAGGCAGAACTTCCCAGTGGAAGTTGGTCATACCCAAGAGCTGGGCCAGAAGTAAGCAAGTAGGTTGAGTGATGTTCTCTTATCAAGATACCATGATGCTGCTGCATCTGACAGGTTGTATGTGGTATACAACTTGTCAGATGCAGCAGCATCATGGAATCTTGATGCAGAGAACATCACAACCTACTTGCTAACTCCTGGCCCAGCTCTTGGGCATGACCAACTGCCACTGGGAAGTTCCACCTACGTGACAATACCTTCATCTTCAGCACATCCTCTGACTGCAGTATATAAGCACCAATCTCCCTGCCTGTCCTTCAGATTCTTTCCAGAGTATGGTACTCATCACCCCCTCCTGGGTTGTGGGACTGATGACCTCATTTACCACTATCTGCTTATAGATTCCTATAATGTCCATATTTTGTACTGATAAAACCACTGGATGGCAACACGTCTACAAATAAAGATTAACAGATTTTGCATTCATTTCACATTAATCATCCTGTCGGTACTGAACACCACTGATACACAAAAATGACATTAGTTGCTAACGACTAAACGAGGTATAATTTTTTTTAAGGGCATACTGCCTCTGCAGTCTCAAGTTTCTGTACTAGGGAAGCTTACCCCAACCAAACTTTCACTAGATGCTCACGCATCTTTTTACCTAACACTTTCTAGCCCTTTAGTTGCATGTCTCTAACTTTCAGAAGTTTCTCTAGTCTTAAAAGCTTCTTGAATTTCTAAATTTTTTTTGTAATGAGTGACTATCATCATGATTCAGGTGTACGCTTGATCCTCCACCTGCTAATCGTGATGCAGATACATGCTGCTTACTTATGCTCCACTAAGCTCTCGCATACATTCCAGAACCCGGTCGCTCGTTGGATGAACTGATATCTTGGCCAAGATGCGTTTGAAAAAAACACGTGTACACGGGACCAGGAGCACAGGCACGGGCGAGTATACATACGCACAAGCTTGCTAGAACTTGAGCCACTCGACACACTTCCCCATTGGTTCTCGACGAACACAAGAACCCTCTTCTCCGCTGTTGGTCTCGTAGTGGGTCGGTAGCTCCTCGTCAGCGTACTGTTCCTGTAATAAATAATAAGAATCAATACAAATGTTCTTTAACTACATCCTTCTAGAGAAAATGGAAGTGGAGTGGAAAGGTATACAAATGGACAGACTTATGTAATTCAAAATAATTATCAAATAAAACTGATACAGTGAGCAATTGAAGTCCATCCCTTAGGAGTCAGCCTGCAACTTACACAAAACTGTTTCACTGTGAAGTGAAACACTAGCCCAGGAAGCCTTAAACATCCTATAAATTTGGATCCTTTAAGAGGGGTGACCCCATCCTGTAGGTCTATTGATCCAACGATTTGGTCTAACAATACTCGTGAACAGACACTAGGGCATATCTCAGAAAAAGTTTTGGTCGTGGGACCTTCATCCCGATCCTAGAACCAAAACAGTTGTTAAAAAAAAAAAATGTCCTAGTATTTACTCACTAAACCACTTTGATACCGACAATTACCAAGATTAATACCAATAATTTGGAGTTGCCTCATCTCCTTTGGCTCAAACCTGATTGCCATTTACCCCTTAATGCTGTTTGACCCCTATATTTACAATTTCCCCATACAGCTATAATTCACTCAGATGAACACGTGTTAATGAGAGAACTGTAAAACATTTGGGTATCTAAAAAATATAGTTTTGCCAACCAGTGGCTTTATAAGTCCAATGCAGAGAAAAAGTGTTAGATGTATAGAGGGAGTTTGAGGTTACAAGTTCTTCAGTTTATCTGGCGTGCAGCCAGACCTTTTCCATGCTCGTAAGATTTTTTCGTTCGGATTTTTAACCCCGGAGGGTTAGCCACCCAGGATAACCCAAGAAAGTCAGTGCGTCATCGAGGACTGTCTAACTTATTTCCATTGGGGGTCCTTAATCTTGTCCCCCAGGATGCGACCCACACCAGTCGACTAACACCCAGGTACCTATTTGCTGCTAGGTGAACAGGACAATAGGTGTAAGGAAACTTACTTTAATCAAGGCTGAAGAATAAACCATCTCTAGGCTGAGGGACTGATAATCTCAAGCTCAGCCATCACGTCTTCCACTTTTTTCTCTTCAGTGTGGAGTATAATGAAAAGTGTCTTCAGGAAAGATACACAAGTGTCTCATTCATCAAGTTACTGATTTTCAATCCCATTTATATAGTACCAGTTAGACGTTTACTTTGAGTGTCTTAGTACACATCTTACAAGGATAGATACTTTTCACTTGGAGTGACAGGTTAACAGATACAAGTGCCTCACTGTGCTACTTACAAGGAGCGAAATGTGTCCGTTGTTCCAGATGTCACAGTGGACACTGGCCGCCCCGTCAGGAGTGCTAGGGACACACACGCATCTCTTCCTCTCCTGAGGAAGGGCCGTCAGTGCTACCCTCCTCCCAAACACTATGCCCATTTTGATGATCTTCTTCTTCTCCTTTCCTGATGTTCGTTGGGCTGGTGTTTGGAAGGGCAGGAGCGTGAAGATGGTGCCTGCATGAATAATGCTTATTTTATTATCTATCATTATAAGCATCACTAACATTATAGGTGGTAAACCTTTAGGGATTATACAGCATTGGACGAATAGATCATTCGGAATTTAAAAACTGGAGGGTAGCTGCAATCTTTGGGTCATGAGCCTTTTATTTTTTCTATTTTTTTTTTTGGCCAGAATTAAGGCCACTCCACCTCTCAAGGGAGGTTTCATGATGCTGGTGAGGGGCTCTTGATCTAGAGAATTGGATCTGTGCTCCAGTTCCTTGAATTGAGCCTGAATGCCTTCCATCCCCCCCCACAGGTGCTGTATAATCCTTACGGGTTTAGCATTCCCCCATAATAAGGCCACCTCAAATTCTTAACTTATCCACCTGAGGAACCCTTATTCCCGATATTTCACTATGTGAGGAGGAACAGTAGATTCCTGACTCATCACCTGAGGAACAACTGTAGATGCATGACTCACCAGTTGAACCACAGGATCCCAATTCATCGCTTGACGAGTAAATATTGATTCACGACTCACCACCAGGAGTGCTCACCATTAGTCTCCAGGGCGAGAGGGGCACAGTAGCCAAGCTTATCCTTGGGAATAAATACTTGACTTCTGATGGCTGGGTCGCCCTTGAGGGTAGCAGCTCTGCCACGGTTCTTGGCATCTTTAAGAGTGTAGGCATTGTCACTATCAATACCTGTGAAGACCGGGGTAGAAAAGTCATTTCAAAGATCACAGGAGTGTATGACAGCTATCACTAACACCAGATTACTGAATGTATTTCATTAGTTTTTATTAAAACCTTTGGTCCACTTTTTTTTTTGAGGTCTGGTCAAGGACCAGGCTGAGGGGGCATTGAACCTCCCCCCCCCCCCCAGAACGACCTCCAGGTAGACCAAGTCAAAACTCCCACTTAAAGTTTAGATGCCGTTTCAGTCCATCCAGAATCATTATCACACCAGTGACCCGATACAGAAACAAAAACAGACCTAGATGTCATTTAAAAAGTATTTCATAACATCCCTGTGACTTGTGCTTATAATTTCCAGCAGTGTCTTCGTGTTCTCTAGACCAGCCTCTCAAACAGACTCGCCCTGTCCACCTTATCAAATTTCCTCTCAGTATTTTGTAAGTCATAATCACGTCACCCTTTCCTGATCCTCCTGTCTATTTCCTAAGTGTGGATTATTTGTGAATTGTTCCAAGCTACGATATAATGACACTGTTGCAGCAACCTAGAAAGACAGGCTTGTTAGCTTGGTAAACTGGCTACCCACATACAGTATTCCTGTGTAATTAAGCAATCCTTTCCACTCCACACAATCACCCACGATTCTGTGAGTAAATAGCTCTGAACTGCAACATTTCACTCCTGCCTGGCACCAATTGCTGTTAATAAAGGTTTCCATTGTCATTTACTTCACCTTGTACATATTACAAAAAGATTAGAGTTCGAAAGGTTGTATATATATCTAAATTATTGATCTCAGTGAATCTGTTTCAGCATGAAAAATATGTAAATGTACTTGTAGCCCCTTCCTAAACTAAATAGGCGACATGTATGAAGAGATGCATATCAAGTAAAGGAAGAATACGTGGCATGAGAGAAATGTGTGGAATGCCTCACCCAGTATTTTCTTCCTCTCTTTTTCCTTGGGTATGTCGAAGAGGTCCTGGTTGAAGACGTGCAGAGTGATAGAATACTCTAGCAAGATATGGTACATAGTGCTGTAGTCCATCTGTAAACAAACACTGATTTAGTAGTGGTCAATCCATATAACACACACACACAGCAACTTCTTGTATTTAATAAAAACAGAGGTACTGCAGTAGGCCTGCTGACCCACACTAGGCAACTCCTCATTGTAGAAAAGACGTGTCATTTTTTTTCTACACTACTGTTAGCAATGTAAACTACTATTTTCAGGTACAACAATGAGTCCTTCAGGGTTCGATACTCACGGAGGGAATGGCTGGCTTGCAAGACTCGCAGGGGAAGTGGACGAAGGTAATGCTCACGCCAGCCCTGAAGTTGAGTTTGGCAGCCACAGTAAAAGCGTCAAAGGCATCAGAGGATAGGTAGCCATACTCTGCATCTGTCGTGTTTGCTGAAAAAAAGTGAAAACAAAATTACAGGTCAGAGAGGAAGTATATTGATGCTCTGGATGACCTAATGTATTGTCAAAGTTATGAAGACAACGTTTCACTCATCGTACATCTTAATCATAAAGCTATACACAAGTGAAACGTTGCCTCCTAAAAAACTTGTTGTGCAATTTATGTATGTCTTCAGACTGGCATTGTTGCCATTGTGCTTGCCTAAACATCTGGAGGTTTGAGAGTGTACAGAATACTCTCCTAATTCTGCTTACCTATATGTGTGGGAGGGTTTGTAACACTGAATTGCATGGAAAAGAGAAACGTGTATTCTAACACTTACAGAAGACAACATGATCGAGGGCTTTGTGGATGTTGACAGCATCTGTGAAGATCTGATTGTCAATGGTCGACACAGTCGGCTGCTTAAACATGCCATCTTCAGAGCCGTACACCACCACAGCGTACCTGGGTGCAGGTAGGGTAAATCTAGCCACCCACTTGATAAATGCAGTAGAAATAAAAAATAAAAATCTAGTGAAATAAAGAGTAAAAAATGTTCTTCACAGTAAAAGCTAGAGGTGTACTCTAAAATAAATATATGCAGACTGGGCTGCGGGGGTGATGACCCCCAAAACTCTCTCCAGGTATACATGCTCTTAATAGTAAAACGATGTGTCTTCTGATATTTGCAAAACTGCAATACAAGACAAAGAAAATACATGAACTCAAATATTATATACATAAATTAGGAAGCATTCGAGGGAGCCTGCTTAGTATGGAGAACAAGAGTTAGAGAGGTGGATTAGCAATATAGAGTAGGTAAAACAGAGAAGGAACCAGGTTCAGTCCAGATAAGGAGAGAGGAATGGGCTCGTCTAATACCTGCTAACCCCCCCTCCCCGCCCTATTCACCTAACAGTAAAGAGATTCCTTTGTGTTTGTAGACTGTGGTTCACATCCTCAGGAGCACCTAAGAATCCCACTGGAACTAAATCGCATTACACAGATAAGCTGCACGTTTTGGTCCGACTTGGACCACTGACAAGTCACACTGACATACAAAGGTCTCAGTGCCTTGTTCTGTCTAAATCACCGTTCTTGGCGTTTGATTATCCTGGGTTAACCCTCCGAGGCAAATCTGGAAAGTTTTCTACCTGCAAGGGAGACAATAAGACAATGATACGATGAACAGAGAATCTTTATCTTGCATCTATAGCTTCATTGCTTCCTTGTGAACACTGATAATCTCACCTCACAAGACGTAAACCATTTGCCTCCAGTTCCTCGTTCATGACACTGATGAAGGTGTCGAAGCGATTGAGTGGCTTCTTCTCTGCCAGGACCTTATTACAGGCTCTAGCCTCCACCAGGAAGACGACGTCTGTGGACTTTAGAATCTCTTCTTTCTCCAGCATGATAGAGGTGCCCTCCTCCAGAGCTTTCATCTCTCCGTCATTAGTCATGTACTCACACCTGGAGAGGTAATAGAACGAGATTAGATTTTGCAGTCGAAGCGGCTGGTTTAATGTGCATCCAATATCCATCCTGTGGAAGGTGGTGCAAGAGCATATGGATACACGAAAGACCTAGGAATCAGGGCCCCCAATAGAATACTAGATCTGGATTTATATCTAAAATTATCGGTGCTATCGTACCAGATGCCGACACTATGGTTAAGTAACAAAAGCGGTTCATATGTTATCATGCCTTATCCTCTACTCACGAGAAGAGAACGTGGTAAATTAATACACAAATAACCTGCACATAGAAAGAAGCTTATGAAGGGCCGGGTTATTTGCGTATTTTTCCAGTCACAGTATTTAGTTTCGTTTAACAGTCTCCCCACTGAATAACACACATGGATTTAATGCTTCACATTATTAAAAAAAAACACACAGCAGGCTAGTGGGTCTTGCAGTGCTTCTTACGTTTTTATGAAAGGCTTCTGTAATGTGAATGTTGAAGTCACGCTACCAGAGCTGGAACAATTCACAACCCACAATACCATGGCTGGAACAATTCATAACCCAACACTTTGGCTGGGGTAATTAACAACTAGTCCACAATACCGTGGCTAGAACATTTCACAGTTAACTCACAATACCATGGCTGAAGCAAATCACAGCTAACCCACAATACCATGAGTGGAACCCTGATAAACCTTTACATTCTCAGGCTCTGTGGCCCAGACAGGTTTAGCGCTTCCCACAATAATAATAAAGTCGAGGAAGCAGCAATAGTGGCTAGTCTAATTAGAGTAGGAAATGTAATGATCCCAAGTTAATAGTCCCATTAAGGGAGGAATTAAATTTTAATTGGTTCTCTACTAGTTTCCGGCCTGTCGTGATGTACAAAATAGTTCATAAATCTCCAACTAAATGTAGACGATAGCAGATCTCAAAGCTGCATCATGGTCAGTAGACCATCACAGCTGGCACAACACCGGCACAACACCATCACAGCTGACAACACCGGCACAACACCAGCACAACCTATACCAAGCTATTAGTAGGTAGGAGAAGTAGTGGTAGTGGCACATGAGAAAGTGAAACAAGATAGTAGTAATAGCAGTGGTACTAGTAGTGGAGGAAGTCTGAGGACAAGAACGCTATATTACAGCCAACAAAACACTGATTACATATATATTTTTTTTTTCTTTTTGTAAACATGATTGAGAAAGTAAAATTAAGCAACAAGCACGTACTGTGAATGTCTTTCCACATACTCTAAAATCTTGGAAGTATTTTTTCAAATGCATCTGCAAAAAAAAAAAAAAAAAAAAAAAAAAATAAAAAACACTGTAGAGACTGAACCATTACCAGCATCAAGGTACCCATAAAGGGAGGGTGAACCACCACCAGCATCAAGGTACCCTTGAAGGGAAGGTGAACCATCACCAAGAGATTAGCTAAACAAGATTGGGTCATCAACAATAGATTAGAGTGATCAACTTACTGGACACAGAAGACAGGGATCTTGACAGGGATGTGCTTGGAGGAACAGGCTTCAGTATAGGCTGTGGCTGCTGTACAAGAGTCCCGTTCTTGACTTCTATAGTCCACCAGGCACATGTTTAGGTAGGGTGTTGGATTCACCTACAAATACAAAATAGGCTGAGGGACTGATCACCTCAAATCTACTAATACCATTGTCTTTATTTCGACTGAAGCAGCTTGCCAATTAGGCGAAACGTCTCATTAAAGATACCCAACTGTTGAATATCAGTGGTATACAATACCTATAAGATGGTAAATCCAACACGTGTGGAATACCTGCGTATCTTTATTATGTAGATGTTCTCTATCCAGTGACTATCAATACATTACAGATGTTGTACATATCTAATAAATTAGATACATGTTGCACATGCGTCTTACTCATTTACTTGTTGGTACTGTATACCATTAATACAATTATACAAGTCTTTGAAAAAAAATTATAATTGTTCTATCTTTTGTGGTTGGTTGTGCTGTCAGTGTGAACAATGGAGCATTAAACAAAAGATTCAAGGGAAACAAGTTAACTGGACTCGAGTCCTGGAAGTGAGAGGTACAATAACCTGCACTCTGAAGGAAGGAGGAGAATGTTTGCAGTTTGAAGGGTCATTTGAAATGCAACATCTGCGTTCCTTTTGCAAGAGAGCTGTCGAAAGAATGATGGTTGGTGTATTTTCCATTTTGGGTATATATGCATTAAATATTTTTATATAGCGTCCATAAGATCATAAAAGAGTGCTTCATTAAACCTAGTCACCTGTTAGGCAGGAAAGTTTCTCATCCAACCATTCCTAATTGTTCATTTTAAGTATTTTTCAACGTACCAAAGGAGTTACAAAAATAAGAGAGATTAACTCAATCTCGCTTGCTCTCGCTTTCTTCAGCCTCTCTGTGGAACGTGTTCAGCATCAGTAGCTTGGCTGTTAAGACCAGTAACCAGGATACCTGGTCTGGGACCAAGTCACTTGAATGGTGACCCTGGAACCAGCAACAGGTAAACAGACAGGACTTAAACCTACCTGGAAGAAGCAGTGCTTGAAAGGAGAATTGTTGGCTTCAAAGAGGTAAGTGCAGACCTCAACTGGTATCTTGGAGCGACCTCTGGCGATGTTACCACTGGTCTGGCACTGTCTACGGCTCACATCCCAACCCTCAGCCAGCACACTCACCACATCAGTAGGAGTCCCGTTAGGAAGCTGGAAGTCATCGTATGGTTCATTGTCGTATACACCCAGCAAGCCACCTGTCTTGTTAAAGTAATAACCTGTAATGAGACCATCCACGTTAGTAAGATACTCAAAGGACACATCCGTTTTGTTGCATATTGAGGACACATCAGTATCATCACAATCGTAGAAGACACATCCGTGTCTCATCGAACACAGGAATCATCGGCGTTTCATCACACACCCTTCAAGGATTGGTTCCTTGATCCCAGTAAAAGGCTATTAATCCAAGAATTAAAAAAGCTCCTCTTCCTTGGATCAATCCCGATTACCTCCCATTTCCCAGGCTTCATATGACCTTTATGGATTTAGCAGTTCCCCAGAAATACAGTAATATGTTCACCTGCCAAGTTAAATATTGAACTAGGGATATTTTAAGATCATTGAAAGTATGTTAACGAATGACTTTTTTCTCCTTTTTGAAAAGGTTTTATGTGGGTTTCTAAGAATGTATATACATCAGTTCTCCATGGGGAAGTGGAAAAGAACCCTTCCTCCGTAAGCCATGCATGTTGCAAAAGGCGACTAAACTGCCGGGATCAAGGAGCTAGTAATCCCCTTTTGTATAAATGACTAAATGTAAACACACAAACTTTTGTTTTCCTTTTCAGGTCACCCTGCCTCGGTGGGAGACGGCAGGTGCATTTAAAAAAAAATATATATATACGCAACAGTGAAGGAATAATACCATAAACGGATACTGCCACGACATCATGGGCCAGGTTCCAGGATACTGAGAATTCATAGTTAGTGTAGACGTGAATCTTGTTCAGCCATCTGTGGACGGATGCTGACTGAAGCCCAGCAGGGAGTTCTGTAGGCTTCCTGTTGATTGTCACCTGCAACACAGAGTTGACGCTCTATGACCAGTATGGGTTTAGCGTTTGTTTCGAATGAAAAAAAATAATCACTAAATTGATAACACAATTTCATCCAGTGTTAAGCACACACAAATTGTTCAAGGGGTTGCCATCATACTTAACGGTTCTTGATCCAGGGAACTGAATCTAGTCTTCCTTGGATCGAACCTAGATGCTGTATAACCCCTAGGGGTTAGTGCTTCCCTGTAAATGTAATAATGGGATATATTTTAGCAAACTGTCCTGTCAAGAGTGTCACTTGGCAGTACTCAGAGACAGGTGTGAGGCATTTCTCTATTTGGTATTAGCGAGAGAGTAGTGCGTGTCCAATTCTTGGAAGAGTGAACGTATGCTCTCTTCCACCTGACACACCCTAAGAGGTATCTAGATTTCATACAAGGGAAGCAAAGAGATCGAAACTATGATCAAGAGCTTCACTTCAGCAAGGAGCCCCCTTCCCCGTCACTGAAGGCAAAGGTAATCTTACCCTGAAGTCGGTGGCTAGTTCTATCTCGCTGTTGTCTATGTAGATGATGATAGTGCGGGAGGAGTGACTATGATAGTTGACTGCCACTGCCCACCTAGCGTTCACCATGTCAGCTGCAAGCAGGTGTTGGCACCGTCCCTTAAACTCCAAGTGCCGGCCATCGAAGGTCATGAAGTGTTGCTCTCCGATCATGTACCCCGTCGCTGCCGGGAGAAACTCTTATTGTGTGAAATTTTCACCAAAGATTTTCAATAATAGTTACGTGAGGATCAGATTACTTTTAGCTATTAACCCCCCCCCCCGTGAAGAATCTTCACGGGGGGGGGGCATACGTTACATGGAGTATACCTGGAGGGTGTTTCAGGGGTCAATTCCCCCATGACCCAGTCCATGACCAGATCTCATGATGGATCAGGGCCTGATCAACCAGCTTGTTGCTGCTGGCTGATCAGGCAAACCGATGTAGAAATAACAGCTCAGCTGTTCAGGTACTGACTTTAGGTGCCTGTCTAGTGCCTTCTTGAAGACAGCCAGGGGTTATTGGAAAGCCCTCTTATGTATGCTGGGATGCAGTTGTACAGTCTTGGGCCCCCGACTTTATGCAAGTGAGCGACTCTTAACTAAACAAATTGGAGTTATCCATGTCTTTGATTCTGACTACTTCCAATTTCCTAGGTTCTATATTACCCCTAAGACTTCAGCACATATCCTGTGAATATAATAATCTTAGGAGACAAAGAAAGAACAACTCACCAGGGTTGGGAAGGATCCAAGACAAAGGTTTCAGGTCGAGGTTGAGGTTGACGTACTTGTACCAGATCTCATGAAAGGTGTAGTTTACAGAGGAGAAGAAAGTCTCTCTCATCCACTGAATGTTCTTGTACTCCGGAAGGTCCTGTGAGACACCAAGTTTAGAAATAACATTTAAGAGACAAATTCTTGCATATAAATAAAGCAGAAAGATTTAACTCAGGGCAAACATTTGAAGACATTTAGCCTTAAGTGATTTTTGGAATAGAAAAACCTTTTAACGCAAAACGTTGTCTATAAACTTAAGTTTATTTTTTACATAGTTTTTCTACCATATCAGGAATAAGGTTAATTACGACATAATAAGTTAGACACCATAAGAGAAAAAATTTTTAAACACAAAAATAGCTTTCTCAATCATCCTTCTTCAACTTTTAAAAATAATACTGAATTTTGCTGTGATTTTTCTCTGAAATGGCTCTTTCCTTTCTTAAATAACCACGAGCTTCCAATGGTCTTTTTTAAACCTTTTTTTTATCTACCTTTTCCCCATCTCTGCTGCCCTCTTTACATGTATGCCTCTGCTTTAATATGCATCTCTATATATTTTACCAAATTCAACAACAGTAACACAAGATTCACCTTCCAGCTGGGTTTGTGGTCGAAGGATTGCCAGTCAAGGGGTAACTTTTGTACTAGTTCCATCGTCCCTTCATCTGGGCTAAACTTAAACTTAGTCTTGGCTAAGATGTGCCTGCCGGGAAGATGCACATAATTATACGTTGAAAATTTATGAATTATCATCTATCTCATCCTGTGCAGTGTATGCTTTGCTCTACAAAAATATTATTATGACCCTAATTCAATTTACAGTAACATTGTAGTGCAGGGCCCAGTCCTAGAGCCCATTATGTGCCTTTGTATTCCTTTGACTATGACCCACAGGATGAGTATGGAGCGCATAATGACGATATTACACTAAAAACTCAAGATATAATGCACAACTGTAAATGAATAAACAGAAGAATAGACTGGGGCTTGAACCATAGTAGACCTGGAATATACAGAACCATAGTTGGGCCTGCAACACGATTTGGCCTGTTACCATGGTTCGAGTCACCATCCATTCTTCTATTTATCAGTATTCAACTAACTTCTGTGAGGCCTGGACGCTGGTCTGGGAGAAGATGGTGTATCCGTGCTCCAGAAGGAAGACCATGGCGTCCATCATGTGTCCACGGATGTCCACATACCTCACAGTCCACACAGCCTGTCCACCACACCAACACTTCTTAGTGCTAAATTACATGGAGATTTATAGTTAAAAACATAACAGTACAAGTCTCATTATGGACAACGTTTTCACTTAAAATGGTATATAAACAAATTTTATATCTTAATGCAGTAATACAAAATGTAGCTTACATATAATAAAATATTAAGGACAAAAGAAAGTCACTAATATGCAAGAAGCAGATAAATGGGTTTAAACACAAGACTTGATAAGCTAAATTCTGAAAAAACCAGCATCTAAAAATCAAGATTTGAACTGGATTATATGTTTTTTAACCTAACGTTTCGCTCACAGGCTTGCTTGCTTGCTCTTTCTCTCTCTCTCTCTCCCCCCCTCTCTCTCACTCTCTCTCTCACACACACAGGAGCTAGGTCTCGACCTCTGCAACCTCAACTAGATGAGTACAAGTTGTCAGGAAGTGGAATAGTCTGGCAAGTGATGTAGTGGAGGCAGGAACCACACATAATTTTAAGACGAGGTATGATAAAGCTCATGTAGCAGGGAGAGAGAGGACCCCGTAGCGGTCAGTGAAGAGGCAGGGCCAGGAGCTAAGTCTCGACCCCTGAAACCACAAATAGGTGAGCGTACACACACACATTCATTCACTGAAAAGTGTGCAGACAAGCCACTCACTTTGTCTAGAGCAGCAAGAACAGTCACTTGGAGTTCCTTGATAGGACGGAACTGCAGCAGCTTCTCCCAGGCTTTCTGCAGTTCTCCCAGCCAGTCCTCGGCGAAAGGTGCCACTGCCGATAGAGTTGAAACTTTCCGTAGAAACTTTAAACTTAAAATTTACATAGAGCCCTTTGGGGAAGGAAGGAAGGAGGGGGGTTGCCTTGATGCCAAGGAAGGGCTCTTGATCCAAGAAATTGAAGATACCCACACCTTCCTTGGATCAAAGCTCATTATTCATTATGAAGAAGTGCTAAACCCGTAGGGGTCAGACAAGAAATGTGGAATGGAAGATGAGGGCATCTCCTCTGGCATCACAGCACTTCTTGCAATACTCATTACCAAAGAACAGCATTATTTTTGTATCCACAGGGAAGAGCAAAACCCGTAGGGGTCATACAGTGCCGCCTGAAAGCAACTTGTTTAAAAAAAAATAAAAGTTCAACCTGATAAACGGAGGAGCGAGCTTCCACAACCTGTGCTGTATGACCCTAGTGGGTTTAGCACTTCTTTTTTTATAATGCATGGCCCATACGGGTTTAACACTCCAAATAAATCGAGCATCTGAATCGTGATGCCGACATACCTCTGACAAGACTGCAACTAAATGAATGATGGTGAACGTGTTACCTTTTTTATGGGGGGGGGTTCACCCTACTTTTATTTCCATAATCTTCTTCTCTGATCAACCAGGCTGCTACTGCTGGCCTCACGCAGACCGACTTACAAAATGCAACCTGGCTGGTCAGGTATTGACTTTAGGTGCTCGTCCAGCGCCTTCATGAAGACAGCCAGGGGCCTATTGGTAATCCCTCTTAACTGCAACAGGCCTACTTGCCCATACTTGGCAAGTTCCTCACAAATCCAACGATCACATCTACATACTTGCCTACTGGGTAACTTGTTCTTAATTCCAAGGGATTAACGTCATTAACCGCATTAACCACTGCTAGGCTGGTCCAACTTCAGTCCAACCAATCTCAATCAAATATTTGTCTAGGCTACTTCGAAAGCTCCGCAAGTTTTTAGCTAACCTCTCATCATGAGGACTTTAACACCATTCTTCAGTGTTTCAACTATCATATTGTAGTACTTCTCCAGGTTCTCCCTCTTAGAGTTCTCGGTGAAATCTCTGTAGATGTCCTCCAGGTAGTCGATCATCTCCTGGATACGGCGGTAGGCGGATGAAGATTTTATCTCCAAGCCCAGCTTCTGCAGCCACTCTGTCAGGAGACACAACGTTGGTATAACTTATCTGAACACCATGAAGACCACATTTTTCATGTTTGGTAAGTTCAAGAATGAATAAAAATAGTGATTACATAGTTTAGAGAGAGAGAGAGAGAGAGAGAGAGAGAGAGAGAGAGAGAGAAAGAGACACAGACTCCCAACAAAGTTACAACCTGGAAAGACAAATGCAATATAACGAGGTTCTTAATGAACGTTTCGCTCATGTAATGGGCAAAATCAAGTCACAAAGGATTGCATTATACTGTATACGTGTCCCTTTATCCATAGTGTCAGTCTTTTATACCATTTCTCTCCAGTTAGCACATCTCCCTGAAAAAAATAAACTGACGTAAAAAGGCAAGGCGTGATTCTAACCAATGAGGTTCTCAGCGAAGATCCAAGCATTGGTTTCTACGTCGTCGAAGGTCCTGAGGATGTGAGGTTTGTAGTTTTCATAAACGGCTCTCCACTTGCGTCTCAGCCACTCCCCCACACGGTCCGTGAAGCCCTGCACAGCCTCGCTCGCTCGCAGGTAAAATCTCTTAGCCATCTGCGTCAGAATGGAACAAGGATCATTCTTAATGTACGCTTACTTAACCATCTACACCAGAATGGGACGAGGATCATTCTTAATGCAGCCTTACTTAACCATCTACATCAGAATGGGACAAGGATCATACTTAATGCAGCCTTACTTAACCATCTGCACCAGAAAGAAACAAGGATCATTTTTAATGCAGCTTTAGTCCACTCATACCTCAATATGTTGCTGGCAATTCATGAAAATAATGAGAGGCCTGAGCTTGCTACCATCTGCAGCTCATAAGACTGCCATCCCCACGAGCCCCTTTGAGGCGGGGTAGATGGCAGACCAGAGGCCTAGCTTCTCCCTACGAGCCCCGTGAGGGCGGGGAATGTGGCTAGGCCTGGGGACACTTGGTCCCAAAGATGAGGAGGTACTTGTACCTCCTCCCATGGGAGACTTAAGTCTCGAGACACTCCCCAGATAGGGAGCCAAGGCCGGGTCACCACTACTTGGAAAAGACCCGGGCCGGGAGAATACCGGCGAATAAAAAAAAAAAAATCATGAAATTGATGCCGAAAGAACGATCAATTAAACAGTGTTATAGTTAATAGATGGAGGATTAAGGATTAATGAGCCCATTTATTTTCCTAATCAAGACATAATTATTGCTTAATGATCCGACCAGTGCATCAGATCAAGTTAGGTAGATTAAATGAATATGAATGATGGAAGAAGGGACTATCGAGTCCCATAAAAATTGCAATTTGGATATGTTATATTATTTCTAGAGTATACACTAGTATAGAATAATAATCTCATCAAGATTAAAAAGTAGATAACTTAAACCTGATAACAGTAAATGCCATTAGTGCCTGACTATTCTAAAAAAATATTACATATATATATTAAAATGTAGCAAACCAACAGCAGGGTTAATATTAATACAGAAATGCTGAGATTTTTTGTCCAAGTTATTTGTGCTGTTAAAAGAAAATTTTTACATAAATAAGAGGAGATCTCAAAGGAAAGGAGCCATACAGTGTCAGGGGAAATAGGTTCTAACCAGAAGGTAGACGGGGGGGGGGGGGTTCAAACCATGGTCCCGAGATTAACAGGTCTTGGAGGAAATGCCGAATTTATAGGGGATCACAAAATGCCTGGGAAAAGGATGAACTGTTATTTTGGGTTTTGTTCGTAGGCCTTTTGTGTATCCATATGCTCTTGCGCGACCGTCCACAGGATGGATATGGGGTGCACAATAAATTAGCCACTTTGGTGTCAAAATTTAATCTGGGAAATGGAAGGTAATCAGATTTAATCCCAGAGAAGGATAACTATTTCCTTAACTCATAAATGAACAAAACTTTGTAGCCACCGACCTGATCATGCATCTCAGCAAAGATAGACAGTAACCACCTGATCCTCTCCTTCAGTCCAGGACCAGTCGGGTCCTGTAAAGGCAACCAATCGTGAGAAACGGCCTAATTAATGGCTGGTATCATAAATTTAATTACAGATATACAGTACCTTGGTATCCTGACTCGCCAGATCGTAATAACACAGTTGCAAACAAAACACGGAATGGGTGGGGTTTGAATCCATGGCGAGTGGTATCTTCATTTGTTTAGTATAGAGGGAAATGACAAAGATGGGAGGGAGTAGAAAATATCTATACATTGGAATTGGTGTGTTAATTTACTGTGAATACAAAGATGTGAAAGGAAGGGAAGAGCAAGTTACAGATTAAGTTTTTAATGGTACTATAAAGTTTTACTGTGTAGATCTTCATCAAGTCTCGGCATTACAAGGCTCTACACAGAGCAAACTAAGTTGTGTGTTTCACTGTGCAGAGCCCTGTCAAGCCATAAAGCTCTATACAGAGTGATAAGTTACCCACCAATAAAGCTTGTACAGCAGTTATTCTTTTCACTTTTATACTTATCAGAAATATTCCATTTAATCCAAAAACATCAGGCTACAAATAACGATTACAAGGACACTCACTGAGGTGAGATACAGATAAATTGTATGTATTTTCTGTATCATAGTCTTGAGGCTGCCACTCCCAGCTCCTCCCTCCATTTGAACCTTCAGTCTCCTGTAGGAGGGACTGAAACAACACAAGCATGTGTAAATAAAATTACATTCACAGAGTTAAATCGAATGGACTCTAAAGCACTGTTTGCGGACCAGTCCTTGGACCCATTACGTACCTCTGTAATCTTTTGACTACTGTCCACATGATGTATAGTCCGAACTTTGCTCATACCTCTGCAACATAAGTGCCATTAAAAATTTGTTAAGTTATACCTTGAATTAAGGAGAGTTTCTAGACTTCACCTTATGAAACAGACAGAGGAAATGCATTAGTAATTCTGGACAAGGTAGATTATAGGGGAAAAATGAACAAGTTATTTGAAGATGGGGGAACTTACGTGTCTCTTAAACTGCATGTGTGTTTATTTTGCGCTCATTCATTAAGAGTACGTGGGAGAAACTTTTCGAAAAAATGGGGGGGGGATACAGAAATGGAATTATTTACGATATTATTATTATTATAATCAAGGGGAAGCGCTAAACCCGGAGGATTATACAGCGCCTGGGGGGGGGATTGTGGAAGGCATTCAGGCTTAATTCGGGGAACTGGAGCACAGATCCAATTCCCTAAATCAAGAGCCCCTCACCAACATCAAGGAACCTTCCTTGAGGGGTTATTTACGATAATATAGCAGTATATACAGAATGGTAAATGTAGAAACTTGACTTAAGACTTACATCTTCTCCAGGGTCTCCATGATGCTGTTTATGACGAACTTGACAGACTCCAGGACCTGCATCTCCACCGCTGTCGAATTTATGTTATTGTAGAGGAGCCAGAGATCATCTTTGAACTCCTGAGACTCGTTCCTGCAGAGAATGCATCGTTACTAAATGTAGCTGCAATCGTGGTTGCAACAATTCACAAATGCAATATGCTCATAAAATTGTTTTATACAGTCAAAATTTTTTTTTGCACTTAAAAAATGTATTCAAAATTGAATAGGCTGTACTCTGAAGGCCTTTTCATGTTAGATTAGGTACGATTCGTCAGGGAACAGGATGAGTGTTTCCTGACGTGGGTCTTAGTCATATGATGACCTGCCACTTGAGTTTTTGGTCATCTGACCGAGGTCTTCCACTGGCTTACTGGTCTATCCCTTTTAAAAATAATTTTTATTTTGTTTTTGTATATAGCCAGTAAAAGCTGAGGTGATTTATCCCTCAGCCATGTCTGTGTTCACAATCTTGAATCTAATCTCTTTTATTATCTGATTCATCACGCTGATGAATCAGACTACTCATCAACCATCTCCAGTTTTAACACCAAGGCTGAGTTTGTGCAATTCACCCACTTGTCGGTACCCCATACCATTAATGTTATAATACGTGAAGGTCTTGCATCTCTGAAGACAAAGTCAAGGATTATAACTCATCTTCCATGAAGTTTCCCCACAATATACAGTATAGTAACTGCCAAGCTAGATGATAAACTTATCTCCAGGTCTTTGGGTTAATTGAGTTCTCGGCTCTGCACATAAAGCAGACAAGGGCCTATTAGCCATGTCTAGCCACAGGATGGAAGGCATGGCTCCTTAACTGCAAACAGTGGTGAAGCTACTTGAAGGCTTATGGGTTCAAATCCCTCCCTATGCAAATACTTTTAATTTCTTTTCTACGTCACCACTTTTGTTGTCTCTATTCCATGTCTGGTGAAATAGCTGGGTCAAAACTGCTTCCTTGTAGGAGTTCGTATGTTTGAACTTAAAACATTACACGTTTTTCTCTGAAAAATGGTATGGTGATGCCGACAAGATGTGCAGAAAAAAACACTTTTGTACAATTCAGGGCATTAGAGGAAAAGTTTCGCACTACTGGCGAAACGTCCCCTCTAATAAATATTCTGAACTATATATAAAAGTGTTTTATTCCATGTATTTTACTCTATTCCGACTGAAGCAACTTGCTGAGTAGATAAAACTTAAACTGACATATATGCGTCTTATGTCTAGCTTGTTCGCAGACTCCATTATCTCACCTGAAGTCTAGGAGAAGAGGCTTGGCGACGCTGATCAAGTCTTTCAGGATGGGTTGTGAGCGAGCCAGAACCTCGTCAGCAGCCTCCTCCATGGAGCGCCTCGTCCACTCCTCCAGGCTCTGACGCAGGTCATGCGATGCACCAATTATCTCACCAATCTCATTCTTAGAGGATAGACAAGGATGAAGCCTTTTAGATAATTCACTACAGGGAATTCAGAAGAGTTAAATAAAGCATTACAGCCAATACTTGTCTGAAAGCTTTACTTTGACTAAATACGATGAATAAAATCCACAATATCATAGTTGGAACAATTAAAATATATCCAACATGCAAACAATCGCAGATGGGTGATTTACCTATACAAGACAAGTCACGGGGGTGGAAATCTGTAGCTCAAGTACTCTCACACTTCTCAGTGCATCATCAGGAGATGTGCTACGTTGCAAGAGAGCAACTCAAGCAGGGAGAGTTCTCAGGGTAGCATAGTGCGGATGTGTCACCATCCACGGTTTCCCTTAACCATGGACGGTGACACATCAGCACTATGCTACCCTGAGAACTCTCCCTGCTTTAGTTGCTCTCTTGCAATGTTGCACAGCTCCTGATGATGCACTGAGAAGTGTGAAAGTACTTGATCTACAGATTTCCACCCCCGTGGCTTGTCTTGCATATTCAGCATATTAGAAACATCAGATGGTCCAAGGCGGATCAATACATCATTAATATTTTCTTTCTAAGTTTAGGTTGTGAATAAAATTGTTACCTAACTTGTAATTATAATCATGTAAAACTAATATATTGAGAGCAAAGACCTATACTCCTTTTCCTTTGAATCAAGATTCTCCCGGGGACTGTACGATCCCTCTATGGTTTTAGTGCTTCCCCATAAATATAACAATTACCATCATCTCGTATTTGATGTCTGGTCTCCAGGTGAGGCGGGAGGTGATGAGTCTTGAGTGGTTAAGGCGGAAGAAGAATTGAGCATCAGAGACCCATTGAGAGATCCGCTCATCTCCTCCCTGAGAGATCTGTCCGTTCTCCCCGTTGAGCCAAGCTGGGCGTAGGTGCTTCATGGAGAAGCGTGCATTGCGGTGGTCTTCTATACCTCCTTCTATCACAACTTGTTCAGCAATGTCTGATCAGACGAAAATGTTAAAAATGCTTTACAAGTCGATCATTCTCCCACTTAGACACGTTGTCTGACTGTTCAGTTCTGTCACTGGTGATAGAACTACGTGGGTTGATCTTCTATCCACTAAGATGAATTGTTAACTATCAGTGTGACATACCTTTACATGAACAAGACTTTAATGGAACAACGTTTCCCACTTTATTGATTAAATTGTCACAGTAATTATTGAACATTAAAATGGTATAAAATACCGACAGGTTGTTAGGTAAGACACATATGCAACAGTTAGGTATCTTTATTATGAAACGTTTCGCCTACACAGTAGGCTTCTTCAGTCGAGTACAGAAAAGTTGATAGAAGCAGAAGATACTTGAAGACGATGTAATCAGTCCATCACCCTTAAAGTTTTGAGGTGGTCAGTCCCTCAGTCTGGAGAAGAGCATTGTTCCATAGCATGAAACAATATTGTTTCATGCTATGGAACAATGCTCTTCTCCAGACTGAGGGACTGACCACCTCAAAACTTTAAGGGTGATGGACTGATTACATCGTCTTCAAGTATCTTCTGCTTCTATCAACTTTTCTGTACTCGACTGAAGAAGCCTACTGTGTAGGCGAAACGTTTCATAATAAAGATACCTAACTGTTGCATATGTGTCTTACCTAACAGTAATTATTACTCTGCTACACGTATCTGTCTTCAGTATAATAAAAAATATTGACATAGTGCCTGCACTCTGAAGAAAGTGTGGGAATGTTGCTGTTCTGAGGGTCATTTGAATTTTAACGTCTGAACGTCAGGCAAAACAGTAACTGAGGACTTTTTATAGTTATGCGGAGACATAACTGTGTAAGTGTGAGGACCATATGTTATATAGACACCATGGTGTGGGGACCCTATGGTGTAAAGACAACAGAGTGAATAAGAGTAAAAAGGCACAACACTGACTGGAATACACAAATAACCTGCACAAAAGACATCGTCCATGTCGGACCAAAACATTGTCAAAAGTTTCATTCTGTATGGGGGGTTATTTTTTGAGTGAATGATTGTGTTCTTGTTTAGGGACGGAAAGGTCATTCTACCTCGGTGGGAGATGGGTGGTGTTACAACAAAATATTGGATAGCAATATAAACACAAATGCAGTATAATGTGATCCTTTATTGACTACGTTTCGCCCACACAGTGGGCTTTTTAAGTCACAAACAGAACTACCTGGGGTGGAAGGAACGTGACTTGAAAAAGCCCACTGTGTGGGCGAAACGTAGTCAATAAAGGATCACATTATACTGCATTTGTGTTTATATTGCCATTGTGTCGGTATTTTATACCATTTATTTCCAAAATATTGGATAGCTTACACCTGGGAAATGAGGTGTCGAAGGTGGTGTCATTGGAAAGGAGGTTGTCGAAGGTGATGGTCAGGATGGGATGTCCCGGGTGTACCTGGACACTGGTCCTGCGAGGTACCTGACCTGGTGCACTACTGGTCACCATGGTCCACCCACCCTGACTGTCCTGTTCCACTTCCACTTGGATGTCCACCAGCTTTCTCCAAGTTTCCACCTGTGTAAGGTACATTATTATATTAATACGACCACACAGTACCTGAGGAATGGAAGGTAATCAGCTTTGTTACAAAGAAGAGGAGAGTAGCTGTAATTTCTGGAGTTCAGAGACCTTTACCAACAAAGGTCTTCTTGTTGAAGGGTATGTAATATAAAATCCATAAAACTGTTTTCATAAATTTAAGTGACTGTTTTAAAAAGATATTGGATAAATACACGAGTGGGAGGGGCTGGGTTTGATTGGTGTCGTGGGTAAGGGAGTAAATTCTTGGGTAGCTTTGGGTAGTGGTGGTTTCGATAAGGACTTGCCTTGTATGGGCCAGTAGGCCTGCTGCAGTGTTCCTCCATTCTTTTTTTATTTTTTTTTTTGAAAATTTTAAAACAAGGTTAATATCCACACATCTTTTGAAAGGTGACAGCCTCTCTCACTGTATCTTATACGGGGTGGTATAAAATGCATTTTAAAACTGACTGCACAGGGATTTAACTGCAAAAAAACTAAATTTTAACTTTTAAAAATTTGATTTCTATATTATATGCTTCAGTCGAAATTTTCATGCCCCCGTTATTCTATAAGTTACCCCTATGTTAAACTCTGGTGAAACATTTGATGTTTAAAATTGATTACGTGTCCCAAAACCCAAAAATAAGAAGGCTGATGGGGGTAAGGGCCCTCAGAATGTTAACAGGGGGTAGGTTACAAAACCAGGGATATGTGTAGGTTTTTTGAAGACGGGAGCAAGGTATCGAGGTGGCAGTTGGTATAAGCCGTGAGGTTTGTTAAAACTCATTCTTGCTGTACAGAGACTTGTTTGACCCAACACTGGCTTTCCCCTTTCTACCAAGTTTAAGCTAAAAAAAAAAGAAAAAAAAAAAAATCAAAAGTGATTGTACTTTATAGAAATAAAACTGATTTAGCCCAAAAGAAAACAAAAACACATTCAAAGGGAAGGATTTGTGTATCCGAAAAAAAACTATTAATTACTCTTATTTAAAAATAACATTGATAAATTCTCATAAAGTGAGAAAAATATATGCAATTAATTTTTTTAAGGAATTTTTAATCTTTCGCAACCCCTGTGAAGATGAACATTAAAATGGTATAAAATACCGACAGTTGTTAGGTAAGAACTTGAAACAGTTAGGTATCTTTTTTTTTAAGGCCCGTTCTGTCACTTCAACTTCATATTGTTTCAGACAACGGAAAAATGCTCTTCTCCAGATGGGGCGACCACCTCAAAACTTTTAAGGGGGATACGATTAAATCGCTTTAAGTATTTCTTTTATCAACTTTTCTGTACTCGACTGAAAAAAGCCATGTGTGGCGAAACGTTTTAAAATAAAGTACCCCAAATGTTGCTATGTTCCTTCAAAACATCCTGGAAGTAATCATGAAATAACAATGCGACATGTTATTTATGCAATTTGGCAAAAAAATTTAAGGGAAGGGAAAAATGTCACTAATTTTGGCTGCAACATTTCCCAAACCGGTATGAAACTGAAATCCGGTGATGTTTTATCCATCTTGGGTTCTTGTTAGTTGAAAAAGTGGAAACCTAACCCAAATGGACACAACTCCTTGGAGGTGGATGGGGGATGGCTGAGCAGCCGTGAAGATGGCAGCACCCTCGTGTGCGGTCTTTCGTAACACCAGCGATATGATAGATAATAATCAGGGGCTTTAGGTTTCTCCAGCTTCGACTCGGCTGCAAAAACTCTCGTGAGTTCTGCCGCCCTCTCCCCAGCTTATGTCCTGATAAAATTTAAAATAGCCTATTGATTACCCCAAACAACCCGGCGGTACACCATCTCAGAAATCTCATTCTTTCGTAGGCACTATTAATAACAATAAAATTTTTTTCGAAAAGTACATGGTAAAGCTATTTTGGATTGTAATAAAGTTGGTAGAATTACCGACAATATGTAAAGTAAAAGGACACAAGTGCAACTAATGTGACATTTATTGTGGCAACGTTTCGCTCTCCAGGAGCTTTTCAAGCCATTACAAACAATACATGGACACAGAGGGTATATAAAGGCTCAGAGTGAGGTGAATACTATTTGAGGTACCATTTCGATGTTCATAGTGGTAGTGTAGTAGTAGTAGTAGTGGTAGTGACAAAAGTAATACAATATGGTAGAGCATGTACGAATTAATTGCTCTACCATATTGTATTACTTTTGTCACTACCACTACTACTACTACTACTACCACCACTAGTGAACATCGAAATGGTACCTCACTAGTATTCACCTCACTCTGAGCCTTTATATACCCTCTGTGTCCATGTATTGTTTGTAATGGCTTGATAAAGCTCCTGGAGAGCGAAACGTTGCCACAATAAATGTCACATTAGTTGCACTTGTGTCCTTTTACTTTACATATTTTGGACTTAGCTGACATCATTTGCATACTATATAGAAAGCCCATGGTTATGCAAAGCATTTCTGGCGACCTAAACTAATCTTGTCCCCCAGGGACGAGATTAGCATCCAGGTGAACAGGGGTAGCAAAGGTAAGAAAACAGTCCCATTTATTATTACATATCCTGTACTTATATCGAGGGTGATGGAGTGAACACATCTCAAGGGACTGATTACCTTAAATTCCGTCTTCACATCTACCACCGATTTTCTCCGTATTGGATTGAGTCACTGGCTGGCGAAACTCCTCGATAATGAGGATATACAAGTGATACAAAAGTAACTAAATAACATAAAAAGACAATACCGTGACTGGAACGATACACAAATAACCCGCACATAAAAGAGAGAAGCTTACGACGACGTTTCGGTCGTAAGCTTCTCTCTTTTATGTGCGGGTTATTTGTGTATGATACACAAGTGACTTGTTAGCTCTGACCCTTGTATGTTAGAAATGACAAGGCTCACATGACTTCTTAAACCAAGCTGTTGGTGTCGTTTATCATGGTAAGTACAATTAGGACGCGTCTTGTATTTAACAGACGGAGAATCGAGCCTCCACCAGTTTTTATGGAAATATAAACACAAATGCAGTATAATGTGATCCTTTATTGACAACGTTTCACCCACACAGTGGGCTTTTTCAAGTCACACACGGATCTACCTGGGGTTGGAAGGTACGAGAGTATTTATAGTCATGTTCAGAATGTTGAGGTCAGGTGGAGAATGCTGCATCTGATGATCTACCGGGTGAGGTTATAGAGTCTTGGGTAGCTTGGCAGGGGTATTGGACAGTTGTGGGGTAGACCTTCTGCAGTGTTCTATGTTCTTATGTGGGATAGCGATGAAGAAGTTTCTTGGCGAGTGGTTCAGCTATGTTATAGGAAGCCATTGTTTTTGGTTGAAATTGTTGGTTGTAGAGATGAGCGATGATTCCAGGATTCTTCTGTATTGAGTGTTGTCTTCTGTGGCTATAAGTCTTGAGTTTCTGTAGTTAATTAAATGGTTGTGTGAATTGCGATGTTGTACACAGGCATTCCTTGTATCGTCAGTCCTGCTTGCATATTGGTGTTCTGAAATACGTGTTTGGAGGTCTCTTGATGTTTCGCCCACATATAATTTGTTGCAGTCATTACAAGGGATTATGTATACCCCTGCAGAGGATGGAGGCTTGTCCTGTCTACTACTGGTGATGTCCGTGATGGTCGTGGTTGTGGAGGTAGATACTTGGAATGATGTTTTGGCAAAGATGTTGGAAACATGTTTGAACATTAAAATGGTATAAAATACCGACAGGTTGTTAGGTAAGACACATATGCAACAGTTAGGTATCTTTATTATGAAACGTTTCGCCTACACAGTAGGCTTCTTCAGTCAAGTACAGAAAAGTTGATAGAAGCAGAAGATACTTGAAGACGATGTAATCAGTCCATCACCCTTAAAGTTTTGAGGTGGTCAGTCCCTCAGTCTGGAGAAGAGCATTGTTCCATAGTATGAAACAATATTGTTTCATACTATGGAACAATGCTCTTCTCCAGACTGAGGGACTGACCACCTCAAAACTTTAAGGGTGATGGACTGATTACATCGTCTTCAAGTATCTTCTGCTTCTATCAACTTTTCTGTACTTGACTGAAGAAGCCTACTGTGTAGGCGAAACGTTTCATACTAAAGATACCTAACTGTTGCATATGTGTCTTACCTGGAAACATGTTTGGCAATGGAGTTGGTTGGGAGGACTATGTATCTCTTCTCGGCAGTGTCTTCTCTGGGTGTGTTGAAGATGTTTAATGCCCGCCGTCTGCAGTCTCTGATGAAGTGACGAGGATAGTGGAGTTTAGAAAATACTTGTTCAATTATAGTGCATTCTTCCTCAAGGAACTCATTGCTGCAGATTCTGAGTGCACGTAGGAAGAAGCCTATAATTACACCACGTTTGGTTTTGGTGTCGTGGTGAGAGTAGAAGTGGAGAAGATCGTTTTGGTTGGTGGGTTTTCGATAGACTTTAAAACGAAGTTCGTGGTCAGCTTTGCAGAGCAGAACATCAAGGAAAGGAAGAGTGTTGTCGACTTCTTCTTCAAGTGTGAACTGGATTGAAGGCTCGACCTGGTTGAGCTTGTCTTGGAGAGCTTGAACGTTGAAGCGTTTAGGAGTTATGAGGAGAATGTCGTCAACATAACGGAGCCAGGTGACAGACGAAGGAATAATGGTGGAGAAACGTTCGGCTTCTAGATGTTCCATGTATAGGTTCGCCAGGACTGCACTGAGTGGCGAACCCATGGGTAGTCCAAAAGTCTGCTGAAAGAGGTGATTTTCGAAAGAGAAACACGTAAAGCCAACACATAGTAGATCCGTGTGTGACTTGAAAAAGCCCACTGTGTGGGTGAAACGTTGTCAATAAAGGATCACATTATACTGCATTTGTGTTTATATTTCCATTGTGTCGGTATTTTATACCATTTATTTCCACCAGTTTTTATGCTGAACGACCCCTCCTCCCTCCCCCCTCCTCAAAAATTTAGCGTGTTTCACGAGTAAAACAAAATATTCATTAAATATAAACCTTTTTATTTAAAAAAAAAAATATATAGTCCCATGTTGTCGAAAGAGGAAAAAAAAAACTGTACATCTTCATGATTAACATATAATCCGAAAACGTCCTCAAAATTACTTCTGAGAGGAAAACCAGCATTCGTTATTATTATAATAATTATTCAAACATATTCCACTTGTAGATGAATGGTTCAGAGAACCGACATGTTGATAAATTAGACACATGTGCAACTCTTGGGTATCTTTATTGAGGAAACGTTTCGCCACACAGTGGCTTCATCAGTCCATACAAAGGAGAAACTTGAAGAACAGGAGGAGAATGAGGTAATCAGTCCCTCAACCTTGAGTCGATGTGGTCAGTCCATCAATCTTGATGGACTGACCACATCGACTCAAGGTTGAGGGACTGATTACCTCATTCTCCTCCTGTTCAAGATTCTCCTTTGTATGGACTGATGAAGCCACTGTGTGGCGAAACGTTTCCTCAATAAAGATACCCAAGAGTTGCACATGTGTCTAATTTATCAACATATTCCACTTGCTTATACCTGGAGTTTACCTGGAGAGAGTTCCGGGGGTCAACGCCCCCGTGGCCCGGTCTGTGACCAGGCCTCATGGTGGATCAGTTACATTACCACAATATCCAGCAAGCAAAATCTCATAGCTCAATTGCTCGTGCACTCAGCTCACACTCTGAGGTCCGTGGTTCGATCCCTAGTATGGGTGGAAACATTAGGACGTGTTTCCTTAAGACACCTGCTATCTGAGTGTGGTAGTCAACTGGTGTGGGTCACATCCTGGGAACAAAATTAGCCTAATTTATCCGAAATGCTCTGCATAACAAGGGGCTTTCTATATAGTAGTATGTCATTGATGTCAGCTATGGTCTGTATACCTTATACATGTACTTGTAGAAATAGATATTATTACCATTACTCGCAGCAACGAAAGCCTATAATTATTTATTTTGCAGTTGTATTATACTTATGCTAATTAGGTTGAGTTTGGTAGGGAATGTGAATCCTCCAAATATTTATTTCTTACTGGTATTTCCTCCACCGTGTGGGTGAAGCATATTGTAGTAATAAATATTAGGCAAAATTAATAAATATTAGGCAAAATTAATAAATATTAGGCAAAATTAGCAAATAGATTAGCCCCGGATACCATGAGGAGAGTGTCAAGTGTCGTGCTTTTCTTTCTCGACCTCTGCTGCCTATTCTGATCTAGTCATGACGTGGTGTACTTGCTAGTAAAATCATATGAACCCCTCAGAAAGTCCAGTAGCTGGGTTTAAGTCCTGGCTTTCTCTCCTACTAGTGATGCTCCTCACACAAACTGCTCTTCTTTCTATTTCATCTTCCATGCTCAACTCCCCCCAAAAAGAGTCTTTGCATAAACAAGGAGGCCAGCAAATGAGTGAACTTAACAGAAGTGGCACTGACCTTTTCGAGTAGAGGGTGAGTGAGGCTGACCAGTGCCCTGTAGACGCGTCCCATATCATTGCTGTCATCCTTCCACATTAGCCGACCAGTGACAGCCTCGTCCTCACTGTCAAGGTAAATAATGTATACAGTAAGATTTCCCACAAAGCTCTTCTCTAATGGGTATGATTTGCAAACAAACCATACCCCGCCCGTGGTATGGTTTGTTTGCAATCATGTCATTACGGTTTCGTGTGTCACTTTTTTAATACTCTTTGAAAAATTGCCTCTAAAATCGAATACACGTCAGATTTTCACAATACGATTCATGCAATTTTTTATACACTTTTCCAATTACATTGGCAAAAATAGCCAATAAGCCTGCCTAGAATGGGCCGGTAGACCTGTAACAGTGCTTGTTCATGTTCTCTACTTCTTACCTGGGATCATCATCAACGTCCCAGTTGAAGGTGATAAAGGCATTGATGTCCTTAGAGGAATGTTTGTAGTACCCATCTAGCATTACTGTGTGGTAAGGCTGAGAGAACTTTCCCTTCAGTGTGTGTTCCTTGGTAAACCCCTGAAAAACAGTCACAAGGTAGATGAAAGACATAACTTGAAATACTTAAAATACTTACACAAAACTGTTGAAATTCATACATGAAAAATGAAATTCTTGAGAGTAAGTAGGTAGGTGTGACTGTATACTCACCTATATGTAGTTGCAGGGGTCTATTCACAGCTCCTGGCCCTGCCTCTTCACTAGTTACTAGATTTACTCTCTCCTACCTCTAAGAGCCTTCTAGTGCCTCTTCTTAAAGCTGTATATAGATAACGCATTTGCATACACGCTCGTGCGCGTGAGTTTAAGTGAAAAAGCAAGTTATACATTCACTATACCTTAGAGATGTCCTTCCAGTCAATTTCGAACTCTATCTTGCCTTCTTCAGACCAGGAAAGAAGAAAGCCGGTATGAAAGTTGTTCTGTGTGATGACATAACGCATGGCTAGCAGCACCTCTCGGTTCAGCAGTCTTCCTATATGGTAAACACACCTCTTAATACATATATATTTAACTACAATCTTAGATTAACTTAATCCATATTTTAGATATTTTTTGCTACGACTTATAATTTTCTGCTACGACTTATAATTCACGTCTAAATAACTTCATTTAGGCACAAGCACACAAAATACAATCATCATAGTGTAAATTAGGATAGCCCTATCAAGTCAGTCACTTATTTCCATTAGGGTCCTGTAATATCTTATTTAAGTGGAAATAAGTGACTGTCTGACTTTCTTGGGTTATCCTAGGTAATCTACACATATGCTGCTATGTACGATAATTTATGTACCTGATTAACCTTACTGAACCCAAGAAAGTCAAAGTAACTAATTTCCATAAAAAAACCTTATACCCATAGAACTATAGTACAGATGTATACTGCTGTTTGTGAAATGAAATAATGTGTAGTGATCTAAATAAGTTACATCATGTACTTGTAGAAATAAAGATTATTATTATTTATTGTTATTAATTAAAACTTTCATACGGTTTTTACTAGTTACCCTTGAAACAGTGTCAGGAATACTTGGAAAAAAACGGAAACACATAGATGTATAACTAACCAAAAAATATCTGTTGCTATGAGATTTAAATGCCATCATTGCCTTTTATATAAACACAGGTATGATAATTCAAGAGTTAGTTTTCTTTGTTTTTTGAAGCTTTATCATGTATCTCATACCCACACTGTGGGGAGAAGGATAGTGAAATGATTACACTGGTACACAATGGAAATAAGTCAGTCTGACTTTTTTGGGTTATCCTAGGTTCTCTACACATATGCTGCTATGTATGATAATTCTATGTAACTGTATTTGTGTATACCTGAATAAATTTACTTACTTACTTACTTACACAATGGGTACAGGATTTGGGACCCATTTGTAAGGAAATCAGGGACGGATCTGCATGAAACTAATGAAGCTTAAGGTTCAGGGTCTCTAATCCTGGAGGGGCCCCAAGAGGCACTTAAAATTTTTGGGTCTACTGTACAAGATAAGACATGGCAGTACTAGGCAGTGACCTATTTTCTAAGGTGTATAAAACCTAGCTAGGGTAGGCCAGCGGATGCTTAGCCATTTAATGAGTTATTATCTAACAAAGGTAGATGTCAGGAGAGACACTCATGTTTTCTAATGGCCTGGTCGACAATGCTCTCGCCTCACACACACACACACACTGTCCGTGGTTCAATCCCCGGCAAGGGTCCAAACACTGGGCATGTTTCCTTACACCTGTTGTCCCCGTTCACCTAGCAAGTAGGTACTTGGGTGTTAGTTGGTGTGGGTAGCATACTGTGGGACAGGGGCGAGGACCCCAATAGAAATAAGAAACAGTCCGTCGATGATGCACTGACTTTCTTGGGATATTCTGGATGGCTAATCCTCCGGGGTTAAAAATCCCAACAAAATCTTAACACCACAGTCTTAATTATATGGAAAAAATGCAAGGACAAGACGGTTTCAATCAGAGGGGTCAAATAGGGCCTAGAAAATGGAAGGCATTCAGGTTCGGGGCCAGGGGAGAGTAGGACTAATTTTTTAAGATCAAGAGCCTCTCACCGACATCAACGTGCTTCTCTCGAGGGAAATTTGATGAAGTTAATTCGATAAAGACACAGAATGATTTTTTTTTATAATAAATCTTACCTTGTTTTGTGCAATAAAGACTGGATTAAAGGCTTACACTTGGGTGTATAATATGGATTACCTCTAATGGTGAACTGCCTGCCAGACTGCGCAGTATTTTGCCCAACGATGACGGTGATGCGACGCAACACGTCATTCAGATCGTACAGCTCCAGCGTTGTCACTATCTGTCATAATGTAAACACAAATATTATACCTTATGTGAAGCGTCAAACCCATGTAGGTAGGACTGGCTCCAGAATTTCTATAGAGGATCATTGGAGAAACAGTCTAGGTCGGAGAGAAGGTGGGAGGGGGCTGCCCTGAAGTTATTATGCTTATTTGGGGGGCTTTAAAGGGGGGTTGAAGAATATGGGGGCATCAGCTCTCCTTTGACCTGCATTAATGGCACAATAGCATGTGGGGATGATGGAGGCTTTATACTCTGTTCACCAATCGCAGAAAAAATCAGTCAAACATCCCTGATATCCACTTTTCACTTTTTTACAAGTTATACCCTTTATAAGGAGTGCATTTTTGCTGGGGAAGGGGTTTTAATTCAAGGAAAGGAGTTTCCTCAGCCCACATACAGAGGAGTACGGGATTGATCCTAGCATAGGTGAAACAATAACTCATTACAGTTGTGACTGGGTGTGGAAGTGTGAATTGCTCAGTATGTATAATTTGCTCATGATTGTAGCCATGTATAAACGTAAGTAACCATTCTTACAGAATTCATTACCTTTGTAACTTCTGAGTTCATTACCCTTGTACCTAGTTCAGCTATCAAAACTTTGTGGGCCCAGTCCCTAGACCCATTACCTACCTCTGTAATCTGTAAATACCTTTGTAACTTGTCATGATTGTGACCAGACCTACCTGGAGTTCATTACCTTTGTAAATTGTGAGTTCATTACCTTTGTAATTGTGAGTTCATTACCTCTGTAACTTGCTCAGCTATCAAAACTTTGGAGTCAAGTCCCTGGACCAATTATGTACCTCTGTAATCTTTTGACTACCGCCCACAGGATGGGTATGAGGTGCATAATAAACACATTAAACTAAAAAAAAGCATAGGTGAAAACAATGGGCATGTTTCTTTACACATGCTGCCCCTGCTTGTGATGTAGTTCAGCTGGGCTCTCTAAGGAGACCTAATTATATGGTCACACCTGGCCTTGGCAATCGTCTGTCAGAGCCATTCCTTTTCGGCTTAAGTCTCGGCTCCTTTGTACTTCACTGGCGTCAGATCTCGGCGTCAGGTCATAACACATGGTGCACACCCCATTGTGGAGGGGGCTTGGACCACCATATAAGCCCAAGGAACAGCATGATCGGGAGACTTCGAGCGGAGCTGCTGCTGTGTGCAGAGCTCTGAGCAGGAGATTCGAGAGGAGCTGCTGTTGGGGTGCAGGGCTCCCGAGAAGGCTGCTGAAGTCTCTGGAGGAGACTGTTGGAAACAGTGGGCAGAGTACTGGCTTGGAGCAGTACTCGTGCTGTGTAGGTCTTGGGACCTGTGGCTGAGTTCCTGTTGTGAATTGTCCTCTGAACTATATTGTAAGTTATATTAATTTTGGTCAAGTTGATTGTGTTCCCTGTCTCACTGCTTCTATGTACCACCCCATTTATCAAAACCACAATAATGTTCTCCTGTTCCCAAATATATTATTGTACAAGGACTTAATAATAAACTGTGTTTGGGTAGAATAGTAATATTCACTGTCCCCCGTTAGTTCTATTTCTTATATTTTATTATGTTATATGTAAGTGAAGAGTTGGCGAGTCATATGGTGGTGAGTAGAGTTAATGCGAGTGTTGTGGTGGTCACCACTGACCTGTCATACCTACTTACCTGCCTCCTTCCCGCTTACTTCCGTCTCCCTCCTACCTACTCCCTCCCCATTACTCCCCTTTACCCACATATTCTCCAATTATCGTTTACATCCATTACCCCCCTACATGACATGCTAACCTAGCTCTTCTCTCCCCTTTTTTGACCTGACGATGGTCCAGGGTAGACCAAAACATATTTAAAATTATCTAAGTGTAAATTATTTATGAATAATTCGAGCCATGATACTGTGATTTTTATCATTCTTTATTAAAATTATCTTACTATTTAACACATTATTGCAAATCATTATACTATTTTTTGGTATGGAAATACGAAAGTGGTACCAACCTCTAGTTCTGTATCGGACTTGTGCCTGGTTTCCTTAGTCGAGGACAGACCGAAAGGCCAAAGGTCATTGTAGAACTCCAGGGAGGTGCGTTGCTTTACAATACCCTCACCAAGAACGACAGTGACTCGCTCCACCTTGACGTTCAGCGTGAAGGGACTATAGGCAGCGCCCAGCTCCACTGCCATGTCTCCCGTCACAGGGAACTAAGCATGGAGTAAATATATTATTAAAACACACCATTGTATTAGTTAACCCTTGATTTATGGGACATCAAAAATATGGGAGATAATCCTCTGATTAAATTGATTTCAGAATTACAGGCTAAAGATACGGATGCATTGCTGAAATTACGGAATGGTTCGTTAATGTTTCGCCATGAATGGTTTCTTCAGTCGTTCAGACTGAAGCCGCCGCTTGTAGGGAACAAGTTTCCGTAATATCTTGATCAGTGCCTCTATGTCTTGTCTACATCTTAATCACCGTGCCAGCTTCACCTGATTACAGAAGTTTGCATGACTTACAAAATCGGATTAACACTCTTACAAACAAATCACAGAACGAGTGGGGACTGAACCATGAGTTCAGTCCCCACCTAGTTCCTCGATTTTATTCTTTCCCGTGACTTGTGGTCGCAGAAAAGACTTCTCATCTATCCACTACACTGACATCACCAGCGACCCTCTTTCATATTGGTCTGCTAAAACGAGGGTTTATGATTTTTGCTTAATCTTCAGTACAACTGTAGAAAGCAGGTACCTTATACCGTATGAATTAGAAGATAGGAACACCTGCAGTGTGTGGCTGTCATATGAGAGATGCATGGAACACCTGCAGTGTGCAGCTGTCATATTATATATGAGTTCCATGATGAGAACACCTGCCACACTTTATTCTGTACGAAACTTACGTAATGGAAATATCTCGGTGTGCAGCTGTCCTTTTATATACGATAGTTTTGGAAACACCTGCAGTATGCAGTTGCCTAATTCTATATGAGATTTACATACTAGGAAATCCTATAGGTTATTACAGACTTGGAAATAAAGCTAGCTTGTAGCCCTGTCAACTAGCCATATTGCATCATACTGCATCAATAAGGTTAGTAAATCTTGTTAACATGAGCTGGAGATTCCAGTAAGGTAAGACTATTAAGCATTTTTACTATGTGCTTAGAAATTACCCTAGCTTCTAAGCACCTTTGTTGTCAATAAAACACCGCATTATATTGATTTTGTGTATTTCTCCGCCGTGTCGGTATTTTACATGGTGTCCTGTGCCCCGTAGCTCAATCGCTAGTGCATTCAGCTCACACACTGAGGTCCGGGGTTTGAATCTCCTCTGGTATGGTTGGAAAACACTAGGGACGTGTTTCCTTAAGACACCTGCTGCCCCTGTTCACCTATCAGTATAAAATGGGCACCTGGGTGTTAGTCGACTGGTGTGGGTCATATCCTGGGCCAAAACTGACCTAATTTGCCCGAAATGCCCTGCATAACACCTAGGTTGGGTAACATTTGTCAGGAAACAGGATAAGTGTTTCCTGTCGTGGAACTTAGTCATATGATGACCCACAGCTGGAGCTTTTGATCGTCTGACAGAGGCCTTCCACTGGCTTACTCCTCCACCCCTTAAAAACTATGGTTATTTCACCTAGGATAATGTCTATACACTTCTCACCTTGAAACCATATTCAAACTGGACAGGTTTGTTTTTGGTGAAGCCAGCGGTGATCTGTAGTGTGCCGCGGTGACCTGCTGGTAGGAAGAGGTGCTTGAGGGAAGCATGGAGAGGCTTACGTTCCCAGGGTGAGGTAGAGTTGTACCTGTGAGGCCACTCAAGGTTGTAGTTACCCTCGTATCCTTCCTCAGTCAGCTCCTGATTAACAGCAAAAAAATGTTAATTTTTTTTTCATTTCTCAATCTTTTGTAAAATTGTTATTTTGTATATTTTTGACAAAAATTAAAAAAAGTAAATATAAAAATAAAAAGTAATAAAAAGCTGATACAACAAAAATAAAAGTATTATTATTATTATTATTATTATTATTATTATTATTATTATAACCCATGAAGAATATTTAAAGTTCAATGGATGAAATACTCGTCTGTAAACACCAAGTTAATTTTACGACATTTAATCAAAATTATATTTGACAAAGTGCTCTAAACCCATGAAGATTTAAAATGGTGGGAAACGCATAAATAACCAAGAACTAGAGGTCACACCTAACATGTATGGAATCACACACCTGCTTAAAATTGAGAGTGATGGGTTGTTTGTCCCAGACGAGGGTTGAGCTAACAGTGATGGTTCCATCCCCTGCAGGAAACTCTTCAGCTAGAATGTTGCCAGTTACAGTCGTCACATCCGACCCCGTCACGATTGTTGACCTGTCGTGTTATTATATTATAATAAATACAACACAGCTATGGCATAACCTGCAATAGGTAACCTTATCCCAAAATGCTCTGCATAACTATGGGTTTTCTGCATGTATATCTGTCACCCATCTCATTCTGAACACTATCTTGCTGAAATTAAGCATTTAATGTCGTCACATCTAACCCCGTCACTACTGCTGACCTGTCGTGTCATTATTGTAATAAATAAAACAGCTACGGCATGACCTGCTACGGAAAACAGCTACGGCATGACCTGCTACGGAAAACAGCTACGGCATGACCTGCTACGGAAAACAGCGATGTGTGCATGGGGGGAGTACATTCTGCTTATTCTAGCTTATAAGTAATATAAAACTTTTGCATAATTACCCTTAAACATAAAATAGGCCACAATAAAACTGCTGGAACTCCTCATAACTAACCTCGAAATTGGAAAGGTTAAGAAGGCGATATTTCGATCTGTCCTAAATCGCTAGCAAATCTTGATAATTGTCCATGATAGAACCAAAATGTTATCAAGCGTCAATTTCTAATTTGCGAATTCATTGAATTGTAGGTTACAGAAAATGCTTAATAGAGTTTGATGCCTGAACGTAGGAAAATGAACTATTTAGTTTTTATGAAATAAAACAAGCTAAACGTGAATAGATTCTCTCATAAGGTGGCCCAAATGAGCTATAGAGCGAGCTTTAATTGGGACAACGTTTCACTCTGTGTAGAGAGAAACAATATCCAGATTAATGCTGATACTTTGATATTTGTTCTTCGTACTTATCAGCAGTACACCATTTTACCTACAGTGGGACTCACTTAAACCAGTGCCTCTCTTGGCGCGTCTCATAGTGGATGTCAGCCTTGTTGTTGTACCAGCCTTGTACCATCGGCAGGTCGAAGGTGAGGTGGCCATCGACGGAACCCTTGTTGAAGACCAGGCTGGAGTGCAGGACCACCTGTTGGGGCCCTGAGGAGCCCCGTTCCCAATCTAGTGTACCTGTCAGATTCAGCTGCCGTCCCTCCTGGCGCATCTGATAGCATGTAAGATCACAGGGAGAGTTAGAAATTGACAGAAAAAATCAGTGTTAAATAGCAAAGTATCATTTATAAATGGCATCTGATGAGTAAAAATGACACGTAAACAATTCTTTAAAATGGAGCACAGTATATTATATAATTGGGATGACTGATGCAAATAGACTTCTTTACAGAAAATCCCTTAGTCTCCAGCCTCTCCTCATAATAAGTCGACTCACCTCCCCTGCGAAGCTATAACGTGACCTGGTCAGGTCAAGGGTGACGGTAGGTTTGATGACCTGAAAGTTATTTTGATGTTCAGCGATCGCCTTGAAGGTGATGGGGTCGAGACGGGGCCACTGGAGGTACACACTCAGCTCCCCTGGCTCCACAGTCACTTGTTTCACCTTGCCCTTCACCACCAGGTGGCTGTAGATACAGAGAAAGTTTAGTGCGTTTGTCTCGAGATTTCCTGACAGGATCGAGCCTCCACCATACCTTGTGATGAATGATTCACACAGTGGCCCGGTGGCCTGGTGGCTAAAGCTCCCGCTTCACACACGGAGGGCCCGGGTTAGATTCCCGGCGGGTGGAAACATTTCGACACGTTTCCTTACACCTGTTGTCCTGTTCACCTAGCAGTAAATAGGTACCTGGGTGTTAGTCGACTGGTGTGGGTCGCATCCTGGGGGCAAGATTAAGGACCCCAATGGAAATAAGTTAGACAGTCCTCGATGACGCACTGACTTTCTTGGGTTATCCTGGGTGGCTAACCCTCTGGGGTTAAAAATTCGAACGAAATCTTATCTGTATTAACGAGATTTTAAGCCTGTCAACTACATTAACGTCATTAATGTTACATGTGACCAGTTCACCAACCAGTCAAGAATACTTTAATACAAAAAATGGGATTAAAATACACTCAGTATATATATATGCACCTCTCGATATATATAATCTTAACAGTGACAAAAAAAGATCAGCAGGAAACAATGGTATACAATAACATTTTGCTGGATTTTGACACGCTGGTTAAAATTACTTTGAAAGTCTACACATTGCTCAGTTATGCTATTATCTATTTCTGCCAACACTAGAAAGACCAGGGAGTACATGATTACGACTTACAAAATACTGTGATGCGAGAGGGAGAAGCAAATTTTTAGCCTCAGGATGGTAAATTAAACTCACTGCTGCAGTCAGTGAACATTTGACAGAATTCACACAAAACATTATTTCTAATTTCGTTATTTATAGTCATAACATACAAGCTATATAAACTTTTATTGAGACAACGTTTCGCTCTGTAAAGAGCTTCATCAAAACATGATTACATAACTCAAGAGCATAAGAAAGGAGGAGCATTGCACTAGGCCTAAGAAAAACTGCTCCAGGCCTGGGAACACTGCACCAGGCCTAAGGAACACTACACCAAGCCTAGGAACACTGCACCAGGCCTCATTTGATAAAACAAGGAGTAAAACGTTGTTCCAATAAAAACTTTCACTGTAACTTATGCCTGTGTCTTATTATTGCATATTGACAATGCACAATTTCACCCATTCAACAAGCCTTATACAAAGGAAGTAACTCACTCCCAGTAACCATAGTTGCTCTTGAAGTCGACACTACCAATCACGTCTATAGTGTCCTGTGTAGAGTCATTGGTAAGGCTTAGTTCCATCACGTAGGACCTGTCTGCTTCCTGTTCCTGCGACACCTTCAGGGAGATGCTGCCTTCCACCTTGCTGAAGGAGAAGCTACTGAAGTTGATCTCCAAATTTCCGGAGCCAATAGGGGTTCCCCAGTCAATCTTCACTTGGTACGGAGCTGATCGTCTGAGAATAAAATACGAGACCTGACTTAAAATACGGTGGTCTGACAGTGCAAACTGACACTCCTCACATAGCGGTACCAGTTGTTTATCTACGTGACATCCGCGAGCGAGTCGCGCGTGTCCGATATGGATTAGTGAAACATTACACAAATAACCCGCACATAAAAGAGAGAAGCTTACGACGACGTTTCGGTCCGACTTGGACCATTGACAAAGTCACACTGTGTGACTTTGTCAATGGTCCAAGTCGGACCGAAACGTCGTCGTAAGCTTCTCTCTTTTATGTGCGGGTTATTTGTGTATTGTTCCAGTCACGGTATTGTGCCTTTTTGTTATTTATTTATGGATTAGTGAAAGTGAAGCATTTTTTGTACTAATGTATTTCATAATAACTTTTCAAGGCAAATTGTAAACGCCGATTCTTTTTCCTTCAGTGGGGGCACTTAGATGCTGCTAAATGGTTCTTGAGCCAAAGAATTAAAGCTACCCTTCCCTTCCTCTCATCAAACTTTATTCCCTTCCCTTCATCAAGTTGTGTATAAACCTGTCATATGTCATGGATCTATATGAACACAAGATGATGATAATAAAATTAAATAATAATAACCTGGTCAGTGCCTGGCCATCTGGGCTGTGGTTCATACATTGGATTACATGTGGCTGGCAGTAACAGCATGGGTGGTCAGGCCCTGATCCACAGGCCTGGTCATGTACCTGGCCCCAGGGAGCACTGACCCCCGGAACACCCTCCTGATATACTCCAGGTATGGATTAAATCTGAATGCCCCTCAATAACAATTATAAAAGATGGCTGTTAGAGAACAGGGGCAACAGGTGTCAAGAGACTTACATATACACTTAAGAATTACGATGCAGGTGAAGGGGGCTTGTGATCCAAAAATATGGATTTACCTTTCGCTTCCTTGGATCATATCTGAAGATTGCCAGTCCCTGGCCTCTGAGATACCTTAACTGGTTTAGTGCTTTCTCCTGATTAAAGTAAGTGCAAGATAACATTTATGAAAGGATTCAGGGAAAACTGGTTAACCTGACTTGAGTTCTGGAGGTGGAAAGTACAATGTCTGCACTCTGAATCTGGGGTGGGGATGTTGCAGCCCTGGAGGTGGGAAGTACAATGCTTGCACAATGAAGGAGATGCTGCAAGATTAAAAGGTCATTTGAATTGTGATGTCTGTACACTTCTGGCAATACAGCTGTTGAGTGAGTAATGGCGAAATTGTTTCCTCTAGGGTCACTGCCATAGTAGAAGACTGGTGATACGTTAAAAATAAGTCTTACCTTACGACAAGATCCAATTTAACATCCTTGAAGCCCTGGTGAGGTGTATTGAGATACAGGGCCACCTTGAAGGGCTGAGGGTCAGTGTTAGCAAGACCAACATGTACTGTGTATCTTCCCTGGCTTTCCCGCGCTATCTGAGGAACAACGAAAAAAATACATAAACCTTGACTGACTCCTGACTTACTAACTCCCTGAAACCTTCCCAAAATTCACTAGCACTTTCATCATGTATGTTTGTGTGCCTCGCACCTCTCAAGCTTGCTTACATGCTCTTATTCTCAATTTTTTTTATGATGCTAATAGTGATCAAGGTAATAGGACCAAGTTCGATAATAATAATAAATGATTACTATATTTATTATTAATTATTATTATTATTATTATTATGTTCATGGAGAAAAGAACCATTTTAAGCCATAAAGCAATTAGAAAATAGAAGCTAATCAGTTCTGACACAAGATAGGGTAGGGTAGGTTAATTCTTCATATGAGGAGACTTATACTAGCATCCAGGCACCTTCCTTGAAGGGTGGGAAGAATTAAGGCATTTTGCGTTAATTTAGCATCATAAAAGAGTAGCAATTGCTTGTTACCTGGATGTCGACTTCCCAGTCATCCTCATCTCTGTACTTCCAGAGGAGGTCACCTTTGTAGGTCTTCCCTGCTCCCTCCAGCACCAGACGATTTCTGTAGCCTCCCTCCTGTGGAGTACCTTCCAGACGGAGACTTGAACGTTTCAGATCCTCCCAAGGCGTCTCTAAGACACCATCCAGCTGACAGGATGATAGAAATATACCTAGTTGGATGAATCTTAAGATGCAGTTGGCCTAGTTAATTCACCGCCCGTCGAGGTTTAGGATTTATTTGCCATGGGTTCAAACCTCACCCATTCAATCATTTGACATAAGGATGATTATAAAGTGCTATGAAATCCGCGAGGGTCAGTCAGCACGAGAAGTGGAGGCTCGATCCATCATCTGCTATGTGAGACAGAAGCTTCAACTCTCACAGCTAGATTTTCCCTCCTGACAGGAGAAAATGTGCAAGTGAACGATGATTTTCTGAGCTAGTATAGTGATTTTCAGCTTAGATGTGTAAAGACGTCATCGGTGGGATCGAATCAGAGATAGCTATTTGGCATTCACAATCCTTGTTCCAGTACTAATGTGCCATGATGGTTAAAAGGCAAATACGAGAGACTGTACCATCATGGAAGGGAAACACAGATGGAAGAGTGAACTATTGTGATGCAGGGTTACAAATGTAGGACTACCATCATGGTGTAAAGGTACAAGTGTGAGAAAGTACCATAGTGGTGCAGTGGTACAATTGTGAGAAAGTCCAAAAACAGATACAATATGACACTATACATACGAAAGTCAGCATGTAAAACTCTCACCTCTCTGATAAAGTTCTGCTGGAACTTAATGGTTGCATCAAGTTTGATGTCACCTCTTTCCCAGCCCAACTTAGTCACCAGATGGGACTTGAGGACATCTAATGCTGTTAGTTTCCACATGAAGGTCCCGTTTCTGAAATTAACACAGGAAGAACTTATATGGAATACTAACCCAGGAGTGAAATAACCCTTAAAAGTTAAAGCAATATGACTAAATTTGAAGAATGAGACACTTGTTCAACATTTGGAAATCTTTATTGAGGAATTTGGTCCAATACAAAGGTTAAACATGAGGAGACTGATGGACTGAACACATTGATTCCAGTCAGAGGGACCGATTATCTCATTGTTCTCAGCTTTCACTGTTCTATTCTGTATTGGACTGAAGAAGCCACTGGCTGTAGAAACGTTTCCTCAATAAAGATTCCCTAATGTTGCACACATGTCTTATTCTTCTGTGGAAAATACTGTGTATATTTTCCGGAAATACAGTATTTTATGTGTAAATTGATGGCCTATATTGTAGGTAATAAAAATTAATTTGTAAATAAATAAAGAGCCAGCGATGGGTGAGCGTCGCTGGGGGAGAGACGCCATTGTTTTTGAATGTGGTACAGGCACGCTGATGTAATGTGCATAATTTTCGTTGCTCTAGGGGTTATATTGGGCTTAAAACCTTTCAAATAAGAGCCGAAATTGTTGGATTTGCAATCCTGCATAACGTGAGCATTAAGCAGATGGACAGGACAGCTCCAAGAACCCCAGCTAAGTTGTCTAATTTGTGTCAAAATTCTGGCCAGTATTTTCTTCATAAATTTAGGCAGGGGGTTGGTAAGATACACAGTAATCTCCAGACAAATTGGTGAGTGTTATGATTATAAATTCGCCTTCTGTTACATAAATGTGTATATGCAATCATTTATTAATTTTAGTATACAGTCCACATGTTTATATTAATGTTCTTACCAGAACTCCTGGTGATGTATATTTCATTTGAAATTAATATAGGTCCAGAGTGACTTGGGGAGAGAGAGATTATGGTAGGTATCGAAGGGGGACATTTTTTTGCGGCCTAGGTGTCCTAAAATTCCTACTTGTCCCTGTAACCTTGATAAAGAATAATTATCTTTGTTACCATTTACTAGTATGTACCTTATAAGTTACATCCAGGTAAATTTAATTTTCCACAAAAGTTGCCCATTGGTCCTTCGAACTGGATATGAACCAGTGACCTATGGATCAATGGGCAACTATTTTGGAAAATTAAATTTACCTGGATGTAACTCATAAGGTACATGCCAGTAAATGGTAAAAATAATTATTCTTTATCAAGGTTACAAAGACAAGTAGGAATTTTAGAACACCTAGGTAGCAAAAAAATGTCCCCCTTCGATACCTATCATAATCTATTTCTCCACAAGTCACTCTGGACCTATATTAATTTCAAATGAAATATACATCACCAGGAATTCTGGTAAGAACATTAATATAAACATGTGGACTGTATACTAAAATTAATAAATGATTACATATACACATTTATGTAACAGAAGGAGAATTTATAATCATAACACTCACCAATTTGTCTGGAGATTACTGTGTATCTTACCAACCCCCTGCCTAAATTTATGAAGAAAATACTGGCCAGAATTTTGACACAAATTAGACAACTTAGCTAGGGTTCTTGGAGCTGTACTGTCGATCTGCTTAATGCTCACGTTATGCAGGACTGCAAATCCAACAATTTTGGCTCCTATTTGAAAGGTTTTAAGCCCAATATAACCCCTAGAGTGATGAAAATTATGCATATTATATTAGCATGCCTGTACCACATTCAAAAACAATGGCGTCTCTCCCCCAGCGATGGGTGAGAGACGGTAATAATTTTTATTACTTACAATATAGGCCATCAATTTACATATAATATACTGTATTTCCGGAAAATATATACAGTATTTTCCACATCTTCAACTTGTCGGTTGTCCAACCCATTACATCACACGATTTCATGTTATTTCTCAGGATGCCACCCACAAAACCTGAGAGATAAACCAAGAAAACCAGACTAAACCCCAGCTGTTTTCGAGTTGCCTTTCCTTCCATAGATAAACCCTGTTTAACTTGTTCTCCAAGTGCTGTACGAGTCTCAAAGTTCTAACACGTCCCAATTAATATAACTTACCTGAAAGGTTCAAAAGGTGAGGCGAAGGAGCCGGAAAGATCTTTCTTAGTACCAGTGACAGCCAGTTGGAAAACCCGACCCGTCAGGGTGCTGAGCCTGCTACGGAAGTGGCCTGCTTGGTAGTCTTCAGGCAGGTGGTACTCACACACTATGTCAAGTGTCTCGTAGCCCTCCACTGGAGTTGTCAACATCAGCTGAAGCTCTCCTTGCTCCTTCGTGGGAAAATTTCCTTTTACCACAAGCTGTCAAAAATGTGGTATTGTTAGCATTTCTTTTATTAGGTCCTCTTTACTAAGAAGTGCAAACGAAATGAAGCTCATATACAAAGCTCTTTAAGGAGGGTACCTTGATGCTGGTGAAGGGGTTTTGATTTCAAGTATAGGATCTGCCCTCTACTTTCCCCTGATCCAACTTTATTACCTACGATGATTCTTACTGCTTTAATGTTTCCCATTAACAAAATAACATACAATTTGCTATATATACACAACAGAAAAACCACAATGAAAAACAGTGAAATTCCAAGCGCTTCCCTGACTTCTCACATCAAGTAACAGTGTTGGAATTTTTCTATTTTTTTTAACGTGGTTATTTTGCACATCACCTGTTTGTGATCTTATGGCAATAAAAGAAAAAGTTTCGCAGTTAATATCATAAATCTGAATATTTATATGTTGAAAAACTGCTGAAATATTTCAAGCACATCTAACAGATGTCTCAGACTCTGAGAATTATTGAATCGAAAAAACACAAACTTTTTATTGAGGATGTTTCTTCTGCTGTGGAACTTTATGAAAGTCTCACAGATTTCAAAACATTGCCAAATAAAAGACTTACAGTGTATGCCTTTTGCCGGTACTATCTACCGACTGATTAAGAATAATAAGAATATTTTCATTATCTATAGTCTTTTATTCACAGACATCTTGTGATAGATGACATTACCTTGGCAGGGAGCGATGAGGCTTCAGACGATATGGTGATGTCGAGTTTAGCTTCAGGCTCCCAGAAGAAACTACCTGAAGCCTCCACACTGGCATCGTTCAGGTACTCGTCCAAGGACTTCAGAGGGAGTACTGCGATGGCTCTGCCCTCCACCCCATTATCACTCTTCTACAATGAGGCCCATTAATGAATTATGATTGTGCACTGATGGTACTTCGGTATCAGTGTTTATAACCCCGGTATAGTTTGAGTAGCCCTGGTACAGCTTGTGTAGCAGTGTAACAATTGTCAAAGCTCGGTACCAGTGCTTATGGCCCTGGTACAGTTTGTGAGTACAGTAGGGCCCCACTTATACGGCAGGTTAGGTTCCAGGCTACTGCCGGAAAGCAGACATCGCCGGAAAGCAGAACGCCATTTTTTCCACTTAGAAATACATATAAATGCCAGACAACAAGTTTACACTAACATATATTAAGTTATCAATAGAACTAGGCATTAAAAATAGTTCCTCGATATCTCAAATATTAAATCGTTAAAACACTTGACTTCCTCTATAAATCTCATCAAGGAGAGTACCTTAACGCTTACAAAGGTCCCTAAATCCAGACAGTTGAAGCTACCTTTCTCTCTACTCTGAGTTAACCTCATTGCATTCCTTGCAATTCTATTATCGTGGGGGATCGCTGAACCCGTAGGATAATACAGCACACGTGGGGCACAGCACACGTGGAGCACAGATCCAATTCCCTAGATCAAGAGCCCCTCACCAGCATCAAAGAGCCTCCCTTGAGGGGCTCAGCTCAAATAGCATAATAACCGAAGAGATACAGTAAACTACTCTTTCAAAGCTCCTCCATACAGCGGAATATTTTTTGAATACGACTAAACATGCGCATTTAAAATTGAATAGAATGCGTTGTTCAATTTTGGAAAATCCTTTTCAATCGCATTTACAAAATCACAGTGAATACAGAAGCTTTATAAAAGCTTAAATGTAGCTTAGGCTCTGTACACGTGTGATAGACATTTTGTGAAGGGATTATTATTATTATTATTATTATTATTATTATTATTATTTACACTCAAAAGGAAACACTAAGATCATAAGGGCTCTTATAGAACTTGGGGAATAGAAGATAATCAGGTTTGATCCAAGGAAGTCAAGTGCTGTTGAATTCATCTGCAGCATGAACCATTAATGCTATAAAAAATATATCTCTTTGAAAGATGTATTATAGACAGCTAAGCATTGGTGCATGAAATATATATATATATATATATATATATATATATATATATATATATATATATAATATATATATATATATATATTTATGACATCTTTGTCTATATCTCTGAACTGTAGACCGAACAACCGTTTTCTTGCGTAAAATAGACACGTGCCTACTTGTACAGACACGTGCTTACTTGTACAGACACGTGCCTACTTGTATGAACACGTGTATTTTAGTCGGCATAATATATTCTATATGATATAACTTTTTTCTCTGTGTTTTGTTTTAATTACCGTATTTTCCGACATATAAGGCGCACAAGCATACAAGACTGTTTGCAAGCACTTGTAACGTAAAGTTAGTAAACAACTGCTAAAGCGTAACACAAAGCCTACCCTTATCATCATCATGGGGAAGCGCTAAACCCGTAGGATTATACAGCGCATGTGGAGGGGGGAACGGAAGGTATTCAGACTCTGTTCAGGGAACCGGAGCACAGATCCAATTCCCTACATCAAGAGCCCCTCACCGGCATCAAGGAACCTCCGTTGAGGGGGAAGCCTACCCTTAATCCCTGACCTTGAGCATATAAGACGCAGGCTGATTTTTCAAGTATTTTTGAAGAAGAAGAAAAAAGGGTGCCTTGTATGCCGAAAAATATGGTACGCAATTTCAGTGTCGGAATCAACAGGTAGATAATACTTTACAATAATTAGAATCCTCATCTGATTACCTTTCACGAGTTTAGTTTATATATAATTAGATAAAAAAAACGTAATTTTATAACATGCTTGAATACCGGGTAAGCTGACGCAAGAGATTCATATCCTCTTTGCATAATTAATAAAAAATAATTGTTTTCTACCTGCAGTTCAAGGCTGAGCTTTAAATTCTCCGTAGGTCCGTACTGCATGACAAGGTCGTACTTGATGTCGTCCAGGGTGGAGTTGTTACACAGGTCGAGGAAGATAGTGTGCAGCTCTGGGAGAGGTGTGTATAGCTCCAGTGATACCCGGAGTCGTGGCAACTGGCCATGCTCGTACCGTGCGCCTAGACCGTACTGAAACAAGTCACTGGTGAAAGAGGTCTATCCTGTGATCTTCACAATTTTGATGATGTCTTTACGACTAGTGTTGTGTAGTGTACATTATCTACAGCAACGTGTTCTAACCCTCAGTTGCATCTATAGAAATTATCTCACAATTACTATCAAGTCAACTAACAAGATGGCTAAAGTGTCGGTCTGGAGTTTTACGACTCTCTAAACCTATAACTGACTATAATTTTTAAAGGGGTGGACCGGTAAGCCAGCGGAAGGCCTCGGTCAGATGACCAAAGCTGCAAAGGCGGGTCATCATCTAAGACCCGTGTCAGGAAACACTTGTCCTGTTTCCTGACAAACCTTACCTAACCTAACCTCGGGTTCAAGCCCCGCTCATGGTTTTTTTTTTTAATATCAGGTCGGCAGCAACAACATTAAAAGGCCTATAATCTATTTCCTGTAACATCACATTAGCAACATTTGTGTGTGTTTAGTGCACATAATAAAGAAAATGGTGCAGAAATATTTAATAAGAGCCAGGTTATTTAAATTATTACATATAACAGACCAAGATGGTGCAATGAGATGCTTCACAAATAAAATTATTAGCAGAGAAAGAGAAGATGAAAAGAATAGAGAATTGTATCCTAGAGGAAAAATACAGTCGTGGTTGCCAAAACTTTACCGGTTGACCAGATGTAAGCAACTGGCCCACGGTGGATACATATGTGAAAAATCGTGCCCCTCCCATCCCTACTAAACACAGAGAGGTGGGGGATTCTCCATGACCAAGGGGGATGAAAAGCTCTTTCCTTTCCAGCAATAATTTGTCTTCATCCTAAATACATCAACACAAACACTCATCGTCTAGTGTACCTTTCGCTCTCCCAGCTGTCCAAAAATCCTGGAGTGGACACGAACTTCAGGGTGAAGACGGAACAAGTTCCTTAGCTCTGCAGTTATGATCTGAAATTCAAGTCAGTAACATGAATGATACGGATACTGACATTTATTCTCATTTAATACATTTTTCTATAGAAAAAGATTAAGTTTAGGCATATCTGTTGCATATGTGTATCCTATAGAGGAACAGAATTCTTCCTCCGTAAGCCATGCGTGTCGTAAGAGTAGACTAAAATGCCAGGAGCAAGGGGCTAGTAACCCCTTCTCCTGTATATAATACTAAATGTAAAAGGAGAAACTTTTCTTTTTCTTTTTGGGCCACCCTGCCTCGGTGGGATACGGCCGGTGCATTGAAAAAAAGAAGAAAGATGTGTATCCTATAAGTCTCCCGCATATCCATGCACAATTTTCCTTTCATTTTATTGTTCGTGCAAATTTCAACAAGGGCTATGTGGACTCCCTTCATGTGAAAGACAAACAGACCTTTCGATGTATACCAAGGTTATATACTAAGAACTAAACTAAATCAACAAAAGGCTCTTCTTATCCCTTTCTCCCTCGGTCACAATGCATGAAACAAAAGTCGGTGGCAACCAACCTAGTTGTACTAAAAACAAAGTACATGAAGATTGCAGGGACGACAAATTTAATATATATATAAAATGCATGGAATGCAAGACATTTTGCTCGAAACTGAGTTGCCATTGTAAAATGAAAGTGAGAAATGTTTATATTGCATTGTAAAGGTTAACCCCGCTTAACGTTCCACATTAACCTGGAGTTTGTGGGCTACAGTCCCCGCTTTAACGTTCCACATTAACCTGGAGTTTGTGGGCTACAGTCCCCGCTTTAACGTTCCACATTATCCTGGAGTTTGTGGGCTACAGTCCCCGCTTTAACGTTCCACATTATCCTGGAGTTTGTGGGCTACAGTCCCCGCTTTAACGTTCCACATTATCCTGGAGTTTGTGGGCTACAGTCCCCGCTTTAACGTTCCACATTATCCTGGAGTTTGTGGGCTACAGTCCCCGCTTTAACGTTCCACATTATCCTGGAGTTTGTGGGCTACAGTCCCCGCTTTAACGTTCCACATTATCCTGTTGTTTGTGGGCTACAGTCCCCGCTTTAACGTTCCACATTATCCTGTTGTTTGTGGGCTACAGTCCCCGCTTTAACGTTCCACATTATCCTGTTGTTTGTGGGCTACAGTCCCCGCTTTAACGTTCCACATTATCCTGGAGTTTGTGGGCTACAGTCCCCGCTTTAACGTTCCACATTATCCTGTTGTTTGTGGGCTACAGTCCCCGCTTTAACGTTCCACATTATCCTGTTGTTTGTGGGCTACAGTCCCCGCTTTAACGTTCCACATTATCCTGTTGTTTGTGGGCTACAGTCCCCGCTTCAACGTTCCACATTATCCTGTTGTTTGTGGGCTACAGTCCCCGCTTTAAACGTTCCACATTATCCTGTTGTTTGTGGGCTACAGTCCCCGCTTTAACGTTCCACATTATCCTGTTGTTTGTGGGCTACAGTCCCCGCTTTAACGTTCCACATTATCCTGTTGTTTGTGGGCTACAGTCTCCATCATAAAATTATTCATTCTTCACGTTCTGCCTGGACCCAAATTAAATGCATGTTCCAACTCACGTTTATTAAGACAAGATTCAAAAAGCCTATGGCAAAGAAAATTTTTATAAAGAGATTTGTTACGCTTGTTCCCAGCCCACTGGGAGACCTATCAATTATTTATCAGAAAGAGCGAGTTGGACTCTTATCCTATAAACACTTTTAGTCATGTTTCTTCACTCTTTATGAATCATTCTAGTTTGTGCAACATATTTTGAGAATTATTTTCACGCTTATATTTTCACGCATATTTGGATAATTTTTATCGTGCTATTATTTCTATTTTGTATCTCGCTGTGTTCATACATTTTGATCTTTTTGGTGAATTCATTTTCAAATTTTCTTTCAATATCTTTATTCTGTTTAATTTTATTCGTCTCACCCTTGCTGGTATCTTAATACCTTTCCAACAGTACACATTTAACCTTTCCAATGGCTTTGGGCTCTGGTACGAGTACTTGTTTCTCTTCCCACTAAGTTTATGTAACTCTGAGGTGTACAGAGATGTATTTTATTCTCGACTGAAATGCTTTTCTCTATAAAAGATTAAGTATGGACGTTTGTTTTGCGTATCTGAAGGTGTCGCTATATAAATCGGATACAATAAAGGCCTGTAGACAACACATGTTGTATCCTATACGTGTCTTAACCATGTGTCTATCTCATACGTGTCTAACCCATACGTGTCTATCCCATATCCATGAGTAGTTTTCTTTTATGGTTTTCTTGTTCGTGCAAATTTTAACGTAGGCTTTGTGGAAACTCTTCACATAGTTAAAAAAAAAAAATTACATTTAATGTATTTTTGTGTCATGGATTGTTCCTTGGACGTTTCTAAAGTTTTAGTCAGACAAACGATTATACTCGTATTCCTGGGCATCTGTTAATTTCTGGAACTGAAATAACAGTCACCTTGTAGCCTGGGAAAGTTACCCCACCCACCTTGTAGCCTGGAAAAGTTATGACCCACCTTGTAGCCTGGAAAAATTACGACCCACCTTGTAGCCTGGAAAAGTTACGACCCACCTTGTAGCCTGGAAAAGTTACAGCCCACCTTGTAGCCTGGAAAAGTTACAGCCCACCTTGTAGCCTGGAAAAGTTACGACCCACCTTGTAGCCTGGAAAAGTTACGACCCACCTTGTAGCCTGGAAAAGTTACGACCCACCTTGTATCCTGGAAAAGTTATGACCCACCTTGTAGCCTGGAAAAGTTATGACCCACCTTGTAGCCTGGAAAAGTTATGACCCACCTTGTAGCCTGGAAAAATTACGACCCACCTTGTAGCCTGGAAAAGTTACGACCCACCTTGTAGCCTGGAAAAGTTACAGCCCACCTTGTAGCCTGGAAAAGTTACGACCCACCTTGTAGCCTGGAAAAGTTACGACCCACCTTGTAGCCTGGAAAAGTTACGACCCACCTTGTATCCTGGAAAAGTTATGACCCACCTTGTAGCCTGGAAAAGTTATGACCCACCTTGTAGCCTGAAAAAGTTATGACCCACCTTGTAGCCTGGAAAAGTTATGACCCACCCTGTAGCCTGGAAAAAGTTATGACCCACCTTGTAGCCTGGAAAAGTTATGACCCACCTTGTAGCCTGGAAAAGTTACAGCCCACCTTGTAGCCTGGAAAAGTTACAGCCCACCTTGTAGCCTGGAAAAGTTACAGCCCACCTTGTAGCCTGGAAAAGTTATAACCCACCTTGTAGCCTGGAAAAGTTATGACCCACCTTGTAGCCTGGAAAAGTTATGACCCACCTTGTAGCCTGGAAAAATTACGACCCACCTTGTAGCCTGGAAAAGTTACGACCCACCTTGTAGCCTGGAAAAGTTACAGCCCACCTTGTAGCCTGGAAAAAGTTACGGACCCACCTTGTAGCCTGGAAAAGTTACGACCCACCTTGTAGCCTGGAAAAGTTACGACCCACCTTGTAGCCTGGAAAAGTTATGACCCACCTTGTAGCCTGGAAAAGTTATGACCCACCTTGTAGCCTGAAAAAGTTATGACCCACCTTGTAGCCTGGAAAAGTTATGACCCACCCTGTAGCCTGGAAAAGTTATGACCCACCTTGTAGCCTGGAAAAGTTATGACCCACCTTGTAGCCTGGAAAAGTTACAGCCCACCTTGTAGCCTGGAAAAGTTACAGCCCACCTTGTAGCCTGGAAAAGTTACAGCCCACCTTGTAGCCTGGAAAAGTTATAACCCACCTTGTAGCCTGGAAAAGTTATAACCCACCTTGTAGCCTGGAAAAGCTATGACCCACCTTGTAGCCTGGAAAAGTTACAGCCCACCTTGTAGCCTGGAAAAGTTATGACCCACCTTGTAGCCTGGAAAAGTTATAACCCACCTTGTAGCCTGGAAAAGTTACAGCCCACCTTTTACCCTGGAAAAGTTATGACCCCACCTTGTAGCCTAGAAAAGTTACGACCCACCTTGTAGCCTGAGAAAGGAGTGAGGATCGTACAGCTCACGAGGAAATCCGACAGTGATTTCACCTGGCCCAGGAGCACAAATCCCACAACATCGTCATTCCACTGCGCCCTGGCTTCACTCTGCAAGTAACATCCGAAGAGAAGAAGTTAAACTTTATAAACACCTCTTTAAATAACAAAAAAAGGCACAATACCGTGACTGGAACGATACACAAATAACCCGCACATAAAAGAGAGAAGCTCACGACGACGTTTCGGTCCGACTTGGACCATTTATAAAGTCACACTAACCAGAAATGGAGCAGGACGGCTATATATAGGCAGGAAGAGGTGGTGGTAGTTGTAGTAGTAGTAGTACAAGAAGGTATATAATACTGACAAGATGAAATGTTGCGCGTGTGTCTTAATTTCATCTTGTCGGTATTATATACCTTCTTGTACTACTACTACCACCACCTCTTCCTGCCTATATATAGCCGTCCTGCTCCATTTCTGGTTAGTGTGACTTTGTAAATGGTCCAAGTCGGACCGAAACGTCGTCGTGAGCTTCTCTCTGTTATGTGCGGGTTATTTGAAACACCTCTTTGTAAAAAAAAAAAATCTAAAGAATAATTATTTATGTTAACAGTTCTTCTAAAGAAGCTAATGCAAAAACTGGTTGGTTAATCGGGCTTAAATGCTGTCGACTACAGGAGGCTCATTAAAGCAGTATGTAAACCGTCCACCAGCAGTCAAGAATACTTCACTTCGTAAGAGATTTAGGTAAGCTCTGTGTGCATTGTGAGACATACACCCCTGAGTGTATATGCAAATTTATGTATAAAACGAATAATTTTCAGACATTTTGAATCTCTAGTTGTTACATGAACTAATGTTACTGATCACTAGTCAACAAATTTTGAGAAATTTTTTGCATCGAAGAAAATCAGATTTTTCCCACTTTAAAGTTTTTGGTTTACTGATAAAAAGAACATGACTATAATAACAATCAACTGGCTTAAGTAAATTGCATATACATTTCTTAAACAATTACGTTTTGTGATTATAGGAAGCTATGGTTTAAATAATTACACTCAGTTTGAATTGAAAAATCTTTCCCTTGTACAGATTTACCATTTTCCCTTTCTAGGTCAAAGACAACAGCAGCCGGCTTAGGCCTATTATAAATCGAGCCAGTTTGCAATTATAAGCCAACATTAGTCAAGAATTATTTTTTTTTTTATTTCTGAAAGTTTTTATGGTGTAGAGCAGTGTAATCTGACAGTTTTAATGGTTTCTCTATCGTATATATTCTCACCTAGATCTAGACTCAGAATCATAAATACATGCATTAATATTTAAGAATAAGGATCAGAAAGAAATTAACGTGGTTCGTACCTTAAAGAGGAATTAATGCGGTGCGTACCTTAAAGAGAAGAATTAACGTGGTGTGTACCTTAAAGAAAGAGGAATTAACGTGGTGTGTACCTTAAAGAGAAGAATTAACATGGTGCGTACCGTAAACAAAGAGGGATTAACATGGTGCGTACCTTAAAGAAAGAGGAATTAACGTGGTGTGTACCTTAAAGAAAGAGGAATTAACGTGGTGCATACCTTAATGATATCGTCTTTAGAGTGACCCAAGATGATGACAGCGTGAGCAAGCCTCTCCCACGTGGAGTCAATCTGGATGCCAGCCTTGAAGTGCTGCGAGTATGTAGCCAGCTGACCATCAACACGCAACTCGTGCTCAAAATATTTTGCCTTGATCTGTAAAAGAAACGAATTACCCCACTGACTGTACTGGCTAAAAACTGTCCTACCTCATCTTATTTCACTAAGAATGCCACTCAACAGTTGACTAATACCCAGGTACCTATCTACTGCTAGATGAACAGTGGCAACAGGTGTAAGAAGGGTTAGAATAATGGTAGAATTACCGATAAAATATTAGGTAAAAGGAGAAGTTAGTGGCATCTGTGTCTCTTTACCTAACACAAGATGTACTCAACCGTCTCCAAATAGTCGAGGGAGATAAGATTTCGTTCGGATTTTTAACCCCGGAGGGTTAGCCACCCAGGGTGGCGCAAGAAAGTCAGTGCATCGCCAAGGGACTGTCTTATTTCCATTGGGGACTTCAGTCTTGTCCCCCAGTCTGCGACTCTCACCAGCCGACCTACACCCAGGTACCTACTTATTTGCTAGGTGAACGGGACTAAGTGTAAGCAAACATGCCCATGGTTCCACCCTAATCAGGGATCAAACCACGGACACTCAGCTTGTGAAGCGAGTGTTTTATCTACCAGGCCTGGTCCTTCAGTTCCAAGAAGAAAGGCACTACCACATTTGGTTGTCAGGACTAACTGTGAATTCACTCCTGTCGATTTTATCATTGTGACTGACATGATTATCTCTCTCTCTCTCTCTCTCTCTCTCTCTCTCTCTCTCTTCTCTCTCTCTCTCTCTCTCTCACTCTCTCTCTCTTTTACACAGGTTAGGTTAAGGATCCCTAGCTTTATTGACAAGCTATTTACAAGCTAAGAATTCCTAACTTTATTTACAAGCTAAAAGCTGTTACCTAAATCACCTCATTTGAAAGCATTTTTGTTATGAGACATACAAGTAGGGAACAGGATGAAGTTGGAGCCATCTGTGGGCCAGCATTTTCATTTGATCAACTGACTTTATCTTGTTGACATCATTATGCTGTACGAATGTGTTCCAGACTCTAGTCTTCCTGGGTATATATGATCTCAGATGGAGTGATGTTCTGGAGGAGGGAACAGCCAGAGTGAAGTTGCTGCTTTCTGCCCGTCTTGTGGTATAGAAGCTTGCTTCTTGCTGTTCTCCAAGTGGAGCCAAGTGTGGTACTTTGACAATGTTGGCCTTGTACAAAACAGTAAGGCCACCCACATCCCTCCTGTGTTGAAGGCTCTGCTGAAATGACATCTATCCAGGATGGGTCCAGGCGAGAGATGAGACGTCTTGCTCTGTTTTCTACTCTGTCAAACAGTCTCAGATGAGAGGGGGGTGGGAGTCAGGCAAACCAAGAAACTGGAGCATACTCAAGGTGTGAGCATACTTGTGCCTCTTACAGAATCTTGGAACCTCTAGTGTCAAGCAGATGCAAGATACGGCAAAGTGCTGTAAACTTCCTTGCTGCCTTGTTTGCAAGATTTACAACGTGGTTCTTCATGGTCAGTTTGGAGTCGAATTTCACCCTAAGGATATCAACTTCTTCTCCAGGTACCAACACCCCCCCATTCATAGTTACTAGTGCATTGGAATTACCATCATGGTGCCTAGAGACCATCATTTGTGTTTTCTCAGGTGCAAATGTTACTTGCCATCGGTTTCCCCAAGCTGATATAGCTCTAAGCTGGTGATTGATGTAGCTTAGAGCAGCTGACATTTCTTCTCTTGGACAAGTGAATGTCAGTGTACAGTAGTCTCCATATGCATGGGATTCTGGGATTAGATGAAGAAGGTCACTGAAGTAGACATTCCATAACAATGGTCCCAGCACGCTTCCTTGTGGAACACTTGCCCCAGTAGGATGACTTGCTGATTCTGTTCCATTGAGAACTACCTTTAGAGATCTACCATAAAGGTAATCACTGAGGAGACATAGCATAGAGCTTGCAATTCAAAGTGCTTACAGTTCTGCCAAGAGGCCCTGGTGCCACACCCGGTCGAAAGCACCAGCAATATCAAGTGCTACCACACAGCTGACTTCGGATTCATCCAGTGACTGGTGCCATTTAGTGGAGAGGAATAAATACACTCATGATTTTATTATCATACCCTGACCCTGATCTTTATACCATTATTTTGTGATGTGGGTTGGTTGCACTCAACCCGTATTGCACGCAGGAATTTCCTACGACGTTATCACAACTCTAACACACTTTATCATCCCTCCTCGCTGACGGACCCACCTTTGACATTGACTCCTTCGACTTTTTGACAGCAACTGACTTATTGCATTCTCCTTTATTATTAACCATTATCTTTTGTCAGTACGTATTTCAAACGATAACAGAAGAATGAAGAGACAACAGAATGAACATCAGAACGAAGCAACAACAGGAGCTGTATCGATTCTTAAATGGGAGTTTTACCAAAAGTGACCATTATAAGGCCTGGTCTTAGACCGAGCCGCGGGGGCTTTGACCCCCAAAACCCTCTCCAGGTAAACTCCAGGTATAAAAGGTAAACAAGAGTTAGCTATATTACTATTATTCAAGGGAAAACGATAAGCCCATTGGGGTAATGGTGCCTGATAAGGGTCTCTACTCAGTACCATGGAACCCATCTTGCAGTGTGATACAAGAGGGGAAAGGCTAGACCTCTTCTATCCTCCGTAAGAAACTTAACCCTCTGACCTTACAGACTATGCCGTCAAGTATAGTGACCTGACCATACAGACGAGTCACATCTCTCTCCTGAAGTGATAGATGTCACGGGACATACCGAGAGCTTGTCTTCCATAGCTTGAGGGTCTAGGTACAGGAGGATGGTAGCAGTGATGACATCTTCTTCTAAGGAGTTAACCACCAGGGAACTGCGCAGGTACTCCATCCCAGTATACACATCACCTGCAGGTGAAGAAAGGCAATGATATACAAATTAAAAATAATTAAAAATGCACAATACTGTGACTGGAACAATATAAGCTTTTGTTTAAGTAAATAAGTAAGTTTATTCAGGTATACACAAATACAGTTACATAGATTATCATACATAGCAGCATATGTGTGACTTGTTAATGGTTCAAGTTGGACCGAAACGTCGTCATAAGTTTCATTCTCCAATGTGGGGGTTGTGTACAGATTAATAGTACTATGTAATGCTGTTACTTTTGCTAAGGCCTAAACTCTGAGAAATAATCCACTACCTCTTCATTGATTTTGCAGATTTTATCGATTTGTTCGTTAGTTAAAAGAATCACCAGATGCCTTACTTGTTTCATATACAGTTTCTTCATATATTATGGCAGCAGCATTCTTGTCAATATTATGTGTGTGATAAGAGAAGTTCTCAAATTGTGGATACGAAAAGAACAGTTTTCCTATAAATATTTTAAGTATGATTGGAAGTTTCCTGCAAATATAGGTACGATTGGAACAGTTTCCTGTAAATATAGGTACGATTGGAACAGTTTCCTGTAAATATAGGTACGATTGGAACAGTTTCCTGTAAATATAGGTACGATTGGAACAGTTTCCTGTAAATATAGGTACGATTGGAACAGTTTCCTGTAAATATAGGTACGATTGAAACGTTTCCTGTAAATATAGGTACGATTGGAACAGTTTCCTGCAAATATAGGTACGATTGGAACAGTTTCCTGCAAATATTATAAGTATGACGAACATTTTTCTTGTAAATATTAGGGGTACGATTCTTTACACGCTGCAAAATTGTTGAACCGTGCTGGCCATATTTAATAATGAGGGTATGTCCATGGGGAAGTGGAGAAGAAGCGTTCTTCCATAACCTACGTGTCTTAAGATGTGACTAAAATGCCGGGAGCAAGAAACTAGTAACCCCCTTCTATATATATTACTAAGTGTAAAAAGGAAAAAACTTTCGTTTTTCTTTTTAGGTCACCCACCTTGGCCGGTTTTTTGAAAAAAAAAACAAAAACTATGAAAGCTTTTCTTCCTTTTTGGGTTACCCAGCCTCGTAAAAGGCCAATGTATTTAAAAAAATAGATGGATTCATTATGAACTTTGTATTTAATGTCTATTTCCACGAGGTTTAATTTTTTGCTCGGTGGTTTTATGACAGTATTAGATCTTTTTGGAACTTTTTGTACAAGCCATTTGAATCTTATTCAACAAGAGGGTTACCTACTTGACATCTAAAAATTTCTTAATTAAACATTTTTATAATTTTTCAGATATGGGAACTCTCAGTATTCCTTCAAAACAGACGATTCTTACCATTGAAATTAACCTCGTAGCTGTGCCCCTCCCACTTAGTGGTAGCCTTAAGGTCAATAGCGGAGGACCTGAGAATCAGGTCGACAGCTGAGGTCATCTCACGGTAGCCCTGGATGGTGGTCAGTATTTGACCGAAGACAGAGTACCGTAACTCGTCATATAAACTATCATCCTTTCCCTCTAAGGAAATCTCCAAGCGGTCAGTGTCCCACTGTAAACAGATACATACAAATAACAAAAAAAAGGCACAATAACGTGACTGGAACGATACACAAATAACCCGCACATAGAAGAGAGGAGCTTACGACAACGTTTCGGTCCGACTTGGACCATTTACAAAGTGACATTTACAAAGTGTGACTTTGTAAATGGTCCAAGTCGGACCGAAACGTCGTCGTAAGCTCCTCTCTTCTATGTGGGGGTTATTTGTGTACAGATGCATACAACTTAGTGTTGCTCTGAAGATGGTTACTCACAGGTTAGTCTACTTAAAAAAAAAAAAACAGAAGCATGCTGTACAAGTAGGTTACTAAAATCACTGAAATTTCAAAAGCAGGAACATTTTAGAACTGCCGAAAGTAAGACACTGAAGATGGGATGAGTAATATTAAAAATCTTAACACTTTTCTCATCATGATCCCAATACATACACAAACAGTAAATTGCTTGATCATATCCTTACTGCCCTGCTGAAGTCTCCCAGATTAGCTTGACCGATTTCATTACCATATGTACAAAACTAAAACTTGTCCTTTATGATGGAATATGGCTCAGATACATAGCTTTAATTCCAACAAAGCAGCTGCTATAGAAAATAGAGTAGCAACATAATTCTCGTGTAACCAATTAAAAAAAATATATGAATAAGGATGTTAACCTCGAGTTGTGATGGATCTGTGTTTAAAAAGATTTTTTTTTCTATTATAGTGGGAGGAAATCAGATTATTATTATTATAATCAAGGGGACGCGCTAAACCCGGAGGATTATACAACGCCTGGGGGGGGGGGGATGTGGAAGGCATTCAGGCTTAATTCGGGGAACTGGAGCACAGATCCAGTTCCCTAAATCAAGAGCCCCTCACCAACGTCAAGGAACCTTCCTTGAGGGGCGGAGGAAATCAGAAACTAGATAAAATTAACATATATACTCATACAATTATGCCTCAAGTAGTCGACTCTTAAACTGGTCAGCTGTGATTAAAACTTGTGTGAGGAGACGCTTGTCCCTGATGTAATAACAATCCCTCAAGTAACACTACCACTTAATAAATAACAGAACCTCACTGACCTGTGAGTTTTATGACTCACTCGCGATGGGTTCAAGCCCCACTAGTTCCCTGATTTGTTTAGTCATGTTACGATTTCGTGAATCACTTATCGTCTGATGGCTAACCTGGATATAGAAGTTAGTGTCTATAATGTTGGGTTTCTTCTCCAGCTTGACTCCTGTGCTGGCACTGACGAGGCCCTGGAAGGAGGAGCTTACATCTAGCTTGGTCTCAATCATAAAATTAGCATTGTCCATCTTTTTCTGTGCCAGAAGCTGCAAGTCTATGAACTCTCCATCATGCCACTGCGACACTAGGGTACTCTCGATGTGGTCTGCATTTCGGAAATACCTGTCCAACACCACATAATATTAATGAAATTTAAATTATGGTATTTCTATACTCTCACTTTGATTCAGCAACATATTAATTTTATTAATAAACAATGCTTAATGGCACAAATAAAATCAAGGTAACAAAAACAGAAGTTTAGATAATAATTGCATATTGTGGCCTCACTTTAAGGACCTCATCAGCAAACTCTTTTTAACACATCGGCCGTCTCCCACCAAGGCAGGGTGACCCAAAAAAGAAGAAACTCTCATCATTCACTATCACTGTATACAGAAGATATACAATCTCACCATCACTTACTTCACTTCCAGGTAGTTCTTTTTCCAGTGCATGAAGGGTGTAATGAGGTCAAACTTTCCGTAAAGCTCAGCCGTCTCGCCTCTCCTGAAGCGCATAGTCATGTTACCGGTAATGGCCTGCACTGAACGACTTGTATCCATCCAGCTGAGGCTTCCCTCATTCTTGTGTTCCCACACCAGGTCTCGCTCCACATACGCCACTGAAACATATCGATGTAATCATTACTTCGGTAGTGAGCAGCTGGCTGAAATGTCACCTTTGTGTGCTGATAGTGTAGGGATGTAATGTAGGGAGATGTTGAAATCGCTATAGTCATGGGTGCTTATTCTCTTACAGTCGTGAAAACAAATAAGACAGATCAAGAGGCTATGTAACATGTTATATAATTAGTATTTCTAGTATTGACAGGTACTTTATGAGAAACAAGCCTCACTGTGGCATTAACTTACACTGTTCATGGGTTCTCCAGTGAGCACGGTACTGTTGTCCTAGGAAGAAGAGAAGGCCATTCATGGTGAAGGAAGACTCCTTATCACTGGGAGTTTCATACAGCACCTCCAAGTACATCTTCTGGTTAGGATCCCTGTTAGTACAAGGTCTTATCAGCAACAATGAAAACTAGGAGAAATCAACATGTACTGAGAAGGTTAAGGAGAAAACACGAAGAAAAAGCTACAGTAACTGACCTGTTAGCATCCCACTTGAGGAGTGCTTGGAACCCTCTCCGTCTGGGCCTCAAGATGTCCGCTATTAGACTCATGTGAATGTCTCGGTTCCTGACAACAATGGAAAAAGTAATACGAAGCAGTTTAATCAGAATCTTATGTAATATGACTGCTCTTCCACCATATTATGAAAGGTACCTTAGTTTCTAACACAGTGTGGTAAACTATTTAAAATGAAAATCCACATATTTCGCGATTTATCATAGTAATCCTGCAATAAGGGAAAAATTGATCATGTAATAAATTTCATTTTTTACCCAAATGAATTTACAAATAGTCATTATCTATCAATTTATTATTAAGTCTGGCCCTCTCAAATTTGTACTATTGTACCTCCCTGCAGGATGTCATCCACAACACTTAGTAATACCCGAGTACCTATTTGATGATAGATAAACAGGGAGCAACAGGTGTAATGTCAAATTTTCCCTTCACTCACCCAATATCATTGGGTGGGTGAAGGCCGAGACATCTTGTATATCTCTCTCCGTCCCTCACTTTCAACTATTCCTTTCGCCCTCCCTCTCACAAAGATGGCATCGCTACAGCAAGCCTACTGACCCATGATAGGCAGATCCCCAAAGCAAAATCCTCTCACTCATAACTACAGGCTCAGTAGATGATGTCCTCTGTACCAAGATACCATGGTATTGCTGTGACACCCCCTGGTTCAATCACAACTCACCTGTCCAGATGAAGCTCATTGGTGATGGTAATGACAGAGCCGAAGGTGATAGCAGTGTTGACGGTGTAGAGCTGGTTGGGAAGGTGTAATTCAAGGTGAAGGTTGTGGCCCTGTGCCTGAAGGTGGTCCAAACCGCTCTCGTACTCCACACGTACACGATAGTTTCGACCAGCGTTCGTCAGCACCTGGGGGTCAAAGCAACATTTTTTCTCAACAGACAGTTATGTTCCTGGATATCATCCCTCAATCGCTATCAGATGTGATAATCCATACTCTTGAGATAACATATTGGACACACAAGATACCTAAAGTCACTTCGACAAAATACATTTCATTCAGAAACCTTCTCACGCCTCTGTACTGACTGACAGTGTGCAGACAGTGCGTAAGTCCTTGTCAAGAGAATGTGGGTGCCATGATGCCAGTGAAGGGATCTTCATCCAAGTAACTGGAATTACTATCCCGTTTCTTTTAAAAAACCTGACTGCTTCCCAGTCATTTCCCCAGAGACTGTATGATCCCTGACGATTTAAAATTCCTTATTAATAATCTCCTTCCTGTGAAAGCATGGTTTATGCTTTCGTCATGTATAGAGATGTGGGATACGGAGACTAAACCATCATTCTACATATTCACCTCTTCAAGAAGAGGTACTTTTGGTGCTAGTGATGAACTCTTGACTTGAGTAACTGAAGATACCTGTCAGTTATTTAGATTAAATCTTACTGCCTGACATTCCCCAAATATTATATGACCCCCTATGAACTGGTGCTTATCATGATTATAAATGCTCTGCATACCATATAATGATTTTTAAGAAAAAATGTTTATTTATAAGCATTTGAGATTTCAATTGATCATTTACTTTGAAGTGGATTTTGCTTACTTTAGTCTCAAGGCTCATCTGTCGGTCGTTGGCATGGAAAGTGGCATTGATCCTGGTGAGGCCGTAGGGGGAGAGAGTAATGTCCAGGAGCAAGTTGTGGATTTCTTCAAGACGTGATGAGAAGTCACCATATGCTCCACCCACCTCAACACGCCAGTTACTGCCTGACTTGGCTTCTCCCTCGAACTGTCAATATACACACACTCGTGTTGGTTAGATGGAATCACACGAGCATTAGGCTTTCAAAAAATTATCAAAATGATTCGTATGTACAGTATAAGAGATTGAAGGCAGTGCATTTTGAGCAGACTTGAAATAAAATAAGCATAAAATTAACTGATAGAATAATTCGGTATATATAAACTGCAGAATGTAAGATAATTAAAGTGCATGGAGATATGATATTTAGGTGCAAAGAAAACTTAGGCAGATAATTTAGGCCTAACTCTGGTTACTTTAGCAGTAATACTACAATGTAAATTGTATGAAACCACAATATAAAACGTCCTTTGCGTGTGAAAACTATGTTAAATTGAAGAGGTCCTCAAAGTTCTTCTGTCAAAATAAGCAATCTAAATGACGCAATCTGCCATATACATCTCTCGTTACCACTATTCCTTAACTACCTAAAATTGATTTTATTGACCACCCTAGTGGTCAGTAAATCAGTATTCCACAGTCACCTTTTATTCTCCTGTACTACTGTGTTACTAAGTGGAACTGATACAGTAGTACCGACCAGTTTTCGGTACAAGATACGTATGCACTGATCAGAACATTAAATGAAAGATCAGAGAGGAAAGAGATTTAATTCTTTAGATTTGTCTCCTGACAGTATTTGTTTCCTTAATAAATGTCTTTAATAAGTTCATATAACCTCTACTCATGTATTACTAAATTTTTTTTTTCAACAAACCGGCTATATCCCACCAAGGCGGGGTGGCCCAAAAAGAAAAACGAAAGTTTCTCTTTTTAAATTTGGAAATTTATACAGGAGAAGGGGTTACTAGCCCCTTGCTCCCGGCATTTTAGTCGCCTCTTACAACACGCATGGCTTACGGAGGAAGAATTCTGTTCCACTTCCCCATGGAGATAAGAGGAAATAAACAAGAACAAGAACTAGAAAGAAAATAGTAGAAAACTCAGAGGGTTGTGTATATATATGCTTGTACATGTATGTGTAGTGTGACCTAAGTGTAAGTAGAAGTAGCAAGACATACCTGAAATCTTGCATGTTTATGAGACAGAAAAAAGACACCAGCAATCCTACCATCATGTAAAACAATTACAGGCTTTCGTTTTACACTCACTTGGCAGGACGGTAGTACCTCCCTGGGTAGTTGCTGTCCACCAACCTACTACCTAGGTATTACTAAACATAAAATAAAAACTTCATGCTTTTTTTCCTTTTTGGGTCACCCTGCCTCAGTGGGAGACAGCTGGAGTGTTAAAAAATGCACGTGTCTTACCTACACGTTTATTACTAAGAGATAAAAATGTCAATATTACACTGGAATATCCAAGGATACAGTGGGAACAAAGGAATCCATTTACATTCTTCGTACTTACCGTATATATTTTGCCTCTCTTCTCTTTGACATGACCCTTGACCTCCCAGTGGACAACATCTGGGACCTTTAAGTACCAGGAACCCAAAGTGTCCAGGAACACTGAACGTTCCTTCTTCATGTGGAAGCGTGACTCCACCTGTCGGTCTATGAACAAGAAATTATGCTCATTAATAACCCACTTAGAGGTAGAAACACAGACTGATTGATTTGTATATTTCAACCCTCTTCTGGGATCCTCTACAGCAGATACACAAGTGAAAAGAGAGCATGAATTTATAGGAAAAGTTGTACCTCTCACAGTGAGAGAGTAAGGAGTGTTAGGTAAGCACAGGGAGGGATAGGTCAAGCAAGAAATAAGACAGGACCTGTAAAGAAGCTAACTTCGCAACATATGCTTTCTACAGGCTTGAGAGTGACTTTCATTGCTACATTTTGCTCTGCGTGTTAATGCTAGCTTTGCAACATTTGCTTTCTACAAGCTTGAGGATGATGGGTTACCTGTAGCGTACTGCACGAGGAAGCCAGTGTTGAGGACGTGGTGATCGTAGAACCAGTCTCCTCCCACCTTCAGGTCCAGGTTACTTCTTTGGTGCTGCAACAAATACAGGATAAAATGAAAAATAAAAAAAAATAATAAAAATGGAAAATGAAATGAAAATAAAAAAAAATTAAATGGAAAAAAATATGAAAAAAATAAACAAAAAAATCTAAGTAATATCAAATAAAAAATAATTATTATTATTATTATTATTATTATTATTATTATTATTGTATTCACTGAAAAGTGCTCAGCATAATGGTCATACAGTTCTCGGAAGGTCAGAGATGGTCAAGTCTGATCAGAGGAAGGATAGGAAACCACTAATTCCTCGGATCAAGAACCCTTCAAAAAAAGTTAACTACACATCTGCTACAAGTGTCAGTTATGATTATAATCATAAGAACTAAACCTGTGTAACACGTGTCAAGCATTCTTTGTACCTTCAACTTGCAAACAAATCACTTGTTTGCAAGTTGAAACAACAGGGCAACAATTTAATTGTATATTGACATATCAGGAATGAAACTAAAGTTGTGGACTTCCTGCACATCATGAAATTTAGGATGTAACTAAGTTACAAAATGAGGTAAGGAATTCTTCACAACTAACCCACAAATTGGATATGTAAACCCAGACTACGTTTCACCCGTACCCGACCATAATCAACTCTCAGGTCTAGAAAAACCCGAAACGTTATCCAATTTCCATTTCCAGAGTCGAGGCTAGTTGTAATTTCTCCAGCCCTGGATCCTCCAGCAAGTTGGGGTGGTCAGGCATATTGCTTATGTTTTTGCGAAAACATGGCATTTCAGCAGTCTCAAGCACAGTTTTCAACTCATTCATTCTAGCCCTGAAGTACCTTTACACTGAGGGTGGAGTTCAGGGTGGTGCTGTGGTCGGCCAGGTACACTGTGAAGGCCTGGAAAATGTCAACACGATGTTGTGGATCTTCGAAGTTCTCACCCAAGTTAATTTGCAAATTGTTCTCCACTGAACCAAAATGACGCTGGATAAAGAAAACAAAAAAAGAACTGCAATTATAACCTTATTAGCTTTACACATTAATTATTTTATATTTGCCAGACTAGAGTCCTAGAGGCTCAACAAAAGGATTTAGGAAAGCATTGGTTTCGTAACAATTGTTACTGAAGCAAAAACCTTCAGTAGCTTTAAAAATAAGTTAGGCAAGTATATGAGTGGGTGTGACTTGGACCTCCCTAGCATGGGCCAGTAGGTTTGTTGGTGTGCTCCTTCTTTCTTATGTTTGAAAGTACACTCTGAAGGAAAGGTGGATATGTTGCAGGTGAGGATGTTGCAGGTGAGGATGTTGCAGGTGAGGATGTTGCAGGTGGGGATGTTGCGCAATTCCATTAACAGAGCTATTGACTGAAAGATTGTGAATGCATTTTTTTTAAAATCACCCTACCTTGGTAGGAGATGGCTTGTGTATTAAATATATATACCTGCTACTTTAGGGCCCTAGTTATACAGCAAATTATGTTCTGGGATACTACTGTAAAGTGAAAATTCTGTACAGTGAATCATAGCCTTTTCTCATTTTCAAATGCATATAAAATCCTAATAACATGCGTGGAAACTTATTTGTTCCCCCCGAAGTTCCACAGTGTAAGCAGTAAATAAGCAGTACGAGCCCTCAACATCCACATCCACATCCACACACACACACACACACACACACACACACACACACACACACACACACACACACACACACACACACACACACAGCGAAGGGGCGGGGCCAGGAGCTGTGAATCGACCCCTGCAACCACAAATAGGTGAGTACAAATAGGTGAGTACACACACACCCTAGTTGGCGGAGGCAGCAAGTGCGCGTATTGACATATATATACTCTTCAAGGAAGGTTTAGGTAGATTTATACAGTTAGTAACTAATATTAGAATTAATGACGTAACTGTAGATATTAATAACGTAGCCTTAGTCCTTAATATCAGTGAATATTAGATTATATTAGATAAAGTGAGCTAGCAACCCCTATGCTTGAACAAAGGCAGAAAGGAGTGAGACATTAGCTTTTCCTTCTAAGACAAGACACCATCGAGACAACAGGTACCATGACCAGCAGTGGTGCCCCCACGTGACTACATATACTTGGCCTGTGGAACACAGAATCACAGAGGCTTCCTGAAGTACTGTGGAAATTCGTCTCTTTCCAGGCCCCCTACCATTCCCCCCCCCCCGCAGTAATGTGGGATGCCCACACAGGATCATGGTGAGCAGGCCCAGGTGAGATGCAAGATATGCTGCCAGTGTGGCTCTCTCACTCCCCAGTCTGGTATGGCGAGAGGCAAACTCGAGGAATTCACGTTGTGGCTCGGATGCTGGAAAAAGAACAACCCACGTCCCCCTAAGTCATCTCCACCATCATCCAGTGGGTCGGTGGAGGCGCTGTTTCACTATGTGGCTACCACCGAGATAGGTTCCTGTGCAGGTGAGGCTCTGCCTCATTCAACGCTATCTTTAACAGTAGCCGTGGACGGCTAGGCCTATGACGTGACAAGGACACCGTGTCCACCACAGCGGTCAGCCCGCATCTTGGCCATCGCCGACTCTGGTGCACCTACCTGTCTGATGGGACTGTGGATCCTCAAGAAGTTGGGCTTACGCCAACAGCACCTTACCTGTGTCTCCACATGCATTCTGTCTGCAAATAATGCAGAGATAAATGTTTTGGGTGCTGTGTTCCTCACGCTGTCCAGCTGCAACAAACAAGGGAAGCAACTCAAGACATCTGCAGTGGTCTATGTCACGGACTCCACCAGCCGGTTTTATCTGAGCCGAGTTGCGCTGGAACAGCTGAAGGTTATCGGACCTGACTTCCCAAAAATTGGTATGACAGAAACCGATGTGTGTGGGAATGCAGCACATACATATACCAGCCCCAGTGGGTGCCTACGGCGCACAGCACTTCCTCCCTGTCCCGCCAGTTTGCCCATAGCACCATCACTTGAGCCCATGGCGGAGATGAAGACATGGCTCTTGGAGAGGTACGCTTCGTCGACCTCCAACATATGCCCACACCAGCCGCTCCCTGCGATGATGGGCCCTCCAATGGAGATTCAGGTTGACCCAGAGGTGCAACCGGTAGTGACCAGATGACCTCCAAACATCCCAGTTCACTGGCAACTGGAAGTGTAGGACCAACTGGATAGGGATGTGGTGCTGGCTGTCAGAGCGAGTGCCTCTGAACACACCTATAACTTGGCTCCACAGTATGGTCTTGTCACCCAAGTTGGATGGCATGCCCCATCGCATGGTGGATCTGCAACTGCTAAATTGCCACAGTGTGTGGGAGACCCATCACACTGTACCACCCATTAAACAGGCAAAGGCTGTTCCACCTAATACGTTCAAGACCATCACAGATGCATGGAACAGCTTTCACTCCATTGAGATCAGGTCTGAGAATCATCACAAGACAACATTCCTGATGGAGCAAGGCAGGCTCTGCTACTGTTGTGCGCCGATGGGCTCCTCGCATTGCAGGACGCCTACACGCAATGGTATGACACCATCATTGCTGATGTACCTAGAAAAACCAAATGCGTCGACGACACCATCATATGGGAAACGGATTTGAAGGAACATTGGTGGCAAGTGATTGACTATCTGGAAGTCGTAGGCTGCAATGTTGTGGTCCTCAATCCAGCTAAGTTTCAGTTTGCCATGATGGAAGTGGAGTTTGCAGGGTTTCAGATAGCCTGGTCCGAAGTGAGACCCCTACCTAAGTACCTGAATGCCATTGCAATGTTCCCATGACCAGCCAATATCACGGATGTACGGGCTTGGTTTAGTCTCGTTAACCAGGTATCGCACTACGGTAGGACCACGGACATGATGGCACCATTCAAGCCACTCCTCAGCCCCAAGGTCAGCTTCAGATGGGACTCAACCCTGGAAGAGGCGTTCCATCGCTCAAAGGAGGCAATCATCAACACCATTAAAGCAGGGGTCGAGATATTTGATCCCAGCAAGAGGACGTGGCTCAACCCTGACTGGTCTAGAATGGGGGTGGGTTACTGGCTCCGCCAGAAACATTGCAGCTGTGACCATACTATTCCTGGATGTTGTGCAGACGGATGGAAGGTAATGCTAGCCGAGTCTCACTTCTTAAGGGATGCTGAGAAGTGATATGCTCCAATTGAGGGGGAGGCCTTGGCCGTCGCATGGGCACTGGAAGATAGCCGCTTCTTCACCATGGGGTGCCAGGATCTCGTTATAACTACCGACCACAAGCCGCTTGTAAAAATCCTTGGGCATCAGGCACTAGACGACATCACCAATCTGAGGCTCTTCAGACTGAAACAGCGCACTCTCATGTGGCAGTGCCGGATCGTGCACATCCCCAGCAAGACCATCCCAGCAGCAGATGCAACATTGTGGTACCCATCAGCCACAGACCCAAAGGGCACAGCCAGTGAAATATGTGCTCTGTCACCTATCCGGGTCTCGGTGGGCACCCACAATGACCTGGAGACACTCCTCATGGTGGCAGCAAGATCATCAGTGGACTCTCTCGGCGCGGTCACATGGGAGAGTGTCAAGGCGTTCCCCTCCGCTGACCACGACCTCCAGCTGCTCACACCACTAGTTGAATTGGGGTTCCCACCATCCTGGGATGCCTTACCAGAGGAGCTGCAACCATACTGGCAGTACCACGACAGATTATCTCTCATGGATGAAGTCGTCATGATGGACCATAGGATCGCGATACCACAGGCGCTTTGGAATGAGGTCATACAGACACTTCATGCAGCTCACCAAAGCAGAAGTCGCATGCAAAGTACGGCAGTAGGTGCCGTTTTTTGGCCAGGCATTACCAGAGACATCGAGAGCACGCGTTCCAGGTGCCATGCTTGCTGGGGAATGTCACCCTCCCAGCCTTGTATGCCGCCTGTACAACCATTTGTGCCAAGCAACCCCTTCCAAGCCATCGCTGCTGACTTCTGTGTAGTGCGCAGCATTGGGTACCTAGTCATCGTGGACAGGTTCAGCAGCTGGCCACACACTGTCGCATCCAAGTCAGGCGCCAAGGGCTTCATCAAAGCTCTTCTCAGTTACTTTGCAACGTTCGGTGTTCTCGAAGAACAGAGCACAGATGGAGGCCTGGAGTTCACTGCAAAAGAAACGGAGTCACTTCTGCGACGATAGGGAGTGAGCCATCACCTTTAATCCACACACCACCCACAGCCCAATGGGTGGGCAGAGGTAGCCGTCAAATCTACGAAGCACTTACTGACATCTCAAATGGATGCAAACTGGAGTCTCAATACCGAGGCGGTGACCACCGGCTTGCTTCAGTATCAAAACACGCCAGACCCTCAGACCAGTATGTCACCAGCACAAATCAACTTCGGCAAGTATCTTCGGGATCTGCTACCCATTGCTCCGGGAACGCAGGTGTTCACCAACTCATTGATTCACCCGATGTGGCATCAAATGTGGGGCATGCAAGAAGAGGCTCTCCAGCTAAGATTCGTCAAACAAATCTATGATCTACAGCACCACACCTGACAGCTTCCCCCCTTAGCGCCCGGTATTCGAGTGATTCTGCAAAATCAAACTGGGAATCACAGCACGAGATGGGACAGGACCGGTGTGGTAGTGAAGTTGAAGCCATATGACCAGTACTTGGTCAAAGTGGATGGCTCGGGACGGATTACTTTGTGCAATCAGCGGTTCCTGCGCCACATTCAGGGGCTGGCCAATGCCATCCAGCCCTCGCCATCACCATACCCGGTTCCCCCGCCTCCCAACACCCTACCCATGCCAGCATGTAGTGCGGCACTGAATGGTGAGCTGCCTCAGGTACCCAGTGGCGACACAGCGACCACACCCCCACAGTTGCACGACACAGCGACAATCCCAGAACCACCCATGGAGCATACAGACCAGGCACTCCCACAAGCACAAGAGCCAGCACCCAGCCAGACCGTTGCACAACATACTCCCATATTGCCACCTCCAAGACCATGCAGAAACAGACATCCGCCAGTGTACCTACGGGATTATGTCACAGAGTGATGAGTGTCCTGCTGAAAACTGGGGGGGATGTGGGATGGAGATGGGGTGACAGAGCAAGTCAAATTCGGTGGGTCAGCAGCACCAGTGTGCCGCCTGTAGGTGAGGCGGAGAAACATGCGAGTAAACAAAGAGAGCGTGAGGCCGACGGAACACACATTACCTCCCTAATACACAAGTTAATAGTCATATTATGCAGGGGAGGGCAATGCACACCCACTATAGATTTCTGTCCATACCGTGTCAGTTAATGATATATCAGGACTAGGAGGTACAATGTGTACTCACAACATCAGGTTGTGCATCCTAATTTGTGTGTTTTGTCTCTTTGCAGCTAGGAGCATTTATTATATTGTACCTGAATAAAGGATTACCTACACCCACCCGAATATCTCTGACCAAGCAAGACAATACCTTTCATTTCTCTCAGCTTTAGTTGGCCAATGATATTCTGGGGGGAAATGTGGGTTTAGTTGATCTGCGGGTCTTGAGCAGACGGACGCCCAAAGATCATTATGTACGGACATCTCCTCTTAAGTATTAGTCTAGAAGCTACTGTCACTGCATAGATATTGCTTAAGGAATACCCATTACCAGGGATATCCGAAATGCAGGCAGGGATACTAATACTATCTGAATGCTTGCAGAATAAGTCCTCCACTGCACATGGTTTCCTGAAGGTGAGAGACCAGAGGACTAAGTTGCTGGGGTTGAGTCTAGGGGGTGTGAGGTGGCATATTCTACACCACCAAGTGAGTCTGTCCTTCATTCGTGCATATGGTTAGGAATTTCTTGCAAGATCAGTTGCATATGGAAATGTGTCACATAAGCCACTTGTGAGACTGGGATGTCTAATCTCAGGGTGTCTGTCAACAGTGCTTGCTAGGGTAAACAGTGCTTGCTAGGGTAAACAGTGCTTGCTAGGGTAAACAGTGCTTGCTAGGGTAAGCAGCTCACAAGGAGGAAGTCCAGACAAATTTCCATAGCATGTTTACACTAAAAATAAAAATGTATAAAATATAAAAATAAAAATATATGAAAAAAAATAAAAGGTGGGTTGGTAGGGGCAGTAGAATATTCAAATTGCTTCAGGAAGAAACTCAATCGTTTTTTCTTGAAGCCTTTTTATCCACTTCTGAGGTGGACTTCATCACTACATAACAAAAAATATATAAAATAATAATAATATAATAATCAACTCACCCTATGAAGCCACTGGCCCTTGACATTGAGGTTAGGGAACTGGGAGAAGAAGCAGCGCCAGGTTCGATCAAACTTGATGTCAGACACTGTCGAGGAGTTGGCCTCTCTGTAGTCTATTCTTATATTCTCTTCCGCGGCTCCCACCTGTCACACCAGGAAACACTTTTTAGCTTTCGTCAAATTGCAGATACTTTACTTATCCAGATGTGTTCCTCTTGGCCCCTTTTGGAGCCCTAGTCCCCAGGTCTTTTCTGTATCCATATGCTCTTGTGCTACTGTTCACTGGATGAATATGAGGGGTACAGTAAACTAGCCACTACCGTCCACGGGATGGATACAAGGTGCACAATAAACTAGTCACTATCGTCCACCACATATCCATCCTATGTGGAGCTTTGTCAAGCTGTTACCAAACGGCTTGACAAAGTTCCTGGAGAGTGAATCTTTGCCACAATAAATTATCACATTAGTTGCACTTATGTCCTTTAACCTAACAGCCATGATTATCTATTACCAATCAGTGTACGATTCTCGCTTCATAAATATGTTACAACCTATCTGAGACATGGGCCAGTAGGCCTGCTGCTGTGCTCCTCCTTTCTTATATTTTTATGATGATAGAGTATAAATACCGTGGGACTGTAGACTACGTCCAGTTTGGCTTCTCTCACGAAGCCCTTGTCACTGAGGTCACCCTTGATAGTGCCTGTGGCAGATTGCCATGTCCCTCCCTCGTCTGGCACCTGGTAGTTGACCTGCATGTCCACCACGTACAACCTTGCTCCCTGCTTCTGTCGCAGGTCGATTACACCTGCAAACATAGTAAACAGTGAGAACGGTACCAGATACTCGACCTCAGCAACCACAGAGTTGAGTATGGGGAAAGGACTCCATTATTGAAGTACAGCAGTGACAAATATGATGGAAAGGCAACAAAACGGTGATTAGAACAATTTCCAACTCATATTCAAGATACATTAAAGTAGTTTATCAACATTTAGTTACTATTTTGTCGTAGGCACATATCGATTAGACACTAGGCCTATTGTACATGCGGGATATATTACCAGCCGTACTGGAAAAAATACCTTGACCTTGCCTGTTGTAAATAACTCATAACTACTTAAGTTGCATAAATTCAGCCCTACCTTCCTAAAACACAAGGCAATATCAATAATTCAAAACCACATATAAGCTACACTAATTTTTTTCGTGACTGAATTCATAAATAACTCATTACTGCTGTAGGCAGATATAAACATGTAAACAGTTCATTGCCACTAATTTTCACACGAAAACCACTCCCTATGAAAAGCAAAAAAACTCGACAGGAGATGCAACATTCCCCCAGTGAAAAGCAGGGGTGCCACGAGCACACAGAGACAACACAATAAGTATCCGGGACCCTAGGGGATGTTACTAGGCCTGCACCCTGTCTAGATCCCTCTGTAGTCCTGTCTTGTGCTCCTCCGATTGAATTCTCCTCATTAACATCACATCTTCTGCAAACAGGGACACTTCTGAGTCTATTCTTTCCATCATGTTCACTTATACAAGAAACAGCACCAGTCCCCTGGCTATCTTCAAGAAGGCACTGGACAGACACCTAAAGTCAGTACCTGACCAATCGGGCTGTGGTTCGTACGTCAGTTTGCGTGCGGCCAGCAATAAAAGCCTGGTTGATCAGACCCACCATGAGTCCTGGTCTCGGACCGAGCCATGAGGGCGTTGACCCCCGAAGCCCTCTCCATTTAAACTCCAGGTAGTTCCTGGGCCTATTATGTGCCTAGATTATCTTTTGACTATCGCCCACATCATGGGTATGGGGTATATAATAAAGATATTAGGTTAAAACTCTTTAATGCCAAAATTTTCTACTGTTTTGCAGGCTTCTTCAGCCGAAAACAGAGACGATAATAAAGCCGGGAGAACTGGAGAGGTTATTTGAGGTGTTCAGCATGGAAAAAATGGGTTACAATTTTTTACTAAATTAGATACATCATTAGTTTGCTGCTACTGTATTCTGTATGATAATTACTCAGTGAGAACAAAAGCTAAACAGTGTAATAAGTGGAGGTTGACTCGGCAGGCTGGGCAGCACCCCGTCTACCTCTTGGCACAAGAGTTATCAACATGGATATTGGTAGAATCTCTGGGGAGATTATAATTGCTTAAATACTCAGTGACAAATCTTTGTTTGCGCCTAGGGGATTACCTGTGACCTTAAGGATATCCTTCTCTAGCCAGGCGAGGGTGAAGATGGGGGTGAAGACGTCTCTGCCAGACTTGCTGTAGGAAGAGAGGCCAGTTGACAAGGTGGCAGTGTCGTGGTTGTTGATGGCAAGATTCAGATCCACCCGTTTGTCGATGTTCGTCCATATGTACCGTCCTGAACAAGTAAACATTGTATTTCTTCACGATTTGCAATAAAAGCTGACCAATGGCACAAACCCAAACATTAATTATAAAACAACATTTAAAATGGGTTCTGTTATCTTCACGAAGCTAAAGAAATCCTCAGTGAGATTCTGGGATACACAACACTCCAGTTATTTTTTGGGGCTGTATGCCTACCTTACCCCATACACACAACACAAAATGAAAGACAAACAAAAGATAAGAAAACAAGAAAGTAATCAAGAACAACAAAATGAAAAACAACACAATAAAACACACACACACACACACACACACACACGCACAGTAGCAACCAGTGAAGACGAGGGGGCCAGAAGCTGTGACTCGACCCCTTCAACCACAACTAGGCGAGTATACACATACACACACGTAGGTATGTTCAAAAAATACTCAAGTACTAGAGAACGTAAATGGTAAAAAAATGTAGTTAAAGATACTGAGAAAACGTTTCGCCCTGAGTGGTGAAACTGATAATGTCTCTGAAAAAACAAACCATACCCCGGCCGGGATTGAACCCGCGATCACAGAGGTGCCTGTGTTAACCTTCCTATGGTATAGAAATATACCTGGTTGGACGAATCTTATTGTGGCTAGCTGGTCTAGTGGCTAACGCGACGGGCTGGAGTTGTGAGACTCTCTGACCGCGGGTTCAATCCCGGCCGGGGTATGGTTTGTTTGCAATCGTGTCATTACGATTTCGTGAGTAATGTCTCTGAAGACGCCACTCATAGTGAAACGTTTCCCCAATAAATGTACTAAAGTGAGCATAACTGTCTAATTACACAGTTCTGTACATTTCGACCTCACAATGAGGCCCTCTTCAGCAGAATATTATTATTATAATCAAAAAGAAGCGCTAAGCCACAAGGGCTATACAGCTTCAGCAGAATAAAAATACTCAGGTGATGAGGTTTAAACACGGAGAGATTTCACGTGTCCAGAGTCAGGTCACATGACCTTAATCCGAGGAAGGAGAGTCTTCAGGGTAAATGTGATAACATTACGTTTCCACTGGCTTTGCAAGAATTTGAAATTTGGTAGAAATACAGACAATGATAAAGAATTTGCAATTTTGAAAGCATATTTGTGTTTAATTAAAGCTACTTCAAATTTGATATTAACAAGTAAGAAAGTTTATTTAGGTACAGTTACACAAATTATCATACATAGTAACACTTGCTTAACAATTTACAAACAGGCGAAATTATATACAAACATTGTCTCTCGGGAGTCTGGATGTGTGGATAAAATACTGTGTATACTGATGTCGAGTTTGCAGGTTCGAATCCTGTCGTGGACTAAATGATAATGATAGTAACACGTGTGTAAATTACCTATTATAACTCAAAAAACAGTCAGACAATAGTAATAATACGTAATAATAATAATAATAATAATAATAATGTAACTTGGTTCTGTTTAATAAATCTATTATCTTGTTCTCCCTTTCACAATTTCTTCTTGACTATTTTTTCTAACCTCTGGCTGACACGTTTGTTTTCGGCGAGTGGAGATCAAGGTAGATGTTCTGCGACCTGAAGTTTACGTTGTATCTGACGCTGTGTTCTCGAGGGGTGGTGGTCCCTGGCGTGTTCACTGACAGCAGGAATGTTCGATAATCCTGAAATCCCAAACATAACGTGAAATTATGTACACACACCCACTGGGCCCATGAAATTTGCAAGATGTGTTAGCTACAAGCAGAATTAGAAATATTTTTTTCCATTTCTCGAAATTACATTCTGGCTGGTGAGTGAAATGTGGCACAGAAGCTCTCAACTTTCTCACACACACAACATTTTTATCGCAATAATGTGGCTGGAGCAATTCACAAGTTACCCATAAATGGTTCATCCTGGACCATTATCAAGATGCAACTTGGCCCAGGATGGGTCGAACCATCATCCAGCTTTCATTTACTCTTTATGGACTACTTGTGACTGTCATTATAGCATTTATTACAGAACAGCTTAAGGATAAGTGATGAATGTTTGCTTACAGGGCGTCTCTCCCAGGTATATCTCAGCTGGTAGGTGGTTAGGGATGGATCAGTCTTGTGTAGGACCAACTGGAACTGAGAGGGTCCAGTCAGCGGGTAGAAGGGACTCTGCGGCGCCCTCGAGGCATTAGGATACTGTAGGTTCCAGCAGAGTTTGGAACCCACTTGTTGTTCGTAGTCTGAGCAGCCAACCAATTCCATACGATCGCTAGTCACACCTTCCACTACCTCCCGAGATCTCTCGACCCCAGCCTCGGCTGACCCATGAACCAGAATCAAACTCGTCCTGCCCAAGAAAATATTCTTAATGTTAACCCCAGATAACCCAAGAATATAGCTCTTTCAGCCAAAGTGGTTAATTTATTATGCACCTCGCATCCATCCTGTGGATAGTAGCATTTAAATGCAAGGATATGCTAAAGGCCTAGGAACTAGGCCTCCAAAGAAGGGTTAACAGGAGAATATCTGGATTACACTAAGTTGTGTAGCATATTAAAGGTTTTGTTCTTTCCTAGATTGACATTCACAGTTGGCTATCATGTATGTACCTACTAATGGCTACGTTATCTTTTTCATGGGAAGGGATAAACCCGTGTGGATTATACAATGTCTGGTGAATAGGAGGTAATCGGGTTTGATCCTATTCCATCAACAGCCTTTCAATAGCATCAAGGAACCACCCTTAAAGGGACGGACAAGAAGTGAACACAGACATAAGATACAACAAAACTTGTCTAAAAGTCTCTGATCACCAGGGAATCGAACCCAAGTTTCTACGATTGTAAGATGAATGTTTTAAGAATGGTCTACATTAAAAATTCCATACTTAACAAAATTAAGATTAGAGATTATTGCAGATGCAAATTTATTACCAATAAAAATGAGATGTATTTAACACATTAATATTTACAGAATTACCGACAATGTATTAAGTAAAAGGACACAAGTGCATCTAATGTGGCATTTTATTGTGGCAACGTTTCGCTCTCCAGGAGCTTTGTCAAGCTGTTATAAACAATACATGGACACAGAGGGTATATATAGGCTATGAGTGAGATGTAGTCCAAGTAGAGGTAGTCGTAGTTATACTTTATATGAAATATTGAAGCCAGGTAGGTTATTAAACACAAGAAGTGTTTGAAGCTCGATCCTTCGTCTGCTAATTTTACTACGAAAAATTATAGATAAAGTTGTGGGAAAAAAAACTGAAATTACTTTAGTAAAATAACTAAAATAACGTAAATAATGAAAACTTTGTAGAACACAACCACGAGATCGATCAATCTTGATCTCTCGATCTCTAACTCACGTCATGTTCATGATGTCAATCTTGTCCCTGGGCAACTTGACATCCAGCCAGATATTCTCAGAGCCACTGACTTCAAATCTGCCATCTACAACAGTGGAAGAGTGCAATGTTGCTACCAGTTGAGCTCCAGATTGAGCAGCGTGACCATCCACAAGCATCGACCCCACCACCTCTACTCCCACACTGTGAGAAAAATAATATTGTCAGTTTGTGTTGCTATTTTTATTAGTTTTTAACACGTGGGCCATCTCCCACCAAGGTCGAGTGACCCAAAATTGAGGACACACATTCACCATCATTTGGTCAATCGCTGTTTCGCCAGGATTGTGTTGATATCAAAGTTCAGATGGCCCTCAGAACTACAACATCCTAATCTCTCCTTTGGAGTGCACGTACTGTACTTACCACCTCCAGGACTCAAGTCTGGTTAACCATTTTCCCGAATCCTTTTGCAAATGCTCACACTTCAGCATGTCAAGTCATAAAAACCTCTTGCCTTCACTTTAAGTATTTACATTAAGAACATAAGACCTTACGAGCGAATGACAATATTTTTTTTTTTTTTTGGGGGGGGGGGGGTCATTCCTCACCTTGGTGGGAGACTGCTGATGTGGAAAGAAACAGTACTGGTGGAGGCTTGATCCTCCGCCCACCAAACATGAAACAAACGCATTCTCATAGAACTGCACAATACCAACAACAGTCCCCACCTAGGCTTGAGTTTTCCACTGATGCCTCCACGACCCGTGGAGAAGAAGGAAGCGATGTCAATGTTGCCGCTGGCGTGGATATCCAGGGCAACGCTGGCAGTGAGGCTTAGATTCAGTGGCAACCCAGCCGTGGTAGGCACTATGAACGCCGACTCCGCTGCCAACCACGACTTGTGCATGTTGATAGCCTGGAGATTCAAAAAATATTAAGTGGTATTCAGATTGCTTCACTATTGTTAACATGATGCTAACACGTTTTGAAACAGGCAATTAGGGATTAGAGTAAAACCTTAGCCTATATTTAGCAAGATGTACACCTCTCTGTGTAAATACACTTCTGCTCCCGTGCATACAACCTCTCTGCCTCTGTTCAACAATCCACTGGGCAGCTGGTAGTACTGCTTTCATACAGTGATGGTTATAGAAATTGGATCACGCATCAACAATCTAGCTTCTACCCTTCAAACTTTAAAGAATGTACTCGGTGCTGTTCAATGTGAAGCAATAAGGGAGCAATAGAGAAGGGAAGAAGGGGAATGGAATGTAGGGAAGGGGAAAGGGAAGGCAGGAAATGGAAGTGAAGGGGTAAAATGGGTAGGTCACCATACCTCCCCCTGATTAAGTCGACGGATCCTGTGTGCGGGGTTGAGAGTGCTCACAGCCTCCATGATCTTAGGCATCCCGTGAAGATGACGGTAGTAAATTTCGCTGCCAAAAGTCTTCATGTGTACAGACAACTGAAAATTACAAAATGGTGGAGTCAGTCAATGTTTGCACTCTATAAACACATACCAATGCTTGAATAGCGCACATAAACAAAACTTTTTTCTGTAAAATTGAGAACTAACTATACAGTATACAGTTAAAGGCTTATATACACCCTCCAACATATGGGTAATACGAAAACTGAGCAGTGTTCTTACTGAAAAAAAACAATGTCACACTAACAAAATAAATATTCTTCGTCCTTTAAACTGGAAGAACAGAATCACACTAATGAAGTGATGCTGAAAGCTTATTTTTTCTTCTTTGATGGTGAAGTTGGACATACTAATTGCAATAATTTCTTATAAACAATATTATATATAATACATAATAATTTGAGCAAATTTCTACTCTTAATCACAAGTAAGTAATCACAGTCTCCCAAACATTCCATTACCTCAGCATCCTTCTCGAGATACTGGGACTGTTTGCCGGCCTGTTCGATGAGTCCAAGAACCTTAGGATTGTTGATGCTGGGAGGATCGTGGCTAGAAGCCATAGTCTTGAAGATACTGTCAGCATAGCGGTCCCACCCTTCCACCCGCGCTCCAATCTGTTAAAACAATCATGTCACTCTCCATATTACAAATCTCTAACCTGACATTATCTGGAGTTTATCTGGAGAGAGTTCCGGGGGTCAACGCCCCCGCGGCCCGGTCTGTGACCAGGCCTCCTTAGGTCAGTGTCCCAGGATGCGACCCACACCAGTCGACTAACACCCAGGTACCCATTTTACTGATGGGGAACATAGACAACAGGTGGAAAGAAACACGTCCAATGTTTCTACTCTGGCTGGGAATCGAACCCAGGCCCTCACCGTGTGAAGCGAGAGCGTTAACCACCAGGCCACCAGACTTATTATTTAAAAGACCAGGAAAATACATTTTACGAGGGTAGATCGAAAAATCCTCGTTCATTTTTTGACAAAAACACAAACAGTAGGACACTAACTCTAACCTTTTGCTAAAACATATTTACACATTCATATTCCTGAACACTTTAACTTGTACAGATATCAGAACTACGTAATATTGCGCATATACTGTGCTAGTCATGGCATTATGCCGCCTCTCCCCCACACATGTACCAAAACATAAATATATACAATGAAAGATGATAATATAGATATTTGCACACTTACTGAGGTTTTAATACTTGGTGCTGCATTCTTTACGCTTAATCACATCCCTCAGCCATGTAGGAAGACTCTCACACAAATTCTTGAGGGTTTGGGGGCGGTATATTATTCCATGCCTCATGTAGAGCAGCCCCAGCCGTGGGATGGAGTTGATATCCTTTCCCAGTAAACTTCGTTTCACTACTGACCAGACGTTCTCAATAGGGTTTAAGTCTGGGAAATTGTTTGGCCAATCATTAAAGAACTTCACTTCACAGTCCTTAAGCCACAGAACTACAGATCTGGCAGTATGACACAGTACACCATCCTGCATAAAAATCTTAGCCCCACATCTGTCAAACACCTCAGGTAAATTGTCATACAATAACTCCAGGTAATTATATTGGTTCATATACTGGTTTTTGGGAAACACAGTGAGTTCACCAACACTCTGAGCGCTGAAACACCCCCAAACCATGAATGAGTCTGGGTGTTTGGTGGTCCCACATGTGTAGTGTGGGTCTAGCAGGTCACTACCTCTGGGCCCGTACACATGTCCACCATGGTTACAGGTGACAGTGAAGGTTGCTTCATCACTCCAAAGTACTTCATACCACTGTTAAGGAGTTCAGTGAAGATATTTCTTTGCATAATCCAGCCTACATTTCTTCTGTGGCTTGGAGAGGATCGATTTCTTAAGCTGGTGGTGACTACTGTAGCCCAGTTCTGACACACATCTGTTAACAGCTCTTTCAGACACCTCTGTAAGAGCTGTTAACAGAACCCACATCTTCTGAGGGAAGATGTGGGTTCTTTTCTTTCAATTCTCCAGCAGTTATATTAGGTGAACACTAACTGATTCTTTAACACAGTTAAGGTATGAGCAGATGTCTTCTTTGAGGGGCCAGACTGGGGTTTGGCAGACGGTAACTCGACACCGCCAGCAGCCTTGAAACGCTGCACCCAGTTCTTCACTGATTGCTTGCACACACCAACATTCTCCACTATTTCTTTCGTCTGGTGCCCAGCTTTGTGGAGCCCTATGATTTGAGCTATAGTTTAAGGTGTTAAAAACTTCCTTTTACCCATAATCAAACATGTATAGCCCCAAAACCGAAAGAAATACAGGACATAAAAATGGGGCAGATGAGAGACAAAAGTGGAACACTTCCTCTCACCATGGCAGCCACGTGAGCACTGAGGAGTCACTGTGGAGTGTGGCAGCACGCCGTGATGTCATGCTAACAGCTGCTACCTGGCATATTGCACTGATGAAAAAAGTCCCCCCCTTGTATGGTAGGCCTTTGATTTTCATCACAGCATTATGCTGGGGTGTTCACCTGGCATAATGTCATGACTAACACTGTAACCGAAGGCTCAATGCCTATATAGGTAAGTGTACCAACAGAGACTGCATGCGTTACCTCCAGAAGATTGAGGGAGTGTCCGAAGAGATCAGCGGTAAAGTTGAAGGTTGCCGAGCGGGGGATGTAAGACTTCTGGGAGAACACAACATTGATATCTGCTGCTCCTCCTGCCGATAAACACATTTTATCATTAACACAATTCTACCATGTAATGTATAGAGCATGCACAGCAGGCTAAGACAAGCTTTGAAAGTCAAAGGAAACTGTGGGTGCAATTTCATAATAAAATTACCAGAAAAGAACTAGTCGATGTTTTGAGGCTGGTCACTGATTCTAGAACATGCATTTCATAGCACCAGAATCCTGTAATTCTCTTCCCACAATAAACCAAAGCCCTCTGATCTCTTTTCCTCATTCCCTGCTTCATTACACTGTAAACAATGGGCGTCTCCATCTCACACTTATCCACTAACATTTCGAGTTGTGGGATCAATTACTTTTCATACACCAGATAATCCTCAGTATGTTATCTTTAGAATCACACACACACACACACACACACACACACACACACACACACACACACACACACACTGTCTGGCTGGTCTGCATTCTGAGGAATACCTGGCCTGGAGGTTAACTGTTCAGTTGGGGAATGATTAATGCTCTCTCGCTCTTTCCTTAGGTACAAGAAATCTTCAGTAGTTTTTGGGTATGGATGAATTCTTTATGGAAGTTTGATTAGTGGTGATGGGGGAAGCTATTGCTGGATTTTTATTATTATTATTATTATCACACTGGCCGATTCCCACCAAGGCAGGGTGGCCCGAAAAAGAAAAACTTTCACCATCATTCACTCCATCACTGTCTTGCCAGAAGGGTGCTTTACACTACAGTTTTTAAACTGCAACATTAACACCCCTCCTTCAGAGTGCAGGCACTGTACTTCCCATCTCCAGGACTCAAGTCCGGCCTGCCGGTTTCCCTGAATCCCTTCATAAATGTTACTTTGCTCACACTCCAACAGCACGTCAAGTATTAAAAACCATTTGTCTCCATTCACTCCTATCAAACACGCTCACACACGCCTGCTGGATTTACAGTGCATTATTTACATGGCATTATGCTGGGTGAGCACCCTGGCATAATGCTGAGATGAAAATCAAAGGCCTTCCATACAGGGGTGTCTATTTTCGTCGGTGTATTCTGCTGGGTAGCAGCTGTTAGCCTGATCTCATGGCCTGCCACCACACTTCACAGTGACTTCTCATTGCTCACATGGCTGCTGTGGTGAGAGGAAGTGTTGTACTTTTGTCTTTCATCCACCTCATCTATTGTCCAGGGTTCCCTTTGGTTTTGGGGCTATACATGTTTGATTGTGGGTAAAAGGAAGTCTTTAACGCCTGAAACTATAGCTCAAATCATTTGGCTTCACAAAGCTGGGCACCAGACGAAAGAAATAGTGGAGGATGATGGTGTGTGTAAGTGTTCAGCGAGTAACTGGGTGCAGCGTTTCAAGGCTGGTGGTGGTGTCGAGTTACCGTCTGCCAAACTTTGGCCTGGCCCCTCCAAGAAGATATCTGTTCATACCTTAGCTATGTTAAAGAAGCGGTTACTTTCTAACTGCTTCTTTAACACAGTTAGGGTACGAACATACGTCTTCTTGGAGGGGCCAGGCCAAGGTTTGGCAGATGGTAACTCGACACCACCACCAGTCTTGCAACACTGCACCAAGTTCCTTATTGAATGCTCACACACACCAACATTCTCCACTATTTCTTTCGTCTTTTGCCCAGCTTTGTGAAGCCTTATGATTTGAGCTATAGTTTCATGTGTTAAAGACTTCCTTTTACCCATAATCAAACATGTATAGTCCCAAAAACCAAAGGGAATGCTGGACAAAAGACGGGGTGGATGAAAGACAAAAATGCAACACTTCCTCACACCATGGCAGCCATGTGAGCACTGAGGAGTCACTGTGAAGTGTGGCAGCAGGGCGTGACATCATGCTAATGGCTGCTACCCAGGTAGAATGCACTGACAAAAAAGACTCCCTTCCTGTATGGTAGACCTTTGATTTTCATCACGGCATTATGCTGGGGTGCTCACCCAGCATAATGCCGTGATGAGCACTGTAGAGTTGCTGGTGACTCCAGATTATTATTATTATAATCAAGGGGGAAGCGCTAAACCCAGAGGATTATACAGCGCCTGGGGGGGGGGTGGAAGGCATTCAGGTTTAATTCGGGGAACTGGAGCACAGATCCAATTCCCTAAATCAAGAGCCCCTCACCAACATCAAGGAACCTTCCTTGATGGGTGGTGACTCCAGAGCAAGCAACTTTCCTTCTACCTCTAAAATTTCATTGCAGACTTTTATACTTCTGTATGTATTCATCTTCCCCCCCACCTTAACTGCTCATAACTCTGCTTTGTATGAGCTCTTTTGTGTGTTGGGGAGGGCCCCACAAGGAAAGGACCCAAGTTGCCTGCATATTAATCTGGCACTGATTAAGGGGTTAATGGAGTCCCCTAACACAAGTTACTTACCAACATTGAGGTCGTCGTAGAAGCCTGACCATTCGATGTTCCTGGAGAGCCTCCTGACGCTGGTGGTGTACTTGGAGGAGATCTCTTGGTTGGAGAGAAGCCCCTGAACCTCCGCTCGGGATGGCAAACCTGTCTCTTTCAGATTCTGAAGATGAGTCCACACGAAAGACCCAACTGAAAGTGCACATAAATACAACATTATCCAGAATAAAAATACCCATACAAGTTTATCAACTTTTCTGTTTTCTCAACCATTTATTCAAATACAGCCCTGACACGTTCCAGTTTCCTTCTGGAAACACATAATAAACTGAACACCAGGGTGTGTGTGTGTGCGTGTATATATACACCAAGGTGTGTATACGTATATCAAGAAGTGTGTGTATGTACATACATATGTCAAGAGGTGTGTGTGTGTGTATATACACACCGAGAGATCTTTAAAAAAGCTACACTTCGGCCCTTAAAAACACACACATACACACACACACTTCATGAACCCACAAGTTTAAAAACTTGTATTGTACAACTTTTAGATATGGCATCGCGTCAAACATGAAAAAAAATCAGTATTCTTTTCCAAAGAAATAAAAAAAGTGTTAGCAAAAGCTTCATTAGGCCACAATAGGAAAAAACAATAAAACAAATGCATAAGTCTTAGCTGGAAGAACAAAGGTATTTTGATATTGAATTTTTGAGAGACATTTTTCTATATACATATACGACTTTGTATACTTATATACTACCTTGGTTAACTTCCTCGTAGAGTAGCATGTGTTTGACAAGCTTTATGAACTGGAAGTCAGAGCAGCTAATTAGTTCGAGGTAGGCAGCTATACGGATCTCAGAGTCCTCTGCCATGTCCCTGAGCACTGTCAACAATGGCTGTCTCGACACACTGCACGGGAACCGTCTGCAGGAGACACATTGGAGGAAATTATTTCTTATTATTAAATACTGAACAAATGACGATCATTAGTGAAGGTTTAATAGAAGCTCGGCCTCCCTCCCCCTAATGTGGATATATTTTTGATTATATATAACAAATATCTTACAGAATTCTTCTTCCGTAAGTCATGCGTGTCATAAGAGGTGACAAGGGGCTAGTAACCCCTTCTCCTGTATACATTACTAAATGTAAAAGGAGAAACTTTCGTTTTTCCTTTTGGGCCACCTTGCCTCGGTGGGATACGGCCGGTGCGTTGAAAGAATTATTTCTTATAGATGCCATATATCTAATAGATACTATATATCTTACCTGAAAGCAGTAATAGCACCTAGTCTGATCTCATTCTCGTTGACAGGGTCAGAGAAACATTTGGCCAGACTGTCTGGAATGCTCTCTGTCACGGCTAAGCCAGCATTGCCGATCCCCTTCAGTGCCATCAGAACCTATGCAGAGGGATCTTTTTTGTACAAGGTATTACATTGTTTCACTGTAATAATCCCATATTGTAAATTAATTTAAGATGTACCATTGTGTGTAATAATGTAATTTTTATAAGTTAATTTTAAAACTGTAATTAGTTACTACTACACTTCTCTGCTAGACTTATTGAAGCCTGACAACATTACCTATAATAACTTAATTATCTTGTACTCACTGTAACTCATCTAAGGTCCATATAATGATCCGTTTTCTTAAGTTAATATTAAGTTTGTCTGAAATGCTCTGCACACAAAGGGGCTTTTGACATGTACATCCAGTATATTCCTTTGTACAATTATGTATCATGTCAAAATAAACTACTTATTCTTAGAGTGGATCATTCTTAACAAGGAGTTGTGGAGGCTCTATTCTGTTTCAACTATATGAAAGATATACAGTGGACCCCCGGTTAACGATATTTTTTCACTCCATAAGTATGTTCAGGTGCCAGTACTGACCGAATTTATTCCCGTAAGGAATATTGTGAAGTAGATTAGTCCATTTCAGACCCCCAAACATACACGTACAAACGCACTTACATAAATACACTTACATAATTGGTCGCATTCGGAGGTAATCGTTATGCGGGGATCCACTGTATATTATTCTAATTGGCCTGATGACGTCAGGTTAAGTTACAAAGTTCCTTAACTCTACGAAAAATCTCTTACGTTTTCTTAGTTCAGGATTCCTTGTGTTGGGGGAATATTTTAGAATATTTAAGAATAATTAGTGTGGTAGAGATTGGGCAAATATTACATGATTTTTTTTTTGTTTGAATGAAATAAATTCGACTATAAATTGTTATATTCTTAAACATTATTAATTTCTTATTCACCAGTTAGGATACTGTATCAGGTTAGGTTAGGTTTGTCAGGAAACAGGACAAGTGTTTCCTGACACGGGTATTAGTAATGATGACCCGCAGCTGGAGCTTTTGGTCATGTGACTTAGGCCTTCTGCTGGTATATCCCTCCACCCCCTTTAAAAATTATGATTATAATTGTAACCATTATATCATATATACTGTATCAGGAGATGAAACATTCCCGTTAAGTAGAAATGAAACTGATCACTCATTTTTTTTGCGAACACACAGTCCGTTTCCACCATTCATTATCACTCCATCACTGTGTTGCCAGAGGTGTGCCTACACTACAGTTCCAAAACTGAATATATCTCCCCCTCTCCTTCAGAGTGCAGACACAGTACAGTAATGTTTCTTAATGACAGGGATGGGTTCTTGATCAAAGGAACACGGGCCACTCATATTCGTGGGTCAGACTGAAATTACCTTCTACACCTTCCATTTCCCAAGAGTTTATAGATTCCATACGAGTTTAATACACCAATGATACAATAAATCAGAATCAAGAAACAGTAAGACACTGACCTGGATCTTGGCTTCAGAAGTCTCCTCTCTGCAGCCAGAGGCTACAAATCCTTGCAGTGCATCCATAACGCGGCGAACAGGTGGGTCTACACTGCAGGAGGGATGATCGCGGCAGTAAGAGTGTACTAGCGAGCTTACACCAAGGAAGGCGTCTGCTGGAACAGGTCGAGATTCCAGGAGGGGTGCTGCTTCCACTATGGTGTCCAGGTCTGGCCTAGATTATATTGTCTTATTTTATACTGTTGCGTGTAATGTAATGATGACAGAAAGACAGCAAGGTGGAGACAATGCCTAGACGACAGAGTAACAGTAAGAGATATAGTCACAAAGAAAAGCAGAATATTGGAGATATAGTAACAGAGAAAGGCAGAGAGCCGAAGACATTACCACGGCAACAGAGGAAGTTATGGATCATGAAATACTGAAAAATGGTTTGGTGATACCAACAAGATGTGAAAAAAGACGCTTAATGTATAGTTCAGGGCATATTAGAAGAAACGTTTCGCAAAATGTTTTGACTGTGGTAACTTTCCTGACACCTCTTGCTTAAAACTCCAGATAACAGTGACACATGACTGCATCGAGTGTTATGGGGCAGACCGGTCTTCTAATATACCATTACGGGAGAAAACAAACACAGGCACACACCTGGGTATGAAGGAGAGAGAGGTGAGCCAAGTGTTGGTGATGATATCATTGACTTGATGTTGTACCATTAGGTCCCTCATGACGCCCACGCTGGCACCAGTACCAACCATAGGCAAGGCATCTTCGAACACTGACCTGGAACATGAACCCACACAGGTCATTAGCTAAAATAACAAAAAGGCACAGTACCATGACTGGAACAATACACACAAAAAAAAAAAACGCAAATAGGAGAGAAGAGCTTACGACGACGTATCGGTCGTAACACCATCCTCATGGGAGATCACTTGATTTTATGGAGTAACTTGTCGGTTTAGAAAACCGGCAAGTTGATAAATGAGACACTTGTGCAATATTTAGTTATCTTTGTTCAGGAAACGTTTCACCGGCCAGTGGCTTCTTCAGTCTAATGACGAGAAACGTGGAAGATGAGGAGTAGTTTGAGGTAATCAGTCCTTCAGCCTGAAGCAGATGTGTTCGGTCCAAAAATCTTGATAAAAAGTACCTCAAGTACCTAAGTACCTCAAACTCCTCATCCACCTTTCTCCGTATTGGACTAAAGAAGCCACTGGCTGGCAAAACATTGCACAAGTGCCTCATTCATTAAGAGAAAAGTGTGTACAAGTTACCGTTCGGGGCCCCATTTTCGTTGTTCTGTGATGGCCCACAGCTCATGGAAGTCGAGGTGACGCAGAACTTGTACTAAATCCAAGAAAAGCCGAGGTGCATTTGTGGCCACTCCCTCGTTCTGTCCAGGAAGTAAATACTAGTTAGTGGAACTGATATGGCGGGATCGATAAATTCTTGTATGGACCAGTAGGCCTTCTGCAGTGTTCCTCCATTCTTATGTTCTTATAGGTTAAAAGAACACATAAGCGCTGATCAAGACATGATGGAAACGTTTCGTCACTAGTGGCTAACGCGACGGGCTGGAGTTTTGAGACTATGACCGCGGGTTCAATCCCGGCCGGGGGTATGGTTTATTTGCAATCGTGTCATTACGATTTCTTAAGTCACGAGTGGCTTGTTCGTTCGTTCCAAAATGTTTCCTTAATGTCTTAATCAGTGCTTGTATGACTTGGTATAAACATTGGTAATACATACCAGCAAATTGATTTTAGAAAAACATTGAAGCAAACACTAGGACAAATTTATTAAAAAATATTTCGGTCTTGGGACCTTGATAACTTCTGATCAGAAGTGAACAAGGTCCCAGAACCGAAACGTTTTCTAATATATATGTCCTAGTGTTTGCCTACATGTATGTCTTACCTGAATACCCAACAAAACAGAAATTTTTACATGGTACATAACATAGATGGAACATAGATGCTGTGGCCTTAAAACATGACATGATCAAGATCACATCTCTGAGATGATTTGTTTCAACTCGGAATCTGCGAAGGATAATTAATCTTCAAATCCTTCTACTTTATAAACACGTCAAAAGATCCCATTGGAAATAAGCTACATTAACTTTACTGGGTTATTATAGGTTCAGTTCCACATGATTTATCATACAAAAACTATTGTATAAGCTTAAAATTATGTATTGGGCCTAATTAAACATTTATTTATGATTCCCGTTAAATATGTTAAGTATATTTTCCACACAGAGCAACAATGACTTTATACACCAAGACAAAATTAATACCTAGGCTTGAATATTTCACAAATCACAATTTGGAAAGGGACCACTAAACTGCCTTTCTGTCTATTCCATAAGAACATAAGAAAGGAGAACTAAACAGGTCCTTCTCAAACTAACAAAAATATTTGCCCAACCCACTTTTCCCGATCATTATTAAGTCATAACTATTCCTATTACTACCTTAACTCACGAAATCGTAATGACACGATTGCAAACAAACCATACCATGGGCGTGGATAGAACCCGCATCGGTCTGGAGTTTCATGACTCTCTGATCACGGGTTCTACCCCCGCCCGTGGTATGGTTTCTATTACTACCTTCATATTGTCAGCGATCTGATCTAGAAGAAGAGTAGCGTGAGTCCTCCACTGGTGAGCATCATCCACGCGAACAGACGTCATTCCCTCCAGATGAATGTGATTGTGATGATCATAGCGCAAGTCCGTCCGACCATGCACGGAGCCTGCACATGGAATAAAAAAATAATATGCTTATTCAAATCAGGGAATGGGTGGAGCTTTTAACCCATGGCAAGTAGGTTCTAAAACTCCCAGACCAGCGCGTTAACCACTCGGCTAGCATCAGCAGATATTGATGATGGAATTTCTACCCAAGAGTGGAATGCTCAATGTCAGTGCCCGAAAAAATTCACGGAGTGGAGTGTTGAAGACACAATGTGATCTAATGATTTTGTTTGGGAAGTGGGTGGATATACTTAACACCAATATGTCTGTAGTTACCAATCACAGAGAGAGTCGTGTGACAGCATTCGCAACATGAGATATTTCCCCCCTGACTAATAAAACACTCTAAGTTTAGATGTCTCAGGAATTGCCCTACTCACCCATTTTGACCTGCGAGAATGTCTGTCTGGTGAAGGTGAGGTTCTGAGTGACAGTGGTAATGACGCCTCCTTGTTCTGTGCTGAAGGGTGTAAAGCGATGTTCCTCTAGACAGCTGGCCTCCTGCACCAGACCCTTCCCAATCTTCTGAATGCATTTGCTGCTGCTGTTTAACAGTGGTATCCTGTGAAGACCCTAGAGGAACACAAATATTTCAAGTCAAAGTGAAAAGTGGACAGTATCAGACGCTCTATGAAACAGAATTTCAGAAAAAATACAGATTGAGAAGTAATTGAAGATGAATCAAATAATAATAGTAATGACGATGACGTAAAACCAAAAATATAATTTCGAATGAAGAATTAAAGGACTTGGACGATATTGCAATAGAATAACAGGGATTTATGAAAACAGACATTCATTCAGACGAGTGTATAAGCTACCTGATGAATAAGCATAAAAATGGAAAACAATACCGACATGTTGATAAGTAAGACATGTTCCAGACTATGGAACAAAGCTCTTATTCCAGACTGAGGGACTGACCACCTCAAAACTATGTCTTCAAGGGTGATGAACTGATTACATTGTCTCCACATCTTTACTGTTTCTGCAGACTCCTCTGTGCTCGTCTGAAAAAGCCTAGTGTATAGGCGAAACGTTTCGGAATAAAACTACCTAACTATTGCACCTGCGTCTTACTTATCAAGATGAAGGATAAGAAACATGAACACATGATAAACTGATCATGGTGATAGATATCAGACAATGACACAAAGGAACCAGACAGGGAAAAGAGGTTCCGAACACTGTTACCAGAACGGAATACTCACACCAACGAAGGCATAGGGAACACCCTGGACGAAGGAAGTGGAAGAGGAGCGGGAGATGCAGGAGGGAATGTGGCGAGTCTTCTGAATGACAAGAGTCGTGCCTGAAGCTCCCAGGACCTCGTAATCCACCTGACACTCACCCACAATATCTCTCTAAAAAAATAAAAGATTATTATAATCATAATCAAGCGCTGAACGCGTAGTCTAAAAATGAAAGAAATTTACCGCACCAAGGATATATTCACGTAATCTCAGTAACTTTGGCTCAGTTTGTTTCTCTATTTTCAATGTTGTCCTTTTTCTCTTTGGAGCTCAGTTCATTTCGCTCTAATTACATTATTATTACTTTACAGTAGGGATCAAACAACTCCTGGGAGCAGTGGTGGACCTACATTTTTGGGGCCCTGAAGTTTGAACTGTTATGGGGACCCCTTCACAACCCCTTCTCGTACAGTAAACCCAAAACTTTTACGCAATGTGGACTAAAGTGACTTCTGTGGCCCCTCCAGGATTAGGGGCCCTGAATCTTAAGCTTCATTAGTTTCAGAGTAGATCTATCCCTGCCTGGGAGTGAAAAGTAATCAGAATCCATCCACAGAAGGGAAGGTCTTGTCTAATTCCCTGGGTCACGACCCCTTCACCAGACATCAAGGCACCTGATATAAACCTCAGGAACTGACACTGTCAATGTGGTTTAGAAGACGCTAGTGTTGGTTTGCGTAGTTTATTTTTTTAACCAATAAAGCACCTAACTGTTTTAAAGTGTCACTATTCACAAGAATAAAAATTATTTTCATGAATAAAGTCATTTGTGACACTAGCATCTTTGGTTCCTCTGTACTTTCACACTTCTCAGTGCGTCATCAGGAGCTATACAATGTTGCAAGGTGGCAACTGAAGGAGGGGAAGTTTTCTCAGAGTAACACAGTGCGAGTCTGTCACCTGCTGCAGCTTCTGAGAGAAGCTGCTGCAGGTGGCAGACTCGCACAGCACTACTGAGAAAACTTCCCTGCTTCAGTTGCTGCCTTGCAACATTGTATAGCTCCTGATGACGCACTGAGAAGTGTGAAAGTACTTGAGCTAAAGATTTCCACCCCCCTGTGGCTTGTCTTGCACGCGCGCACACACACATACACACTAAATATATATATATTATATATATATATATATATATATATATATATATATATATATATATATATATACCACTATATATATAAAGATAAAGAATCACACACAAAGTGGGAGTTGTCACAGCTGCTCTTTGCTGATGACACTGTGCTCTTGGGAGATTCTGAAGAGAAGTTGCAGAGATTGGTGGATGAATTTGGTAGGGTGTGCAAAAGAAGAAAATTAAAGGTGAATACAGGAAAGAGTAAGGTTATGAGGATAACAAAAAGATTAGGTGATGAAAGATTGAATATCAGATTGGAGGGAGAGAGTATGGAGGAGGTGAACGTATTCAGATATTTGGGAGTGGACGTGTCAGCGGATGGGTCTATGAAAGATGAGGTGAATCATAGAATTGATGAGGGAAAAAAGAGTGAGTGGTGCACTTAGGAGTCTGTGGAGACAAAGAACTTTGTCCTTGGAGGCAAAGAGGGGAATGTATGAGAGTATAGTTTTACCAACGCTCTTATATGGGTGTGAAGCGTGGGTGATGAATGTTGCAGCGAGGAGAAGGCTGGAGGCAGTGGAGATGTCATGTCTGAGGGCAATGTGTGGTGTGAATATAATGCAGAGAATTCGTAGTTTGGAAGTTAGGAGGAGGTGCGGGATTACCAAAACTGTTGTCCAGAGGGCTGAGGAAGGGTTGTTGAGGTGGTTCGGACATGTAGAGAGAATGGAGCGAAACAGAATGACTTCAAGAGTGTATCAGTCTGTAGTGGAAGGAAGGCGGGGTAGGGGTCGGCCTAGGAAGGGTTGGAGGGAGGGGGTAAAGGAGGTTTTGTGTGCTAGGGGCTTGGACTTCCAGCAGGCATGCGTGAGCGTGTTTGATAGGAGTGAATGGAGACAAATGGTTTTTAATACTTGACGTGCTGTTGGAGTGTGAGCAAAGTAACATTTATGAAGGGATTCAGGGAAACCGGCAGGCCGGACTTGAGTCCTGGAGATGGGAAGTACAGTGCCTGCACTCTGAAGGAGGGGTGTTAATGTTGCAGTTTAAAAACTGTAGTGTAAAGCACCCTTCTGGCAAGACAGTGATGGAGTGAATGATGGTGAAAGTTTTTCTTTTTCGGGCCACCCTGCCTTGGTGGGAATCGGCCGGTGTGATAATAAAATAAATAAAAAAAAATATATATATATATATATATATATATATATTATATATATATTATATATATATATATATATATATATATATATATATATATATATATATATATATAACTTTTTTTCAGATAATTTAACTGATTATCAACAACCACCACTACCACTTCCGCGATCACACCCACCACAACTACCACTACCACTATTGCAACCGCCTCCACTACCACCTCAAACTACTACCACCACCACCACCACCACCACAACCACCATCACCACCGTGGCCTTCAAACCTCTTACAGAGACCCAGCCCTGATTAACCATGTATTATTACCCTGTCAAGCAGCCAAGCTGTACTTGCTACTACTGACAGCTTGTTCGTCCCCTTCAAGGGGAGTATATACCTTGATGCTGCCGAGGGGCTCTTGTTCCAAGGAATTAGAGCTTCTCCTCCCGTGAATCAAACCAGAATGCCTTCCAGTCCACAGGCACTTTTTCCAAAAATTGAAACATTTGTAAATTATTTACGAATGGTGTAATACGTTAGGTAAAAGGACACAAGTGCAACTAATACGACTTTGAGGAGACGTTTCGTCAGTCAGTGGCTTCTTCAGTCCAATACAGAAAAGGACGGTGGGAGATGAGATGAATGAGGTAATCAGTCCTGCAGCCTGGAGTATGTGTGCTCAATCCATCAACCATCAACTTTTTTTTCAAGGTTGATGGATTGAACACAAACTCCAGGCTGAAGACTGACTACCTCAAACTACTCATCATCTTCCACCGCTCTTCTCTGTATTAAACTGAAGAAGTCACTAGCTGGCGAAACATTTTCTCAGTAAAGATTCCCGAATGTTGCACAAGTAAAAAAATAAGAATGGGGGAACAATGCAGCAGGCCTACTGGCTCATACCCACCCACGCACCTGTCCAACCCTTTCCTAAATAATTCTCATCACCTCTGTAGCCTGGTGGTCAAGGTCCAGGCGCTTCATGGTGTTCTGTAGGAGTGATATCACAGCACGCTTGAAGTTCAGAGCTCTGGGGTCTTCGTCAGCAGCGGGACACACTTCTTCAACCTCCCCGTCATGGTAGGCGAATCTGCAGGCAACACAAGGGCCAAAAATCAAAGTCAAAATTTATTTTCTAGTACAAGGGGACTAATTCACTTTTAGTCCAGCTTTTTTTTAGCCATTGTGTCGGAAAAAGAACCTCGGTTAATACATGAATGGTATACAATACCGATAAGTTTAAAACAAGACATGTGCAACATCTGGGTATCTTTATTGTAGACATTGTGCCATCCAGTGGCTTTATTAAATACAAATTCAAGGACATGATTGAAAGACAGAAGAACTATATACAAAAGATGAGGTGATCAGTCCCTCAGCCTTGGAGTTGGTGTGAAGAGCACCGTGGTCGTGAAGAGTCTGGAGTGCAGCGCCAGCCTTCTTGCCAGTGTTCAGAATCTTCACGACTACGGTGTTGTTCACCAACGCCAAGGCTGAGGGACTGATTACCTCATCTTTTGTATATAGTTCTTCTGTCTTCCAATTATGTCCTTGAATTTGTATTGATAAAGCCACTGGCTGGCGAAACGTCTACAATAAAGATACCCAGATGTTGCACACGTGTCTAATTTTCACATTGGTTAATGGGTAAAGTCGGACCAATATGTCGTCATAAGAGTAGTTATGATATAGCCCAAGACATCAGAAATAGTGATACGTGGACATGAAGAGAACTGGTTGAACACACATCCCCGAAACATCTCCAGGTAAACACACACACACACACACACACACACACGCACACGCACACGCGCACACGCGCACACGCGCACACGCGCACACGCGCACACGCGCACACGCGCACACGCGCACACGCGCACACGCGCACACGCGCACACGCGCACACGCGCACACGCACGCACGCACGCACGCACACACACACACACACACACACACACACACTGGTGGGGCTAGGAGTTGTGAATCGACCCCTGATACAGACATAGCCAAGTACACACAAGACACGGGATATTCACCTTAACGGATTTTTCGTAAGGGCAGCAGTGAAAGCAGTGTCCTGGACGGTCTCCTGCTCTCCTCCACTGTCACTTCTGCTGGTCTCAACACTCACACTCTCCACCTACACCACAACCCCAAAAATATGTAATATTTACTGTAAGAACAAAGTAGATGAATGGTTCAGAGAACCGACATGTTGATAAATTAGACACATGTGCAACTCTTGGGTATCTTTATTGAGGAAACGTTTCGCCACACAGTGGCTTCATCAGTCCATACGTAGGAGAAACTTGAAGAACAGGAGGAGAATGAGGTAATCAGTCCCTCAACCTTGAGTCGATGTGTTCAGTACATCTTGAATAGAATTGATGGACTGAACACATCGACTCAAGGTTGAGGGACTGATTACCTCATTCTCCTCCTGTTCAAGTTTCTCCTACGTATGGACTGATGAAGCCACTGTGTGGCGAAACGTTTCCTCAATAAAGATACCCAAGAGTTGCACATGTGTCTAATTTATCAAGAACAAAGTAGGAACACTGCAGAAGGCCTACTGGCCCATACTAGGAAAGACCTTATCAAAACCACCTTACCATTCAATAGAATACATGGAAGGAATTTCCAATCCATTTTATAATTTAATTTTTAGGCCTAAGACATTTATTGACTATTTGTTGTTGGAAGCGTGGAGGCAGGTACACACACACGTGTGTAAATTACCTATTTCTTATTTCCATTGAGGGTCTGGTATAAATCTCGGTAATAGATACCAACAAGTTGGTTTACAGAGACGCATAAACACTAGGCTATTAGAAAACGACTCAAGAAATCGTAATGACACGATTGCAAACAAACCATACCCCCGGCCGGGATTGAACCCGCGGTCATAGAGTCTCAAAACTCCAGCCCGTCGCGTTAGCCACTAGACCAGCTAGCCACAATAAGATTCATCCAACTAGGTATATTTCTACACCATAGGAAGGTTAGCACAGGCACCTCTGTGACGGGCTGGAGTTTTGAGACTATGACCGCGGGTTCAATCCCGGCCGGGGGTATGGTCTATTAGAAAACGTTTCGGTCCTGGGACCTTGATCACTTTTCAACCTCTTTATGTTAGAAGTGATCAAGGTCCCAGGACCGAAACATTTTCCAATATGTATGGGCCAGTAGGCCTTCTGCAGTCTTCCTCCATTCTTATGTTTGCTTACGTGCCTTTCTAAACCTCACGGCCTCCCTGAGGTCGACCTTGGAGGTCCTGACACTAAACCCAAACAAATATTGACAATTTACTGATACTAATTATAATTTCAGCACTTCAGACAATCTTTTCAAGCAACTAGTTCTTATATATATTTTCCAAACCTTACATGAAATTTTTACAATGATTTAGCATACATGGATATTATATTATTATTATTATAATCAAAGGGGAAGTGCTAAACCCGGAGGATTATACAGCGCCTGGGGGGGGGGATGTGGAAGGCATTCAGGCTTAATTCGGGGAACTGGAGCACAGATCCAATTCCCTAAATCAAGAGCCCCTCACCAACATCAAGGAACCTTCCTTGAGGGGCATGGATATTATAGACGTATATATACGTCAGTTTTGTAATAAATTGTACCTGTTGGTAAAAAAGAAAAAACTAGGATGGAGTTTACCTGGAGTTTACCTGGAGAGAGTTTCGGGGGTCAACGCCCCCGCGGCCCGGTCTGTGACCAGGCCTCCTGGTGGATCAGCACCTGATCAACCAGGCTGTTGCTGCTGGCTACACGCAAACCAACGTACGAGCCACAGCCCGGCTGATCAGGAACTGACTTTAGGGGTGGTAAGGGAAGTGGAATATTTAAATGGCTTCAGGAAGAAATTGAAATATTTTCCTCGAAGCCTTTTTATCCACTTCTCCGAGGCTATGGTTCCTATAATTTGCATGAGAGGTGGATCCCATCCTATGTATTATGGGAATTTCGAACAAATTTAGACCAAGGACGAAATATTTTGTTTTACGATTTTGTTCTTGTTTAGGAGAGGGAGGGAGGGAGGGAGGGGGAGGGAGGAGAGAGAGGGAGAGGAGAGAGGAGAGAGGAGGGAGTGGGAGAGAGGGATGGAGGGGGGGAGAGGGAGAGGGAGGAGAGAGAGGGGAGAGAGAGAGGGAGAGAGAGAGGGAGGAGAG